AAAGACCTCTACCCTTGCCCAATATAGAAATGGCTCCTATAGCCCTCGCTGGCTCAGCGGACTCTAAGAACAAATTCGAGGATTTGTCAGGTATTGACACTGCGAAGTATGCCAACCCATACGATGCTTTGATCGAAGCATGCCACGATGACCCGGTATTTACTTTTCTACTCACATCCAATTTCCCATCAGATCAAGCACAATACAATTATATTCAGGTGTAACATACGAATCTTGAACACATACATGAAATACTGCACGATATTCTGTTCGCACATTTTAGACTAATTCCCCTTTCAGGCAGAAATACAAGCTAAGTATGCAACTCATCGAGAAACTCGCAATGCTCAACAGAAGGCAAAGATACTGGCTCCTGATTTCCAAGAAATGATACTGGATACCGTTCTGCAAAAGCTAGAGGATCCTAATATTGAGCCTGGTTTTGAGGATCCTAGACATTGCTTAGTGTTCTGGGCGCGTCCTCCCCAACACATTAAAGCATGTAAGCTTGATCTGTTCACTAAATCTTAATTCCTTGTTCCCTAATTATGTTCTTGAATTTAAAAAAAAAATGCACTTTGACGTACCTGTATATGTACTCCCCAATACAGCTTTGGCTCCTCATCCCCCAAAGTCGTTCTTTGACATGAAACACTGACTTTGCCATATGTAGTGGTCGGGACAATTCAACAAAAGCTACTTGCTTTGGCTCCGAGTATGTGAATATCCGCCCTACTCTTGTCTTCTGGTCTCAAGATACGCACATTGTCCCTAGCACTAACGTATATATCAGAGCTCTGGCTTATGCCCCAGCTCAAATGCCATCTCACTGCACTTGAGATAACCCATTCCCTGACCTCTCCAGAAATAACCTCAATTCTTAACCAACTTGGTACATCCACCATATCAACCATGACCGACTATCCCCTCCAACATCGTGCACGCCTCATCAAGCCCACACTGTCCTATGATGCCGCCGCAGTTGCATTGTCTTTTCTTCCAGCGGCTGGAGAATCGCTTACCTCAAATGCTGAGCCATCATCTCGCAATCCTAGAACTGCTCAAGATGATGCGTTCACCTACCACCATCTTCGCCAATCTCTATTCACAATTGCCCGATCTACGGGTATCTCTGTTGACTCCCGTTACGTTGTCCCCAGTTCACATATCACAGTTGGACGATTTCTCACGCAGGAAGATCACGATACGCCCGAAAAGCGACAGGCCTGGATCGACTTGATCGAGGAAATCAATGTATGGCTCAAAGAGGAGTATTGGCCACGTGAGGGTGTAGACAGAAATGAGGATGGAGAGTGGGTAGTAGGACAGGAAAAAGGTTTAGATTGTAGGAGAGGCCAGTTGTGGTATGGTGGTGGAGAGACGGTGATGTTAGGGAAAGGGTTTTAGGTGTAGTCCAAGGTGTGCTCCCATCAGCGAAAAAGCCGACACAAAGTGATAACACAATGTCTGCTGTTTCCAGACGCATTACGAAACTCTAGACTATGTACTAAGAAGCATTACTAACTTTAACATAATCCCGATGTAATTTATCATGAGAATCTCTTGGGAAACCAATATTGCGGGTAAGACCCCAGTACAGAATGATATCATAGAAGTTCTAGCTCGAAGTAGTGACATCAGGCAACCTAGTCTCCTATGAACTACGCGTGAAAAGTGCCTAGATAGACTTTTGCAAAATCTTTTTGTTATCCCATATATTAGGACTTCTGAAGGTTGCTTTTGATGCAAAGGCCTAACGTTTGTATGGCGATTCAAGGTGCGGTGTTTCCAGTCTTAGGAGCTAGGTGGCATCGCAACAACGCGTCTAGGCTGTACTCAAGACTAAATTTCAGTGCTATTAGGAAAACCTATGCGTGCATTATATGCGTCAAATGAAATCACCCATCATTAGCATGAGCCATGGCAAACAAAATTTGTTATGACAAGCGTTCATATTGTCCACTTCAACACCATGCAAAAGCCCAGTCACGCATACGCAAATGGCTGCAAATATTTTCAAGCACTATATCACGCAAGAAACTTCCAGAATGGTATGTCATCAGCAGACTTTGCTATGTTTCATTTGGTAACTTTGGATGAGGTACGAGGAGTACAACCACATCATTTTCTCCCACGCCCCATCACTCAACCATTGAGTGCTTTGTGTATGTTCCTCGCAAAATCCTTCGACCCATCCATTTGTCCACGATGAAAACAGGATTGTCGTAGCATGCACAAATCTAGAATACCAATGCAGCACCCTTGGTCTTCTTGTCACCACTATCGAATTGTTAGCTCTACCCTTCAATCCACTGCGCAATTTGCTGAATGCAAATAGAATTGGGATTTCGTACCCAAGCTCGAAGTGCTTGCAACGCTTCAATGCCAACTGTGCCTTCGTCTTGCAAGATGTGCACTCCAATCTCAACACAACCTTCTTTGTGGTCTTTGCCTTCTTGTGGAAAACGGGTTTTGTCTGACCACCATAACCAGATTGCTTTCGGTCATAACGACGCTTTCCCTGAGCGAACAACGAAGCCTAATCCAACCTGTTAACTAATCGATTTCGACACTTCTGGCGATGATTGTACCTTTCCGGCCTTGTATTGGGTGACCTTGTGTTGGGTGTGCTTGCGGCAATCCTTGCCTTTGCAGTAAGTGCGTCTGGTCTTTGGGACGTTGACCTACGGAGAAGAAAAATATGTCAGCCTTAATCCAGCTTGATAGAATCATTCTGCTAGTGCCCCCTCAACCAATTCCGCCGCCTCCTCGACAAGATTGACCATCATTCAGCATATATTGAGAATCGCGCGTGAAGTGGTCGTGTTGCGGAAACAAGTAGCGATAGATAGTCCACTCTGTAACTTTATGATAGCTTGATTTGCGTCCGATGCCGTATTCCAGCCCATCATTCATCGTTCATCGCTCTCCATCGAAATGTCGCAAAATCTTCTCTCGAAATTCTTGTTTTTCGCTTTCCAACAGCCCCAAGCGGCCTCTCCTCCGAACTTCAAATGAAACGAACAATTCACAGTAAACTGAAATATAACGTACCATCTTGGCGATTTATCTGGTGGTCGCTGGGATAGATTGTTGTTAGTATCGTCGTTGATCAGATTTCTGGGAATTTTGGGAAACTGAAGTTTGGTGGGCTCGCTTCGAACCAGGCCATGCCGCTTTGGGAATGAATCATATCACGTGTAAATTCTAAGCACGTGCCATGACTGAGATGAGGAGATCAAATGCAAAATTATTAAAGGGCTATCCATGGATCTTATCAAAATACTACATCTTTTGTGTAAATGTCGACTTAGGCTCTCGTGAACCAAAAGACCAAAACGAAAACCAAAACACAAGCACGAAGCCGAAAAGATTGTTTGATTGCCAATTTTATTTGGACATTGAAAGGACGCGACAGTCACAATTGAATAAAATGCCCCCAAAAGATCGAGAATGATAATTTGCGGTCATCCGTGAAAGCCCAAAGTCATTGAGAACGCAGACATATGATCGGCTTCAATCGCCCAGATACAATTGTCGGCCTTCTCGTGACATGTTGGCCTTGTGATACGTCTATTTCGTGCGTTGAAATTGGGGTGTTATTGGAACATGAAAGCTTTGCGATTTCTTTGGTGAAGACTTACTCCGCTCCAACAATATATCTATCTATCTGCAGGACTCTAAATCAATAATGCGCAAATGCTTGGGCAAATCGATCTCCATACGAGTTGTCGTTCAGATTTCCATTCTATTTTTGATATACTTTGCTAGATATACCGGTATCTGTTTCGTTAGCCAACTTTCTGCTATGCCAATAACATAACATGGTTTACATGATAATTCAAGCAAGTGTCATTGACCCGTCTTAACGATTAAGTTCTTGAGCACGTTTTTCAAAACAACAAAGCTTGGGTTAATAAGAGTCGGTTACTCAATATCCGAAGCACGCTTCATCGGGGAGCCAGAGATCTACAAGAAACGTGAACAACGTCCAATGAGATGTGCCGTGTTTCTTAGAGCATGCGAAATCCGGGCATTCTTGTCATTGGCGGTGCGTCTGCAATACGAAAACGAACTCGAAGTAAATTACGGAATGGGTAATACCATGGACGTCATTAATCTTTTTTTTTTACATTTGTGGCAAAGGGATGTCTATCACTTTCTCTCATACCAAGTACTCTCGAGGTACTCTCGAGGTACTCTCTGTCAAAGAACGAACGTCCGGCTCGTCTTGCCAATTATCATTTCACAACGTTACAATTTCCTAGCAATTACAGCATGTACTCAGGCTTGTAGTCGATGAGGGTCAGCTTTGTTTGACATTTACCGAATTTCCTCACCAAAATCAATCAAAACCCACTGTTTTCAACAACCAATATCAAATTTATCTAAAGGAAATCCTAAGATATCTCGCAAATATCAAATAAGAATTTTAGTTTAGATATTGAAGAAATTTCTCGGAATCTTTTATTCAATGGTTGTGGGAGGTTATCAATATATGAACTCCTCCCGCAGTAGTTCTGGTGCATTTTGAGACTCCTCTGTAGTTACTAGGTAGTAGTTGCTATGCACATAAAACCATACTCGAGACGTTTTGCATTGTTTGGGCATCGGAACAAGATTCAGAGTCAACATCATACCTACATTCTAGAAACGCTAATTGGTTGAAACATCAGTGAATGCGGCTTCTCTTTCCATATGTTTGAACGGCAAAGCCAGCGTCCGAGAGGTTAGGCCCTTATCCACTAGATAGGTTGTATTTAAGTGGCATCTAGTAATGGCCAGCTGCCTGCCCCCTTTCAATATTGGAGAGGTTGCCTTCCCTCTACATCATAATAGATTGATATTCTCTTTCAATTTCCAATGTTATCGACACTTGCTCGCTGCTAATTCCGAATTTTGGTAATCTTACCACATACACTGTAGAACTATTTGCTTTTTGCACTGGCCAGTGTACTTGTTCTACATTAATAAATTGGACCGTGCTGCACATCATTGAAATGATTTCACTGTTCACTCTCGTTTTGGCTACACTTCCAATTTATTGGGTGTATTCGAACATAGTAGGATTACAAAAGAATATTGCAGCTGCTAAACGTTCAGGTTTAACATATGTAGTAACGCGTGAGTTACATTATCTCTTTGGAACCTTACATGCTAATTAATTCTAGCGATTAGCCTTTATAATCCATTTTGGTTAATAACTCATCGTGTGTGGTTACCTTTCATTAGAAAGCTGCCGACAACATGGACAGAAAGTTGGATTGAGTAAGCGATGATAACCAACAGTATTGAGGGTAACTCTAACAAAATTCAGTTATATGACACCAGATTGGTGCTGGGAGAAACTTTACCACCCATTTGCCAAAAACGGCGATGCATTCTTAACCGTTTCCCCTGGATCAATCCTTGGATTTATCTCAAATGCAGAAGCGACGCATCAGATCACAAGTCGTCGAGAGGCCTTTCCCAAACCTCTTGAATCGTACCGTATTCTCGAGATATTTGGTCGGAATGTTGTAACGACCGAAGGAATTGAATGGAGGGGACATAGAAAGATATCCTCACCAAGTTTTACTGAAAGGAACAATGCGCTAGTGTTTGCAGAATCTTGTGCACAAGCACAGGGAATGTTGAGAAGATGGTTGGGTCCTGACGGGAGAGGAAATGTAACTTTGAAAGAAGTTCCTACTGATACCATGAGAGTTACATTGCACATTATAAGCAGGATTGGATTCGGGGTTCGTCTATTGTGGCCAGGAGAGAAAGCGAGGAGCAAGGAGCAAGAATCCGTTTACAGCAGTAATGAAGCGCCTGAAGGTCACACGATGAGCTTCGAGAGATCTTTGAGTACTCTTTTAGAGACTTTAGTCTGGGTGCTATTTCTTCCTAAATGGCTCCTGAGTAAGTACTAAGAACAACTTGGTTTTTTACAAGAACTTATTTTTTCCCTAGGATTAATGCCTTTTGATTCCGCCCACAAAGCATTAGAATCTTTTGAAAATTTCGGTCAGTACATGAACGAGTTGTTTGCCCAAAAGGCTCGGGATGCTATGGAGAGTAAGGAAAGTGAGGGTATGGATATTATGGGCTTCCTAGTGAAGAGTTCATACGGTCCTTCAAGTGCGCCGGGGTCTACTAAACCGTCACCGGACCGAGTCGAAAAAGGGCAAGCTAACAAAGTCGCTCTCTCGGACTCGGAAATTTTGGGAAATGCCTTCGTCATGATGGTCGCGGGTCATGAGACGACCGCGAACTCGGTCCACTTCTGCCTCGTAGAACTAGCCATCAGCCCTAGATCGCAGCGACAAGTCCAAGAAGAAGTGCAAAAAATCTTTGGCGATGAATCTCCTGAGACTTGGGATTATGAGAAGAATATCAACGTCCTCATGGGTGGTATGGTCGGAGCCACTCTCAATGAACAACTTCGCCTCATGCCTCCCGTGGTCAATATTCCTAAATCAGTTGGTCAAGGTCACGATCAAACAATTTTCATTGATGGAAAGAAAATAGCTCTCCCCGCTGGGGCACATATCAACCTTAATACAATAGGTCTCCATCGAAACCCTAGGTACTGGCCAACTGAGCCCTCGAAAATCACCACGCAGAATAACGATCTCGATGACTTTAAACCAGAGAGATGGCTCATTAAGCAATTAGGGAAAGATGACAGCGCCAATGATTCCTCTGAGGATGATGATTTTGGTGGATTCACAGGGAAAACCACATCCGAAGGATTATTCCGCCCAGTTAGAGGTTCTTACATTCCATTCTCCGATGGTGCTCGATCTTGCTTAGGTCGAAGATTGGCCCAAGTTGAGGTCATGGGCGTACTTGCTGTAGTTTTGCAAAATCACTCAATGGAGCTTGCAGTCGATGAGTGGGCTACAGATGAAGAAGTTTTGAGGATGTCCGTAGACGAGAAGAGGGAATTGTATAGTAAGGCGCAAAAGAAGGCAAGAGAGACGATTAGAGGGGCTACGTCACTCATCACTCTGAAACTGCACCCTGGTTTTATTCCCGTACGACTGGTAAAAAAGGGGGAGGAACGCTTTGTAAATATTATAGATTAGTGCTTTAGCCTCATGATACCAGACTGCCCGATGGTCATTGCCTGATGCAATAGGAAAGGATAACAATAAAAACTATTCCAAGACTTTCACTCCCAACACATGTATAGAGATTTTGTCAAAAGGTCGCTTCCATCTGTCCTTTTCATGTATCAAGTCACGGGATGGAAATACTTCATTGCAAAGATAAAAAAAAATTTAAAACCGATGTTCGCGTCTATCCGTTCGCAGCGAGTGTTGCGCACATTCCTTCCCAGGACTCGAGTATTCTTACAAGGAGTTCCTTGAATCTCCCATGACAACGACAGGATCAGAGCTTCATAAAGAAGGGTTGCTCAACATTCAAAGGTCATCAACCCATTTGGAAAAGAGTTACTTTGTAGCATACCAAGACTGATCCAAACCAGAATACCTTCAGTACTCTGCGACTCCGAGCTAGTGATTTAAGTCAATCACGTGAAAGCTCTAGCGCTTGTTTGTTGACATACTACGCGATTCCTTCCTCATTCGGCACCCCACAATATCTGCCCAAACTTCGCACGATAACCCGAAAAGCAGACATCAGATATCCCCGCACCATTCTACAAACACTCGTCGAATATAATTACCACGATCGCATTCTTTCGCGAAGCAACCATCATATAACATCATGTCCGGGGTAGCAAACTGGATCAAGGCGCAACGGAAGGGGGATTTGATGGAGCTTGCGGATTCAATTGGACTTAAATAGTATGCGACATTCACATATCTTACCAGCTTTGCAACAGAAGTCACTGACCATTCTCTCAGTATCGATGGTATCAAGAAGACAGAACTTGAGCTTGCGCTCGAAGACTACCTGGTTGAAAATGAATCGCAACTAGCTAACGAGACGCGCCTCATACCATACTATAATAGAAGATCGGGTGCTTCGCCTGTGAAGAAAGAGCCATCCTCTGCCCACGAGGAAATGGACACAAAGAGATCATTAAGACGCAGAACTAGACTTGCGTCAGAAATTTCGGAGGTCGGGAACCAAACTACGTACGTGTTGCGACGCGCCAAGCGCGTTACTTTGTTGAAGAGTAACTAATACTTTTGTAGTGATGATTCGGAATCTGAAAGAGCAATTGCACGCTCTAGTACTGCTCTCACTCAAACTCCTCGCGCGAACGCGATCACATTTGCATCAAACGTCCCTATCCCACCATCTCCTGCCGTTGTCGCAGACGTTATCGATCGACGCACGGCAGTTTTACGCGCGAAAGCAAATGAATACTATAAGGACTTGGGTATAGTCGAAGCTGTAGAGACTGCCCGTGAAACTGTATCAACTGTCGTGGCCCTTGAATTCATCATGCTACTATCAGAGGCACTACAACTTCAACCAGAACTTTTGCAAAACAAACACGCATTCACAATTCCCCCACTCCATTATCTGAATACCTCCGAATACGCGGTCAAAATTCCGGATCTTTTCCTTTTGTTGACCACGTCCTTCTGGGGCCCCTTTGCTCTATGGTTATCCACCAGTCTCTTGCTTCCGTTGTTTGCGGCATACTTCTACAATCTTACGAGCAAACCAAGCACGCGAAGCAAACATTATTCGTTTGATCCATTGACATTCAACATCGTAAAAGGACTTATAACATTCGTAGTTTACGGCCAAGGCGCAACTCTTGGTGGGCTCGTGGACCTTGAGCACGTGGCTAGAATTAATTCGGCACTTTATGGGGGATATCAGAGCACGCTTGTTGGAACTGGCATTGGTATTCTGTTTACCATGTACGATGCCGTTTTGAAGAAATGATTGCCTTAAGCAGTGAAAACATGAAAACCTGCATGGCATGAATGGAACGTCTATTTTCAGTCAATCGTCTTTGAATATTTATTTCGGCGGCACGTTTCCAGCGAATTGTTCACAGACTGAGTTACATATGTTTAGCTATTTGGGGAGAAGGTTTGCATTCGTCTTCGCTCGCTTCCTTGATTTCATCTATCCTCGACCGTGCCAACATAATCTTCTCTAGTATTGAGATGCATTGGGAAGGCGTTTGAGGCGTGGCTGACTCGGGATACCTATGTTTGTGCATTGCTTTTTGATCCGAGGAGTTATGGGGTTGTTGGGAATCTGGATGGGCAAAGGCTGTAGTGGGATTGGTTGGATAGTTTACTCTGGCCATGAGTTTGGGGAAATATCTAGAGAATATAAAAACTATGTTAAATTTCTGATATCATTACATCTCTGACTCGGTTAATTCAGGACACGAGGTGGGGTGGATCTTGATTTGCTAACATCGAACTCGTCTCTTCCCATTGGTATGCATTGCTCGTTTTAAACCTGAGAAATGATATATATTCTTGAAAGCAATAGCACCCATAAACACCCATACATTCTACGCTTCGTTATCAGCACGATCCTTTTACGGCATCAGCACTCCTCCTCCTCTCGTCATTCCCGCACTAGTCATGTTTCATTTGAACAGATCACATCGACCGAGAAAACGTTTATGCAACTCGAAGCATCGCACGCACTTTCCAAATACAGGGCATGTTTTCTGATACTCGATGTCCATATAACCAAAATAAAAGAAACTCAAATTTGAAACAGTGGGAAAGAGAAAGAAGGCAGACAAATAACAGGAAATTGATTCATTGCTCTCCTGAAATTAAGCAATTAGGGTTGTGTTTCTCTATAGTTTTACTACTATAATGGCTTCTTCGTTGACGAACAAGCAATGTCGGAAAGTGATGAATACCGGCTCCTCGTAGCATAGCGACCAGGAGTGTTGAATGGTGTTTTCCTTTGATAGGGCATTTCCCTATCCAGTATAAGAGAACGGCAAGGGTTTTGTGTGCTTTAATCTTGTTGATCTTTTAAAAGCATGGTGGTTGTGATTTCGTTTTATGTTTTTTGGAGAGACTATTTTAGGATAGAGGGAAGGACACTTATGGAAAGCATAGGCTTGGAAGAGGTATGCAGCCTAATGCTTGGGTAGCGAAGCAATTGAGTTGAAGTGATAATGGCTCTCAGAGCACCAGAAATTAGAAATTGTATGATAAACTAGACATTTACTCTCGAGCGGCTACCTCCTGATAAGATATACCAGGGTGACTTCTACAAGTATTTCCTGCAATACCGAATGAAAACTTGATTCGCCTGCTAAGCTCAAATCATAACTCGCTAAATTCAATTTTATATCTGAATCGCACTCTAACCTATATAACTTAGATAATACGTCCGCTAACTTTCAACTCGAGGCGCCCTCTATTTTGTCATTTGGATCCAAGTTCTGTGCTCCCTCTACGAGTCCCACGACATTGTATCGTTTCGAGAAAAATGTGTTCCAGTCATCGAGTACACCCTTCTCTTTATCATCGAGATCGAACCATTCCGAGGATACGTCGTCAGCTTTAGTGGAAGTTTTGGCTAAAGCGCGGGAAGCATCGTGGCCAGCAAAGACTGAAAGTGTAGAAGAGATTAGTGAGGAAAACACGCGAAATTGAATAAGAGGGATTGGGAAGAGATACCGCTATAAGCGCCGCCGGGAAGATATGCTTTGTTTCCTGTTACATCGTAGACTTTACCCTAGGTCTCATGAGTTTTGCGTATTGCAGTGTGGAACATGCAGAGTTGAGAATGTACCTTGATTGCAACATAGCATTTATCGCTATCAGAGCCTTTCAACACATTAGCCCTTCATCTCCGGGGATCGTAAAGAGGTCGTAATTACCATTGCATTTCGCAAGTTCTTCTGCCGAAATAGGATCGTACTTTGGTGGGTTCAGAGTAACAGGAGTCTTAGGTTCGAATTTACCAGCCATTTTGAATACAACGTATTATAAAAAGTGAAGCTTGATTGAAGAGAAATATTGCGATGGAACAGAAAACTGACGTTCGTCCATGATGTGGGGTAGCGTCATTCATTGGTTAGCGTATTGCGGGAGACAGGGGTTTGGGTTAGGGTGAAATGTCTTGCAGGAAGGAAATAGTTAATTTTATGAAGCTCCCGGACGACCAAAGCTTCATTAACTGCGCCAAAGACAATTGTGCCTAGATCCCCATATTCAATTGTGCGGTTTTTACAGATTCAGCTTTCAAAATGTTCACACCACGGTTCGCCACCTCACTTGGGTCTGCTGGCGCTTCCAATCGCGCATCACAATGTCTTCGTCAACAACGAGTACAAGCTACAAGGTCCAGTAGACCTGCTACTAGAAACTCCGTACCATGTCGAACACAACAGCAGAGATGGCAATCCACACGAGGAGCACAACCTAAGATTAACCGCTCCAAAGGTTCATTCACGAGGAATGCCAAAATACTCTTTAAAGCACATCCATATAGCATGACCGGAGCTACAATAGCGTAACCTACACCTCATATCCAACCGCTTTCACGGCTTTGATGTGCAGTGCTAATATAGCATTTGCAAATACAGTATAGGATTCGGAGTCTTTTGTCTAGGATATATCAATTGGTGGTATAACAAATACATAATCGACGGTTTCAAAGCCTTCCCCGAACCTGTCGCAAAGCAACTGCGAAAGGCCCTTTACTACACCAATATGTCTCTCGAACCTAAGAACGCTATTAAATATTACAAAGAGGCTTTAAGAGTTGCAGATGAGATGGGTATGGATCCATTTTCGGACGAGTATCTCGGAATCAAAATATCCGTTTGTGTTTTGTTGGAGAAAATTCAAGCCTATGATAAGGCGATTGGTGTTTACGAAATTATGAGAGATGATTGTGGAAAATGGATGGAGCAATTGGGAGGTTTGGAGAGGAATATTGGCAAGAGGACGAGAGTTCTTAGGAGAATGGTAGAGATCAGTGTCAAAATTGCTGATTTATACAACGGGGAATATGTCTTACAACCAGATAAAGCTGAGGAAAGTTTGGTGTATGCGGTGGAGACTATATTAAAAGAACAAATGAGGAGACAGAAAGAGGGAATCAGACCTGGGGAAGAGGTTTGGTTATCGGACGAAGAGATGGGCGGAACTTTTGAAGGTTTATATTTCCATTCAAGACGTCAATTCAGATTAAGCTAATTTCTTTCTAGCTCTTGCACATCACTATGAAGCAACCGATAAACACCACCTTGCCGCACCCCTATTTCTCCAAGCTATCGCTCTCTCTACTCCAGCTACCTGCCACACAGCCGTTCTAAGTTTGTTCTCTCTCCACTTTCCCAAAGCCACCCATTAACCACCTTCCATAGTGAACAATCTCTCCATCTCACTGGCCCAACAAAATCCACCACCAGAATTAGGTCAACCCATAATATCCCGCTCGCAACAAATCAAAAATGCTCGCGCATGGGCTACCAAGTCCCTAGAAATTTGTGCCAAGATAGCACCCCCAGAAAGAACTGAAGAATGTGATCTCGGATGTGCTGTTGCAACACATAATCTAGGAGAATTCGCAGAAATGGATGGGGATATCAAGGAAGCAAGGAGAAGATATGAAGAAGCGAGAAGCTTAGCAAGTGCGATGGGGTTTAAAGAAGGAGAGGCACAGAGTGAAGAGAGATTGGCGAAGATTGTCGGTAGACAGGAGATTGTTAATAGGGGTTGAGTTTGTTTGAAGAGGCCTCTTCTGGAAAAATGGATTGTCTTTAAGAGGTAGCAAGAGTTTTGCCTTTTGCCACAGATTCAATCTGGACCCTCCAACACTTCCTTCATATGGATACTCACATTGCAAGAGCAGTACATTTCGCATACCAATATACCAATTCAACTCCCTTATGGCTGTGCACAGAGTAGCAATTTCAACACGTCATGCCTCTACAATTCACTCAAATCTTGCAGTATCCAGCTTAGAAGAAATGGATATCAAGTTATCTGCACCAAGCAATCCATTATTGATCGAACCTAATCTAACCTAACATAGGTAACTAACCCTAGGTAGCCCCAAATCATCCCAATCCCATGTTTATAAGAAGAAGAAAGAGGATACATCATCGTTATCTATCACTAAGTTGGAACAAAACAGAACACAAGAGAACACAATAGAACACAAGAAAAATATTGACAAATACTATCTAATTCTCTTAACCCCAGCCCGAGAAATATGAAATTAAACCGAAAAGAAAATATAGGAGGAATGTGATGTAACGCCGCATTATCCATCATCCGTAACCATGATTCATAACTTCATACTTCGTGAGCCTGCGGGGCAGGAAATAACCAAATTCATATCCTTCACAATCCTACATGTCAACAAAAAGAAAAATAGAAAGGAAGGAAGGAAGAAAGGAAGAGATAAGTTCCATTCCCTCAAATCCCATCATCACTCATTACTCATCCTCTCCCTCAGCATCCATATCATCCTCCATCCCATCCTCTACCTTAATTCCCACATATCTCCCCCTCACTCTCCTCTCACTCCTATCCAGCCCCCCCACCAGTCTCTTCCTCGCCCACCCATTGCCACCCTTCCCCACACAAAGAATCCATTCCCCCCTCCCCCCCTTCTCAATAATTCTCTGCTCTACCGCCCACTCCACAAAAAGCGCATCATCCTGCTGTCTTACGACTCCTCCCTCCCCTCCGCCACCCTCCAAATGTTTCCCTAAATGTTCCATCCTCTCATCCCAGCACCCTCTCCCCTCAAACCACAATCCCAAGCCTTCTTTCCGCTCCGCACAGCCCCTCACCGGACATCCCAACCTCTCCGGCGCCTCGCGTCGACTCCTCTCACAACTCCTCTGCAAAACCCTCACCCGCTCCTCCCACTCCCCATTACGCTTCCCCTTCCTCTTCACCTCAAACGGCGCATGCATACGTCTCAAATGCTGCGTAAACAAATCCTTCCGATTAAACTCCGCGCCTTTAACTTCCCCATAAGCACGCGCATTCGTATTCCCCTCCCCGCCCTTCCGCATCGCCGCACCCGAATGCGAATGCGAACCCAGTGGAACCTTCCCGCAAGACCCGAGCGTGCACACCCACGCTTGCAGATTGAGGTGCTGAGAGGAAACATGACGTTTCCATTCATTTTTTGAAGCAAACGTGCTATCGCAGCCCGCGAAATTGAACACGCAGATGAATGCCCGCGTGTGCGCGGATGCGATGTGTCGTTGGAGAGTCGGTGTGTCTTTAAAGCCGGTGGAGACACATTGTGTGCAGGAGAGACTTCCGGAAGAGGGTTTGGAAGAGGATTTCGATGTACTTGTGGAGGATTTGGATATGCGGTTGCGTTTGGGGGTGGGGGGTGAGTAGGATTTAGTTGTGCTGGTGCGTTTGCGTGGATTGCGGGTCGAGGGACGAGGAGTATATTCTGTGTCTGATGGTTCGTCTTCTTCTTCGATGTCTCCATCTTGGGGTAGTAATTCGGAAACAATCTCTGTTTCCATGTCTATTTCCCCATGATTGTTAACATCAACATCATCGCCTTCTGCATCAATATCAGCATTAGAAATCGTAGATGTATTGTCATTATTCGAAGCTTGAATAGAAATTGCTTGAGGAGATGCAGCATCTCGAATCGAAGCTCCCAATCCCTCATCTCTATAATGTGATATATGAGAAGCCAATTTGTGACTCCCAGACTCTGATGATTGGATTGCATAATCGACATATGTTTCATCGGTCTCGAATTTGATTTCTTGAGGATCGGCAAATGCCTGAACATCACTGAGATTGACACATGGATATCCAGTCGGCTGTCCGGATAGAATTTGCGGTGACGTCCATACATCAGAGAAGTTTTGCGAAGTAGTATGAGAGGTGTTGGGTAGGCTGTAATCATCTTGGCCCTGAGAAGAATAGTATCTATCGTGATACCAATCTGTTTCGGTAGCTGGACTTCGAGCACTACTGCAGTTGGAAGAGAGTTCTTGGGAAGGAGAAGGAGATATCATTCTTGTTCGGGAAGCTTGAGGATAGACGCTAACAGGCTCGAATGCTCTATGAGGCGGTCTGGGAAAGCTATCAAAGTGAGACATGGCTGGAACAGTAGTAAAGAGAGCTCGTCCTGGCTCTGTGATGAATCTTTGTAAAGGTTGCTGTGGCAAATCTTGACGGTAATCAAAATCCGGAGAGCCCATTTGAGATTGACGAAGAAGTGGATCGATATTCTGGATCCAAGAACTTTCAATATCCATCAAATCCTCATGACGGAAAGATTGAGGTTTTGATCTATTCTCCTGGAAGAAAGGTGGTTCCATCGTCGAGTAAGGTAAATTATCGTAAGACATGATGTCCAAACGATATAAGTTGAAGTAATCGAATAGCCACTATAGATGCGTCTTCGGCTTTGCTTTTTCTTTTGACCCCCACGATTCTAGACTGGAGAGATGGGGCGGAGCTAAACTTCTAGAAGAGAAAGAGATACAAAGCAATAAGCTTGGAAGGAATAGAGCTGATATTTGTTTGCTTTCTTATTGATCCTACTGTAGAAATGAGTTTCTTGTGGAGCCCAAATAAACTCATGAATTAAAACGACAGGACAGGAGAGACAACAAACAGAACAAACAGAACTCACAAACCTAACTCGAGTATCTCCACTTGCTGCGACTTCCAACAAATCTTCTTGCAAATAATAAACAAACAATAAATCTTTTTTTCTCTGTATACACGACCTTTTGTTTTATTTATGCACTACAAATTCATGAATTTCAGAATGTCAGAATGTCAGATCATGGAAATCCACTGGTCGATAGTCGGATAGGGAGATATTGAGACTTGGAGAAAGTCTGAGGCAAAGTAGCGAGAACGATAGGCGCAGTTGTGATGTATGTAATAGATATGATGTATTCAGATGATACAAGAAAGCAAAGAGCTCAGAAACGGCACGACAAATCTCTAATGTATGTGTGGACCAAGCCCCAACATATCCTCCACAAAAAGTTTATATGTGTACCATTTGGGACCGACATATTTCATTTGCAATTTATCACAGAGCCGCATTGTGAGAGAAGAAGGGTAGGCCCCACAGGAGGCCCGGTGAAGGATCTCCTCACATAATTCGAACGTTTCTGCATGTCGACTTTGGCGTGCATACCCCTGAGCCCATAAAAGTATTGGAGATCGATGACTCTCCCTGTGCTGCGCCTCTCATCATTCCTCATGTTCCTTGATGGCTTGAAGCAGCTCTGACAGGGCACCGCATAACACCTCAAACATTTCCCCATGTCGAAATTCTTAATCATGATGCGAGTGGAGACCCGACCGAGCTAGTCAATCGTGCAGATGGAGCTCTCCATACATTTCTCTTCGTCGCTCTTTCGTTTCCTTTTTCTACCATCCTAACATGCGTTCCACATCAGGACCAATGAGGAAAAGAGCTAATCCTTGTACATGGTGTAAGGCGGACAAGGCGACCGCTAGGCAGACCTCGACGTCAATTCCTCAAAATCCGAGAATTTGTATTATTGTTTTATCCGCCATTTGAACAGAATCCACAAGCCGTTCCGTCGATTGAGAAAGTTCTCTCGGCACAAAATAAATTTCTCATTCGATACGATCGGGTTTACTGGGGAAACTTTGTTTTCTTCCGCTCCCTTCGCTTAGAACGAAGTACGGTACAGATAGCACTTTGCTTCGCCTTTGACTCTCAGAATTTGCGGTTGCACAATATTCGCACTCGTTTCTGCTTCAAAGCATGCATTGTACAGCCAAGAACATCCAATTCCTTTCTTTTCCTTTTACTTTTCCTTTCCATTTCCCCTTTTCTAATTTCTTTTCCATTCATTCATTCATTCATTCTACTTCTAAGGGTGTCAGCACTCTAGCCCCCACCCACACCATCCAATGCTCCAACATCCCGATCGCCGATATTAAAAACAGCCCCCAAATGATAACAGAGACCATTTCAAATACATACATATCTGACTGAATCTGTATCGCGGTCGCAATTAAATGCATCTCGATCTAATTGGTGTAATGAAGCGTTTAACATGCATTTTCGTTCGTGAATTCGCTAGGTCGGTTAGATCAATCGGGTTTGGTTTGGTTCTTGCCCATTTCACCCCGTTCACCCCATTCCACATTTACCGCATCAATTCAACCCAAATCTACATTAAAATGCTACACATACTCGGCTACCCACATTGAAGATCGAGTACGACGAAGAAGTAGTATTTACAAAGATTCCACAACTTCCCATGCCACCGAGTAGTGTCTGCTCACATATGAATGTAATCTTCAAGATCTCCGAATGCATGTAATACCAAACCCAACAGTGCCCTGTGAGCAAACTCCAACGCCCATGAAGAATATCTCCTAAAGAATTAAGAATACCCCCTCTTTCCACATACAGACAATGGATACACATACACATATGTAGCCTCACTTTTTGACTCCGCTTGCTTCGCCCTTCACCTACCTACATGTCCAAACACCTCTTCCACTCTAAAACTCGGTGAACCAAAGGGGTCTAGCTTCACATGTATTCACGTCGTAGAAAAGGTGCGCCACGTGGAGGGAGAGTTGCATATGATGTGGCTTTGCCCTTGACCCTAGGTAGTTTTTTACAACTGTGGTATTTCAGTTATCCTATGAGCACTATTTGCCATACACCACCTAGAATCAATTCGGTGTGATGAGCGAGATAACTCCTTCATGGGCCGGATTGGAAAGCGGTTATAACTGCGGCTGAAAACATCGTATTCCAACCATTGGAGTTGTTATTCAACACGGTCACCCAATACCTCCCACCATCATAGGTGTACCATGTCCAAAAAAATCAATTTACGAGTACTGTGCCCCTCGCTAACCTTTAAATTCCATGGAAAAGGTTTTCTTTCTATCGTAAGGTTAAATTTGCAAACGCCAAAGGAAAATATCCCTGGATATCTTCCTTCCCAGTATTTTTAGAATTCCTACCCAATTACATCGCAGACCCAATAGTTTTACACGATTATCCCTTCTCAAATGAAAGTGGTCGATAGACCAGTTAAGAAACTTCAAACAATATCCATGAACATGTCAGACTTTTTGTCCTTCGCAATTACCAATCGAATCGCTCTTGCACTCGTTGCAAAAATCATGACTGCAGGAAGTACACTTGGGACTAAGAGCAAGAGTACGTCCTAGATCATCTGCACAATGACACTATAAATACGTTAGCAACTGCATATGGCACAGTAAAATGAGAGCGCGTACACAGTAAACAATCTCCCCAATCTTTGCATGCTTTGCTGGCCTGTCATTTTCATCGTCGTTGCGTTCTCTCTTCTTGGATATCCTAGGCTCTTGACCCACCAAAGCAAATGAGGACCCTTTATTACCGACAAATTCGGGCGAGCTTCTACCAAAGTCATCTGTAGAATCAGTCGAAAATTCATGACGGTCATCTTTAGGTGAAGATCCACCTAAAGGATTTGGACTGGTGACGTCGCCCTTGGGTTTGTCACTATCAACTGGAATCCAATCCTGGATACTTTGTTTTTGAAGTTCGCGGCGTCCCATGAAATGATCATCTATGTGGTCAAACCTTTCTGTCCAGGCATCAAGACCCTTTTTCTTAAGGTCAATAAGCGCCTTGCAGAAGCCACACCAAAAACGAGCCTGACAATTACGGCCAATACGACAAGCATCGACCTTAATCTTAACATCATCTTGGTCAATGATAGCATGCTCTTTCTTTAGATGTTCTTGAAATGTTTGACGACGATAAGAGACTTTCGCACATGCTCCACCTTCGGGCTTCTCATTGTCGCAACGCCAGGTCTCTAGGTGGAAATGTTGCGAGTTCTCGTGTCGTTTCCAGTCATTTTTACTTCCAAAGGTTTTGTTGCAAGCCAAGAAAGTACAGCCGTAAGGCCTCTCGTGCCGTTTCATGTGTTTCCTATTTATCATCAGTGACAATGATGCAAGACGTAGATTTCGAGCTTACTTCAACTCGCAAGGTCTTCCTTTAAACTTTTTACAAACCTCACAAGTAACTTGGTTTTCACTCTTGTTGCTAGCAATAGATCCTGGGTTTTGTATCCGAGGTGTATGATTTGGATCCTTTTGAACAATGTAACCTAACTTTTGAAGGGTTTTGTAAACCTCAACGGCTTTTTCCTGGTCCAGGGAATCATCTGTTGTAGAAGAAGTAGACTTATTAAACCCATTTAGTAAGCATGCAGGTTTATCTGTTGTGGATCCCCAGGAATCAGCGGGGGGAGATTTTCCATTAGGCAAAACTTTCCGTCCCATCGGCAATGCACCAACGTTGGATGGATGATTTGCCTCTGCTAATGCGGTTCTAATTGCTTCGGTAATAGTTGCATCGGTGGCTGAGACGCTACTATGTCGATTTGTCTTACCTGCAGGTGGTAATGGATTTCTCCTCACCGATGGACGGCTTACATGATCAAGATTACGATCCAATGTACTCTTTGTACCCACTAGGGTTGAGATATCACTTTCCAAAAAGATTTTGTTAACAACCTCTGATGGATTCCGAAATAATTCCGATGGTTGGATTGTATCTCTAGTATGTGGATCCGCGGGAGGATTGTTCGGTCCAGGTAAAGCAGTGCCACTGGGATTCACATCCGCGACAAGAGGTTTCTCCATTGGAATTTCCGTTGGGGTGACTAAATCCTGGATCAAGTTTGGATAGACGGGCTTCCAATCGGATTTGATATCCTGGGCTTTTGGTGAACATTCGTTGACTTCCCTATTGTGCGAGATATTGTGGGTAGACGCTTCTGCAGAAAGATGGGCATCTTGAGGCAAACCTGAGGGTTCTTCCAGAAATTCAGCCCTAAAAGATATTAGTGCTACCAAATGTTATTGAAGTCCTCTCAGACCTACTGTCGTATGATCTTCTCAAAATTCTCTTCCAACCCAACGACGTTCGAATGGACTCGTTTCAAGTGACTACGGAAGTTGTCGAGTCGTGGCCATGATTTATCCTTGGACTTACACCCGGGTACAACACACCGGTATCTTTTGATTGACTCCGCCTTCGAGGTCGTAGCTAAGCGGTGTTTGCTCTTTGTATGTCGATCTAGATCATTGGTTGTGCTAAATCCCTCAGTTCTTTCACAACCTGGAAATTTACACACAAAAGGCTTATTATGTCGTAAATCATGCTTCCTATGAAAAATTAGTAGTGATTCTTCATGGCAGATCATTATGGGAACGGACTTTAGCTCAGATTTTGTTTTTACGGATTTGTGACAGGTCAGACAGAACAGACCTGGCGAGTTGATAGAAGCCGGAAGATGTGTTGGCCATGTTTCGGGTGTCCTATTCTCGCGAGATTGCAATGCTTCATTCAACCCCTGAAAAGGTTGATAGTCTGCGACATGACCTGCTAAACTTTGACAGTCTTGATCGCGATCATTAATGTCAGAGCTGAAGATTGAAGCATTTCCATGGCTCCTTCTGGTTTCATATCCGGAATCTGATTGTGGTGGGCCACCGAAATGAAAGGATCCATTTTCCAAGGAATCTTGTTGACGATACGGCCCTCCAAAAGCAACGGGTGCACGATTATTTGAACGAACCTTGATATTTGTTCTTTCCTCTGGGATGGGATCTGAAATTGTCTTGGGGTACCAAGGTCCATCATTATCGGCATACCATTGGAGCAATGGAGCCTGGCCTGTCGCACGATCCATTGGCAATTGTTGCATCCTAGAAATTGGTCCATATGGGGAATTTAAATCAGGAAATCCATGAGGGGAAGGAAACAATGTTGGTTCCCAAGCAACCGAAGAAGAAGGGGAAGGACTTGGAAGGGTCCTCGAATTACTCAGATCAATCTCAATAGGTTGAGGTGGAAAATCTAATGAGGGCGGACCCATCTCTCCTCGTGTAGAACCATATCCGGAATCTGAAGTATTATGCATGGAAGGAGGTGAGGGGTAATACTACGAGTTTCCATCAGAACATAGCTCATGGAAGAAGTTGAAAGGGGGGAAGAATTGATCATACATGGCGTGGATAACTCCCATTGCGGGGATAGCTTGGATGCATCGACATTGCTATTAGCCGTCAGTCAATACTCTGACACGCATCTACTCAACCCGATATAACAAACCGACGAAAAATATGGGAAAAGGTGTAGGAGATATAACCAATATATCAAAGTCTTGGAAGTATGCAAAATGTTATTTGATGTGAGAAGAGCCGCAAGCAATGAGAGAGAGAAGTCGAAGACCTTCGCATACGCGGGGCAAATGACCCGTACGCCTAATCATAAACCATGCATGGTTCAAATGACAACTCGGAGTACTGTATTGTATGTAGACGAGGAAAGGAAAATGGTTCGCGGAATCAAATTCCCAAAGAGAGTAATGAGGCAAAATACAAAAGTTTGATTATATATGTATATGTATGCGACACGAATGGAAAAGCAAGCGATCGAAATGCTTACGAGGTGCGCGTGCTAGATGTGATGTGATGTGATGTGATATGGTGAGGGAGAGTTGAGGAGTGAGTGAGTGAGTGAGAGAGTGAGAGAGTGAGAGTGTGTGTGTGTGTGAGTGGTTTTCGGTGAGAGAATCGGGCATTAAAACAAATGGATTCCGGGCGCGGGCAGTGGAAGGGGAGTAGAAAGAGTTGCGACACGACACGACACGACACGACCACCAATGAATGAGTGAAGTCTTGTTTAATAAATAAGAAGAATAAGAAACAAATGATTTTAAGAAATGAAAAAAAGAGAAGTGTGAATCCTGTGCTAAATGAAAGTGAGAGTGAGGCTTGCATTGGATTGCGTGGTGGTGACTCGTGAGTCGTGAGGAAGTGAGGCGAGCAAGCGAAGAAGGAAAAAGAATCTGGGGGGATAATCCAATACTAGGCAACAGTAGTAGCTGGGCAGGGCATCATGTATGCGTACCAGTAAGTGCTACTAATAAATTAATAAATTACTCAGCTACTCGTTTGATCTGTACTATTATCTTCATCCTGTTCATCCTGTGCATCCTGTCACTCTCAAACCTTTGACGCCCGATTGATATAAACATGAAGAAGATCATTTGTGTGGTGCTTGCTGCTGTGCACACGATATTTGGATCCACCGAAGAGAAAAAAAAAAGTAATATCACGTGACAATCACATGAGCATCTTTGAATGGGAAATAAAGCTCTCGAGGATACGAGACTTATTCGTAGATAGGTAAGTCTGGCTGTACAGAATAGGAGAAAAAGATTGTCTATTTCGTACACACAAACTTTTTCTCGATTTTCCTACTTTCCACCTACCTACCTAGGTAGTAGTATCTCGCTCTCTATAAGCTTAATTCATGCTATGCACCTTACGCAAGAAGGGATCAATCTTCACTCCTCTCATATCTCACGCATGCGAACCTGTCTATATCTTAACACATTCCACCACATCTCACAGCCCTCCAAAAACCCACGCCCACACTCACACATGCATCTTTCCAGAACTTCTGCACCCCGCCTCCTCACATACCTACCTACATTTATACATACACAAACCCATCTAAACTAACTAATAAACGAATGCGATATGGTAACACTCCAAAACCGGTTTACTCACTTCACACACCCACCCCCCTTCCCCGCCCAAATCCCAAAGCAGTTCACCAATCCACGCGATCACGTTTTCGTACACGTCTGACAAAACAGCATAGCACAGCACCGGACAGGTAGAACCGAGACCCCTCGGTTAATCATTCAGAGCGGATGGCGATCGTGTAGCTAGCTCGTAGCTGACCATGGAAATGTATTCTCTGTATACACATCCATTCTAGTCCTCTTGACGATGACATAAAAGCGAGTAATTGAATTGATGCTTCGTGAGGCATGGCATTACCTTTATGAGAGTATGGTATTAAAGAATGAAAAGGGGGATTTCCGTGTAGGAGTGGAAGTGTGGGTATACATACAGATTGTGAGACCTACCTAAATAGATAGATGTGAAAATAGATGTGAAAATGAAAATGAAAATGAAAATGAGAAATAGATATTGAGATGTCCATCCAACAAAACCTCCATCGAATCCCACATCACCCATTCAATCTACAATCCACATATCCTCCAACATCCAACTTCCAATACTATTCAAACAAAAACCCCTCCCTGCCACCCAACCAATATATACACACATAAATACCTAGCACACAACACTCAACCAAAGCTTCTATATCTATGCTTCAAGCGACTGAAGCCCAGTCGACGGATAGATACATTAACTACTATCTATCTCCTCATATACAGCAAAACATAGCATACATCTCACAATCCCACATCCCCCTCCCTCCCCTCCCCTCCCCTCAAAACCTAAACCACACAACACCACAATATCTCTAACATTCCCAATTCTTTCACTCTCCCATCTCTCTCCCATCTCTTTCCCACCTTTTTTCTATCTCTCTCACACCTTTTTCCTACTTCTCTCCTACCTTTCTTCTATCTCTCTTACCTTTCTTCTACCTCTCTCTCATGTCTTTTCTACTTCTCTCCCAAATCTTTCCCACCACTCTCCCTCACACATAAACTCCATCTCATTCCACCCACACCTTCTCAAATACCAATTCTTCAATACCTATCCTATCCATAAAACATAGAAATAAGAAAAAACAATACCCACACATATCCTTTCACCCCACGAGACGACTAATCCTGAGTACCTAGATATTTGCAGTAAATTACATCACCATAAAACCAAATATATGAACACTCATACTTACCCACACGCATTCACTCACTAATTTCAACCACGAATACCCCCATTCACAATCATACATCTCATAACTCATCCCCTCATATTACATTACAAACTCCCTCCCCCATCTCACCCAGACCTCCAAATTTCATGAGTGAGTGGACCAAACCTTTCACCACGAGTTGAGAAATAATAATTTTACATTGAATTGTGCTTTCGTTCTGCCTTTCTTTTTACTCAAGATCAAATCATGGAGTCGACACATCCATTCAACCTCAACATTCTCCGTGTTCCTTTGCTGATTATGTTCCAACCACTTTGCCCAGCAATTCACTCATGATATCAGAATCATCACTTTGCCATTCCACTCAACTCATCAGAACCTCTCAATGCTTGAAAATTAACGCATACCAGCTCCTCCAAGTCCACTCATACCCGCTAATCTACTCGCCAATTCTGGATATTTCTCCTGGACTTCCAATTGTGTTCTCGTAGCTTCAGCATAACTCAAAGCATTGACAATTTCTCCTTCTGTTCTGGATAATTCTGCTGCTCGCTCAAAGTACTTAAGTGCTTCAGTCACCTTGCCTTGTTGAAGAAGAAGTTGTGCCATGGTTGCAACAGCGATATCACACTCAGGGTCGACTATTCAGAATTATATTAGTATAGGAAACAAATGGCTACCGAATAATTACGTACTGATAAGAGCCTTTTCACAAAGCTTCTCAGCCTCACTGAAATCTTGCTTCCATTGGAAAAGAGCAAGAGCTTTGTTGATGAGTGGAAGAACACTCATGCCTAATGGCTTAGTTTGCTTCTCCAACTCGACGGCCTTTTCGAATTGTGAAATAGCTTCATCATACTTCTGTTGATCCAACAAAAGCTCTCCGTAGTAGTTGTATGCATCAGGTACATCTTCGAATGCCTTAATTGTGCGTCTGAATGTTCCCATAGATGATGCGGTTGAGCCCATCTTATATTGTGTAACACCAAGTTGAATGTGCGAGAAGATAAAGTCCCGGTCAAGATCAATAGACTTTTGATAGTCCTTTGCGGCTTGTGAGAGTTCCCCAAGGATAAAGTTGAGTTGGGCACGGTGGTAGTAAATATCAGGGTCATCGTCATGTTGTTCCATAGCTTTGTCGAAATCTGCAGCGGCGGCGTCCTTGTCACCTGATTTTTGATTAGTAGCTAATCATAAATTAATGGACTATAAATACTAACCAAGTTCCAAATGCATGCTTGCACGCTTGATGTAACTTTGTGTGTAGTCGGGCGACAATTCGATACTCTTGCTCAAATCACTTAAAGCATCAATTTGTACACCACGAAGATATCTGAACGTTCCACGCATGTTGTAAGCAAAAGCTTCATGTTCATCGAGATCGCCCAAATCCAAGGCCTTTTCAAATGCAGCTGAAGCATCTTCATATCCTTCATTAGTCTTCTTTGCCATAGCTCGAAGTCCGAGTTGTAATTGACCCTTTCCAGTTTCCTCTGATACCTCAACGCTATCTTCTAATCCTGCAGGCGCGGGTTTCGATCGGAAACTTTGGAGGTAGTTGGTGACGAATGTTGGGCTTGGAAGCTTCTTATCCTTGGCCTCAAGAATGACCTTTGCCTTCGACTCGGCTACTTTTTTGAGCAGTCTCTCAACAGATTGTGCGCTTTGCTCGTTACGGAAACCATCGATAATACAGCTGGCTGTGAAGTCGAGTAAAGCCTCACTGTATTTCTCGGTATGTTCATAAGCATTTGCTCTACGGTTCAAGGCCTTTACATATCCACTATCGAGATTGATCGCAGCAGTAGTATCCTCAATAACCTTCTCGAATTCGCCGAGAGCGTTGTAGCATGCAGCACGGTTCGAATAGAAGATAGGATCTGGCTTGCAAAGGATGGCTTTCCCATAAAGATCGATGGCTCGAGGATAGTCTTTGGCTCCGTATGCGGTGTTACCAGCTGCCTTCAACTTGGCGGCATAATCTTTACGTTGTTGATCCGATAGACTTCCCACAGTGTTTTCGTCAACCTCAGGAAGTTCATCGATAGTCTCGACTGGTGTTTTGGGTTTGGTATCAGGTGGCGTGGTTCCCTTTTCTAAATCGGCTTCCTTCTTTTCTTCCTTCTTCCTTCGCCTCTTTTCCTTTGACTTCTTTGGCACGCTTTGGGTAGATGTGGAGTCCTTCTAATGTATGTATTAACATCTGCAATGATGATGTATCTACCAAAACCAGTGGTAAGATACAACTTACTGAGTCTAATAAATAGTATGCAACTCCGGCGCCTGAAACTACTACCGCCACTCCAGCAATTGTATATACAACTGCCTTGTTCTCAGAAGCCCATGTGGTTATGCGATCCCAGACTGATGATTGTGGTGTTGATACCGCAAAATTTGGCATGGGTTTGCCCGGAGGCATTGTACTTGGTACAGACATTTAAAAGCAATAAAATGGGCAATTAAAGAAGATGCAGTAGGGTAATGGGGAGGATTATGAGTGGTATAGCTGATAGGTGGTGGTTACAATCTTGATGTTCAAATTGAAGGTGGATTCAACAACCAGCTCAAAAAATCTTGGTGATACCAGTTTATTCATCAAGTAAAGCTACGGCATTGGCCATCCTTAGCGCATGGCGGCTAAAGCGGCGCTCTTTCGTCATTGTGGACTCGCACCACTCGTCGCTTGGAAAATCCATATAATCCCCGCCGCCTTTGGCGAGGGGTAGATTTACTATGGTACTATGGGCATATCGTAGATGTACGCATAACTCAGTTCATTTTACATGACCAAAATATAAATTTGCATCATTTATAGACATTGGCACCTAGCAACTTTTAGACCTCTATATTTATATTTTGCGCGTTGACTGGCATCTGTTATTAGTTTCCAGAACGTATGACGGAAGGGAATTGTTCATTTTACGAAATTTTTGCAAGATATTGTAGTAAGTCTACCGAAAATAAGTGATGTGTTTCTAGATGTCATGTTCCAGAGTACAACACACCCTTCTTAGGATCCAGCTATCTCTTTCCAACCAGAGAAGCAAACCTACAAATCAATCATACATTTTCAAATCCGGAAACCTCTTCAGTCGTTCAGCGTTGCTAAGTCCCACTTTCCACACAGACCTATCCTTCTCGTCTTGAACAGCCGTATATCTTAACCTCAAATGACTAAGAACATCACATATCTGTTCGCCCTCCGCAACATTCCCATGACCTCCCAAAGAATTCATCACCGGCCGCAGTATACTCGCTGTAGAAAAGATACTCTCATCTTTAACCACCACTTTATTTGCCACAAACGCCGTTGTTATAAAACAGATCGCTTGTACAGAAACGAGACCAATCAAAAGTCCCAAGAGAAGTGCATGTTGAGTAATTTTGAGCTGAGTTCCTATAACCGGCCGATCTCCAATAGCATATATTGAAGGATTGTTGGAATTCGCAGCAGCAGCTATGGCACCAATAGCAAAATACGATATTTGATATCCAAAATCCACTGCCGATCCATTTCGCGGATAGCCACAAGTAGACTCAGAAACATATATTCGATACTGAGTATCATTTAGTTCGGGGTTAGCCGCATAGCCTTGTAAAGCGATTGCAGCTGATGACATGTGACGGAGTGATAGAGAAACTTCTTGATTTGCATTTTGGGCGTTGATAACAGGGCCAACCGTAATGTTGCATTTATAATACCAAGGTTCGTTCGCCGAAGCCTCGAGTGCTTCAACAATGCTACAACCTTCGCCGCATGTTGTAAATGGATTTGTGAAGAATGTTGTTTGATCTGGTCCAGCAGCGATTGGTACTTTAACCTTGAAACCCTCCGAGTTTCCTTTCTTACTTATGTTCAAATTTGTAAAATTGCCATTTCCTCCTTCCAACACAGGATAACTCTCACAGCTCGATGTAGACTCGATCGTACGATCCGAATATGCAGAAGTTAAGCCATCAGAAGAAGTATCCATGAATACAAAGACCCAACTTCGTTTATTAACCCCAAACAAATCAGCTGTCAACCCAGATTTATAGATTGTTGCTGGCTCAGGAATTGTTTGCGTAGTAGACCACAAATTTAAAGCCATCATACCAAAACTAACAATTAATATTGCTTATGAATTAATCTCATGAAATAACTCACCTGTTTGCTGTATATTGTTGTGCGCCCAAGTTGTTAATTGAAGCTCTACCATTTGGAAGCTTTACGGGAAAGAATTGTGTCATGTTAGGATAAGAAACGTTCCCACGAGACATATGAGCCAATTTCTCAGCAGTATCAACTGAATATGTAAGCCCAACAGATGCAATGGCCACTTGAGCACCCTATCCCTGTTAGTCTGTGTATAAAGCATGGTTGGTACGATAAACTTACGATATTAAGAAGAACCCAAAGTAAACACGACATGATCATAGTGCCCAAATCCCAATCCCAAGTGAAATGTCTAATCTTGTACCAAACTTTGCGTCCAAGGAGGCTAGAGACAGTGGTAAGGCTGTCAGCGTGTAGAATTGTATCGATCTTGTGGTCTACTCAACAGGGAGCATTGAATAAGTGCTGTCATGAAACTCACGTCTCTTAGACTCCTTTCCTTTCTACTTAAAATCCACCATCTTAGATCAATCGCCATGGCCTCAAATCCAAAAGTAAGACTCATTCCAATCATTAGAACCAGGTAGAGCGAGACGGCGTTGAAAAATTGCTTCTCTCCTTCAGTCATATCTTGGTCCTTTGAAACGACTCGAATTGTTACATAAAGAAGAGATATCAGGACAAATGTGATAAGCCATCGGATAAAGCCTCTTCGAAAGAGTCTCCAGAATTGCTTCGATGATTCGAATCTCAACTTCAAGGTTGCGAGAGAATTATCGGTTATAACAGAAGGAGAATCGGTAGAAGAAGAATCTAAACACAAAGATCAGGTCCTACCTAAAATACATAGGAGAATGTGATGTTACTTACCCATTGCTTTTGCTTCACACCCGGAGCTGGCCAATGCTTAGCAGGTTGTGTTCTCCCAAGGCGCAGTGTAAATATTCTAGTTGATTGAACTATACCAAGTAACTCTAGGTATCTCAGTTTATTTGGCAATTTGAGGGGTAGATAAAATGGCTGGGGTCGAAACTTGGAGAGGTGTGTGGAGATTTTCAGGAACCACGATCCATAAGGCAAGCTGGGAGGTATTTGGACAGCAGTCTATATCTGATTTGGAGAAAATTCTGCTACCATCATGCTATGTAATGAATTCATTATAAATGAGCTGCAACCGTCGATTACCATCTTAACGAATGCATTAAAACGCTGACTAATGACGAACACATTCCAAGGATTCAGGAATGCGGAGCTGAAGCAAAGAGCTTTTCTAGAAGCAATAGATGAGATACCATATAGTACTCAACATAGAAGCAATCTATTGCCAACGCAATACGACAGAGCACATTCCAACACTTGAAGAGAAAGAGACCTATTACGTCACTGACAGCCCCGAAAATCGTCTGACCTCTCACCAAATGAAATACATCATTTTCCGATAGGTATTCATCATGTTGTCTATTTTCAACCCCTGAGCCTCCTATAATTTCGATAGAGATACTTCTCAAGGTGTATTTCGTATAAAAAGTTGTGAAAACACTTGTATTTCGAACCCACACATCGACACATTATCAACGAGAAATTAAACAAAGCCCTAAATCGTCCAAATACTCGATTCCAAGACGCTAGTAACCATGAATCATACCAACAAGCGTCTCTATCCAAAACGATGACTGCTGAATTCGACCTAAAGACTGCGTTTTTGTTCTTATCGTCTACAGCCTAACAAAATCATCAAAGTACTGGTACACTTTAAGAAATTAAAACCACAACCGAAGAACTCCCACGATATCGTGTATCACGTGACTCACACATTATCATATCCACCAACCCCCCAAATCGCAGTTTCCTATTCCTATTCCAATTCTTCGAGAAACCCGCAGTGATTCATTTCCAAAGAGGAACTTCAATCAAATAGCACACAGCACAGTATGTCAACTTTCTTTACACATCACTACGTGATTCAGAATTACATTTTGTCGAATGCGCGGAAGATTTCATCCTGTGTCTGAGATTATTGTTTCCGGCTCGACGAGTTGTATAGCTGCCACCCCGGCTAGGGAGTCTAGGGAAAATGTCGAGTATTGGATAGGAAAGCTATTCAAGTTTTTCATGATGCGATTATACATCAAGTAAATGTATGGTGGATATATATACATGTGAAGAAGTCTCCTCTACAAATCTCTGCTTTGCGAAGCGGATCATGAGTCAGAGTCAAACGCTTTATATATATAAGATTACCACGATGCCTAATATCTGTAATCTTCTTATCTCATATTTTTTTATTTCAAACTTACAAATTGCAAAGCACAAGATTGAAAGAATCTAACAAACAACCCCTTAGATCCTTCTTCCACCCTCCACCCTCCACCTTCCACCACCAACCAGCCAGCATGTCTCCCTCCCCAGACCCCAACCCAAGCCCAACTTTTCAACTCTTCACCTCCCTCCGCTACGATCCCCTCCTCCTCCAATCCCCACAAAACATCGAATCCTGGCCACTCCCCACACCCACCCCCTCCCCCTTCTACATGCTCCCCTACCACCGCGACCGCCTCCTCCAAGCCGCAACCCACTTCTCCTTCCGCCCTGCCATCCTCGCCATCTCCGGAAATTCCGGATTCGAGAACCTCCTCTCCGTCCTCTCCTCCTCCATTGACATACAATCTCCAACCCCGCTTCGCGTGCGCATCGTCCTCGATCACAAAGGAACCCTAAGCATCGAAAGCAACCCCGTCCCCCCAGTCCCGCTATCCAATCTCTTCCCCACCCGTCTCCCACCTCCATCCTCTATCTCTCCTTCCCCCACTCCCTACATCTCCCCCCTCACAGGCGGGGCTCTCACTCTCGGCCCTACCACCACCCTCCCCAGCGACCCTACCACCTCTTCCCCATGGATCATCATTCCCGACCCCTCCCCCACAATCCCCACCCCCTACACTAGCTTCAAAACCACCTCGCGGTCCCAATACGACACCGCGCGCTCGCGCGCCCACATCCCCACCTTCACATCACCCCAAGAAGTCCTCCTCATTTCTTCTAAAGCGGATGAGATAATGGAAGGTTCCCTCACAACTCCTTTCTTCTACCGAGATGGAAAATGGGTTACGCCGTCTGAGAAGAGCGGAGGTCAAATTGGAACGACTAGACGATGGGCATTGGAGAAAGGGTTCGTTTTCTTTTCTTCTTCTCTCCTCTCCAACACTCTCTCCATATACCCTCCCCCACAGAAAACATCCTCATCTCTAAGGATAATCACCCCATGAAAATCTAACACCCACAATAGAATTTGCGAAGAAAGCACCATCACCCTGGACTCCCTAACCGAAGGAGAAGAATGTTGGATCAGCAATGGAGTACGAGGTTTTACATGGGGGAAGATCCAGCTTTCGCCTTAGACCCCCATCCATCCATAGACCGCCACACAACACATCATAATAGATAGATACCACACTCTGTATACATCAATTTAGAGAAAAAAAATATAGAACTCCCAATCCAACATATATCCAAGATGCATGCGTCATTATAACGAAAATCAGGTACCTAGTCTTGATAGGAATGCCCAAGCTCTACGAAAAAGCGATACAATCAATATACTAGACTTGCTAGGATTATCTAAAGTGTAACCTTGAATGTGAGGAAAGTAATATTGGAAATGTATCAAACATCGAATTTAATCTACTCATTCTCTTCCACCCTAAATACTATAATCGATTTAACATCTCACAGCATAACCAGATACAGGAGACACAGAACAGAAAGAAAATCGCCAAGAGAGTGACACGATGCAACAAAAAGAATGATAATACCCGCTATAGCTATGGGACCTTCTCCGTAATTTATTAGACCAGACCCTTTCATTTTTCCAGTAGTTAGGTTAAGTCTTTAGAGACAGAGAAAGAGATAAAATTTGCTGCGCCAAGAAATTGTTTCATGCTTGCTTTCGGGAATCTTGCATCGTACGCTCAAAATCAAACCCAATCAATCTTTTCTTCTTTATTCAAGTTTGAAGTTAAACCCCTCACTCCCCCAAAAATCACCCTTTATGAGAACCACATCTTCTACGATCGCATAGCATCCAAACCACCTTGTAAATCTTGTTCAAGATCATTTGGTCCTTGTCCATAAGCTTCTTGTGGTCTTGGATCCTCAGCACGCCAGCTTGCTTGCTCTTGTGGTATTGGTACTTGAGGACCATTGCTTTGACCTTGTTGACCAGGTTGAACACGGACATGTTGTCTAAATCTGTGAACTTCTTCCAAGATCAACTTTCTAATCTCGCCTACATCTTCCACAACCTCAAAATCGAAGTTAAATGTTGTTGGGCATCCAGGCTCATCAGAGGCATCATGCCAAATTTGAAGGTATGGGTGTTCGAGAGCAGTTTCGACATCGATACGGGAAGATGGGTCAAATGCTAACATATGATCAAGGAGGTCAAGAGCATCGGGGTTGGCGTTGGGGAATAAAGTTGTGAAGGGTCGCTTCGCCATATATGGGAGGTTTCGTACGTATTCCTGTGCTCGTGGCGATCCAATTCTTGATAGAGTTTCTTCATTTGGTGTACCAAGAATATGTAAAATTTGGTTGAGTTGATCGACATAATCTCTACCTTTAAAGAAAGGACGGCCGCCTAGTAATTCTGCGAGAATACATCCTACTGACCATACATCGACTAATTTACGTTAGCGCCTGATCTTCTTTTCCAACCAATGGATGCGTAACTTACTAGCTTTTGTATAGCTCTGGAAGCTCAACATAATTTCAGGGGCACGATACCATCTTGTAGCAACGTATTCGGTCATGTATCCAGCATTCTCTTCAGGGTCGACAGAGAAACCTCTAGCAAGACCAAAATCACAAATCTTCAACTCGCAGTCGGCATTGACCAGCAAATTACCGGGCTTCAAATCGCGATGAAGAACATTGGCAGAATGAATATATTTAAGACCACAAAGGATTTGGTAGATGAAAGATTGGAAATGTGCATCAGTGAGGGGTTGACCGGATCGTACGATAGCAGCGAGATCACACTCCATGAGCTCTGCGAAAAAGATATTAGCATGGCACAACGAGTTGCAGAATCTGAGACCCCATCTTACCTTCATAGAGATATGTTTCATTGAAATTATCTGGTCGAGGAATATCCATATCGTAGAGGCAAGTAATCTATGCCATGTTAGAACTACCCCACCACTATCATCGCGAGGATAGGAGTCGCATACGTTACGATGACCTCTGAAATGTTGTAACAACTTTATCTCACGTAGCGCACGCTTTGCCAAAATCTTCTTGCTGAAGACATTTGTAACTTTCTTAATTGCGACACCTTCTTGTGTTTGAGAATTCGTAGCAGCACTGGCATAAAGAAGAATGTTAGTTAAAGGTTCTTGATACGGACATGCGCATATGCAGGTAGGGACGGAAAGAAAGTAACATCGTACCAAACAATACCATAAGCTCCTTGACCAAGCTCCTTGGTGACTGTGTATCTCTCGTCGACGATAAAGTCTTGATTGAAGACCTTGAAGACCTTTCTTCCTTGAAGGTCTGCCATGGTTTCTAATTTGGATCTGTAGACGCGTAACTGTTTTTGATGGTATTGATGAGATATGTCCAAATTGGTTGAGGCGGGAGAAATAAGACGCTTTGCTTTTTGAAAACGAATGTGTAACAATCAATTATAAGTCAGAGAATGAATATAAGTAGGAGGATTGAGAAAGTGTTTGTTTTGCTTCGTTCGTATGATATGATCTCCCTAACCGCCGACAAGGAAGTGAGGTTGGCTTTTGGATTTCTCAAGTTTATGATGGGTCTTGCGGGAAGAGGCACAGCACGGAAAATTTGGGGTCCAAGGTGGGGAGAAGAGAGGATGGATGGCAGTGGGTGGCAGTGGATGGCAGTGGACGGGGGGATTTTTATTACCTTTCCAACAAGGAAGGAAGGAATGGATGGGTGGATGGATGAATGATTAAATGATCGAATGAATGCCGATAATGTTATAAGATGATAACAATGAGAGGACCAATTGAATTAATTTATATACCATTTCTAATTCATATGTACTGGCTGGTATACTAATAAAATTGAATGGAAAGGGATCAAAAGGTAGTAATACTAGGTAAGCAATGAGTTTCTCTCCCCTTGGGATAAGATTAAACTAATACTCTTCTCATCTCTCATCTCTCATCTACTCATCTACTCATCTCCTCATCTACTCATCTACTCACAAGTTGAAAGACAAGAAGTTCTTTCTGTCCTTTCTTATTGCCCTTCTGATCCTTCTGACCCTTCTTGCAAAAAGTTGTCTTTGTTTCTTCACCTCCCTACTCCTCCGTCTATTCCCTCCAAAGGGTTCAGTCAAAGGGTCAATCAATAATGGATCTTTTCCTCCCAACAACAGACAAAGAGGGGGGAAACGCCAAACTAGCTGACTATCAATTAGCTATCAAAACGGGAGGTGGGGGGAAGCTTAGGTAATAATTAAGCCTTGATCTCGTTTATCCAACCAATGATATTACTTTATTTGATCAGTTACAGAGAATGGATAAGGCTGAATGTTTCATATCTTTTCCTTTAACTATTCTTTTTCGTATTATTTTATTACCCATTTACCATTTACCTACTAGGTAATAAGCTTATTCCCATCCCTTTTGCTTGCTCATCTACTCTATCTATCCGAATCCCACTCACTTCCAACTCCAACACAACCATCTCTCATCCCCAATCGCCATTCAACATGAATCCAGTCAAAATATAGGAGATTGCACGATATTCGAATATATTTTAATATTATATATAATACACACAACATATAATATACGACCCTCTTCTTTTTCCTCTATCATCCAAGACTTTATTGAATATGAATAAAGATAATAAGCCACAATATATACATCTTCCACCCTCTCTTTGACCCGGTCATTTGGTTGGTCTTCTCTCTCCTACAGCGCTTCAAGGAAACCAGTATCTGAGCGCATACCAGCCGAGCGGGAAAAGTCTCTTTTGGGTTACAAAATTTGACGCCTGATTGAACCAATTTCATGACCAATTTCGTTTCATCTACCCTGAGATCATCTGTTGTTCATACCATTGGCTTTTTGGCTTTTTTTCTCTTTGCATATACGACCAGTACCGAGAAGAATATACCCCACTTCACTGGACTATGTCTCACATGCGCCGATCGCGTTGAGAGTGCATCTTACTAGGTAGAGGTAGGTAAATATTCCTTCATTCTAACTTCTAAATTCATTCTAATATTATAAGTTGCGTTGGAAGTCCTCCGCTCATGCTTTAAGCATAATACACATGCGTTTCTATCGTAATATCACGAGAACATGTGATAAAACCTCACAATGATCATTATTCTCCAAAGTGTTTTTCCGTACCCTTAACATACCTCCACCATGGCGTCAGTCATCATCCAATCATTGACCAATCTACCCTCTCTCTCTGCCATATCCAATTTGTCGAGCTTGTTTCGCATTGCTTTCTTGAAGTCTACGATTTTCTCGAATTTCTTTCTTGCTTTGTAGTCGTTGACTGTCTTGAGAATTTTCTCCTCTTCATCTGTATACCCAAGCGGCATAGTAGAGGAAGTAATTGTGGAAGAGTTAGACCAAGTGGTCAGACTAGTGGAAGAAGAATGAGTAGAGGGAGCTGAGATTGTACTGGCCGTTTCGAAAGTCGAATTCCAGTTTCGTAAGTCGTCGCCGAAAGGCCTAAGAAAGTCATCCAACGGATATCCTTGCCCGACCACAGACTTGGGGTTGAGGATGGTAAGGTCAGGGACACTACCATATCTCCCTGAAAATTTTGGTCAGTACACACTCACATTATTTGGACCCTATCGGGGTTATACGTACAATCATTCTTGAGATACCAGTCCGCTTGCAAGGTGCTCTGATCCTCCTGCGCTCGTATGAAATCTTCTTTCTCCTTCAAGATCTTGTTCTGCTTTATGAGTTGCTTCTTGTGACCAACTTGTAATTTCAATCTGTTGACACCTTCTTGGTCAAGAAGTTCGAACACAGGACCTCGACCTTGCAGTTGGTCTCGAAGACAACCACAAATCTCTTTAATTCTTTCATTCTCCCAATCTATAGTCATAACATTAGCACATGTAATTTGCATCACAAAGCTCATTTTGCAAATACTCACTAACAGCAGCTACCCATCTCCCACCACCTTTCATTATTTCTTTCTTCTCCATTTCTTTACACCACCAAGCGAACCAATGGTATTGTTGTTCCTCTGTCAGATTCTCCAATCTGCAGTTCTTACGGCACATATCCTGGTAAGTATCCGGTGACATGCTGAGGATAATTTCGGTAATAATGATATATGGTACCGGAGGGGTGATGCGGTGACGGAGAAGAAGAACGAGGAGGGTGATATCGCGTCTGAGAGTGGTTATTGTTAATCTGGGTCTACAAGCTCAAGCTTAACCATACAAATATCCATCATCTCCAACCCTCTAAAAACAGGAAGATCTAAGGGAACATGAGAAAAAAAAAGAAAAGAATAAGCTCTTACTTATCGGCTTTGACAGAAGTCTTGCTGTTCATAACCTTACCCTCGGGCTTTGTACATACAACCCATGACTTGGGCGCCATCCTTGCGTTGATATTTTTACCCATACTTGTTAAAGTTCTCCCGCTCTGTACCGTATGTAGGATGCGAAGAGCAAGTAAACTTTACCTCCAGCAAATATATCAGCACGGCCTTTGCGAGTTGTGAGTCGCCTAGCAGGTAAGAGATGAACACAGAAAAGCCAGCTGTGAGTCGTCTAGTAAGGTATGCCACTCAGTGCATAGACGGATAATAAATAAAGAAAGACGTGTGTATATTCCCACGACGCAACAATAGTATTCGAAAAATAGTAGTGACTCGGCTTTGATAAGTATGTATGCATGTATGTATAATATAATAATCAAAGTTCCATCCACATTCCCCTTGTACCAGCTGTTCAGATCGTTATTCAAATCGTTATTGAAATCCCATTCACAGTCAAGTCGGGCGCAAAACCAATAACAAATAAGAAGTGGAAAACAAGTACTAATTATAAATATCAAATATCAAATATCAAACCCTTAAGAATCAAACGGGTAAATCGAGAGTTAATGTGTAAAAGTATTAAAATATCTCGTGATTTGTATGTATGTAGGAATACTGTACTGTACTGTAATACGGTAATACTGTTAGTGCGAGTGCGTACTTGATGATTCAGAATTGTGTATGGAGTATGTATGATAGTTTGGTAGGTATGGTACGGTACGGTACGGCATGGCAAAGTAAGGTATGGTAGTTTGGGGTGAGTAATATTTTGGAGGGGGGGGTGTGTGTGAATCGAAAATGCGGGTTGGGAATGGGAATTTATGAATGAATGTATGAATCAGTGTATGTTTGAATCATTTAGGGAGAAGAGGAGATACGTTCACAGATTTGGGTGCAGTATCATGTGTTATGTTAGTATGGGTGTGTGAGTGTGTGAGTCTGAGTGAGTGTATGAGTGAGTGTATGTATTCGCGAAAAGGAAATAGATGTATGAATCGATGTATGAATCGATATATGAATGAATATCAGGGTGGATAAATATATGGACGGAAATGTGGATATGGTTATGAGTAGATTTTATGAATGGATGGATGGATGTAAGTGTGTATATATTGTGAATGATATCTGCAAGCTAGGCAGGTGGATAGATGGGTTGTGATTCAGATTCCTTCATCTGGGTTCGGGTTTGTTTTGTTTGGGTTTATTGTGTGATATGGTATGGTATTTTATATTATTATACTGTACTGTTTCTTTGAGGTGGGAGTTGGGGTAGGAGGTAGAGTGATAGTGAGAGGATGGGTATGAGGAAGGATAAAGACAAGAAAATGAAAAGATACCGGGAGAGTATTGCTAGAGAAGAGAAGAGAAAAGTAGACAAGATCGGGGTTACGATTATAATGGTGATTATGGCTAGATGTGATCATGACTACGAGGAAAAACATGTCGATTACTATTGCTATGCTATTACTATTTATAAGACGATAATGATGATAGTGATTATACCCACAAGGAAAGGGACATCTATGAGCATGACTACAACTATAACTGTAATTCCAACCATGCTCATGAACATATGGAAAGATATGACTACCTACCTAATATCAAGATGATTACCATCATCACCATGGAGAAAGACATAACACATACATACACAACCTAGCTATATCCCCTAAGAACCGTATCCGAGATACTTACCTACCTACCTACATTGATAAATATCTATTTTCAACCTTCACCTTTTCTCTATAAAAGAGACCAAGGGGAAAGAAAGAAAGTGAATATGAAATATGGGGTATGGGGGTAAGGGATATGCGTAGATCACGGGTATATGGACGTAAGTATTAATAGATTTGACAGATACCTACCTACCTACCCAAATATAGAATATCTAGGGAGATAGGATGAAGAATAGATCAGAGAATGGATGACTAGAACCCTAGGTATTTCCTTAGTCTACCTTTAAAGGAACATCTGTCCCGGTGTCCCGAGATGTACACTGTAACAAGACAAATCGTAGATACTTTTGAGTTTAAATGACTTTAAATCTATAACCCCATTAAAATTTCTATTTGTTTTATCTACAATTGTATTTTGTGCCTTTTCAGAGGACTTCTGACTTATTATTTTCAAAAATTATTATTGTATTATGACTATCCTTTTGCATTTGTAAAGAGTTTTCTTTTATATTGTATTAAAACATTTCGATTTGCAATAATATTATAAAACCTTTTTCACCTTTTAAACTTATAGAATGATTAGATAAGGATTTCTGAGTTTTATTAAAATACTAAAAACTTGTTCTCAATATTGTAATGATTATAGTACGCTATATAATATATCATCATTACTCGTATAGCCAGAAAGTATACAACTCCGATGCTAGATATATATACCACAAGATAATAAACTATATAAAAAACTAATCTGGTTTTTATAACATCAGAGTTGCATACTTTCTGTCTAGTCACACAAATCTAAAAACTAATACTCGTACAATCAGAAAATATACAACTCTAGCACTATGAAAACTAGATTAGTCCTTTTGTAATTTACCATCTTGTAGTATATACATTTAGCATCGGAGTTGCATACTTTCAGGCCGTACGAGTACTTCCTTTAATCAAGTGATCAAGGATTGTGGTTGATATTAGTGTAGCTATAGTAATGTCGATGAAATGATATATATGGCTAGGTACTAAATGACTAAGTGTGTAGCTTAAAGCACGGACTAGTAGTTTGCCAAGACCCTGGGAATGGCTGACACTTAGCAAACCTTTACAGATAGGGAAAAGACTTTCAAGGTTGTGATTAACCTTATTATTTTAGCGCATTACCGCTACAGCTAGCCACAGTCTGTAAGTCGCTTCTCACAAAGTTGAAATATGTAGTACACAACTGGACTAACCAAGAACAATCTAAGTTAGAAAGGTATAGAAGAATCTGGTATAATCCACAATAGTATATAAGTGTAGCTCTCCCCACGCCTCTCTTCTGGCTCGGTTATAAAATGAATACTAAGGAGAAGATGATGTTTATGTAGGTATGGATACAATAAATATTTCTGAAAGTAAGCTAAATTTATCAAAGATTATCATTATATGGATCATTTATTCCGATAATAAAAACTCTCCCAGATTGACATCCAATGGCGAGTTTCGAGCCGGTGTGCGAGATAGTAAAGATTTCAGGCCGGAAGTCGGGTGGTAACCAAAGAAGGTTCTGGCCATTCCATATTACCCAAGACTCATTGATACTTAATCCTTGACAGCGGCTTCTACTATTTATTGCTCGAGAAGATGAAGGCAAAGGGATGTTGCTGTTTATATTTAACCTAAAGCAGCCAATGTCTGTAATTAAGATTGAGTTTGTGATATCAAATGATAGATTTCTTGCGCCAATATGGTCTTCGAGTGTGTGCTGCAATGTGCCTGTAGCTATATCCCAGATCTTGATTGTGTGATCGTCCGATGCTGATGCTAGCAACTTCGTGTTGGTCGAGAAAGCGATTGAGTTAACCCAATTGCTATACTTTTCGATCGTCTGTTGCAATTTGCCTGTAGCTGTATCCCAGATTTTGATTGTGTGATCACGCGATGCCGATGCTAGCAGTTTCGAGTCGGCTGAGAAAGTGACCGAGCGAACCGAACCACTATGCCCTTCGAGCGTCTGCTGTAGTGTGCTTGTAGCTACATCCCAGATCTTGATTGTGTGATCGTGTGATGTCGACGCCAGTAGCTTCGAGTTGGCCGAGAAAGTGACCGAGTTAACCCAATCGCTATGCCCCTTAAGCGTCTGCTGCAGTGTATTTGTGATTGTATCCCAGATCTTGATTGTATGATCGCGTGATGCCGACGCTAGTAGTTTCGAGTCAGCTGAGAAAGCAATCGAGCGAACCGAACCACTATGCCCTTCGAGCGTTTGCTGTAGCATGCCTGTAGTTGCATCCCAGATCTTGATTGTATAATCACGCGATGCTGACGCCAGTAGCTTCGAGTTGGCTGAGAAAGCGATCGAATGAATCCAATTGCTATGCCCTTTGAGTGTCTGAATAATTGCATTCCATTCCAGATCTGTATTTGGTTCTTGTAGAATCCAATCAGGAGTGTAATTATGGAACGTATCTCGAATGATGCTTTCTTTTGGGGCGAAGATAAGTGCAGAGGAGTAGAGTTGGAGGGGCGACGAGTCTATTATAGAGTAGTAGTTGAGGATAAAGGGCTTTGCATCGTAGAAGAACTTAGATATTTCGCTGCCTTTTATTGGCTTAAAACTTATATTTAGTAGATACTTGTAGTTGAGAGTACGGGTGACCTACGTCTATTATAGCCATCAAGCTCTCTACCATACCAATACTTTCTCGTAGCCTACCAATCAAGCTTAATGATTCAAGCCAGTGAAGAAAATGACACTTGAGGAAATTGTGGACCTGATCGCCATCGTATATACTACTTCCGCTTCCCTTCAAGTGGTATACCCAATACTGGCAAGCATATTGAATTTCGGATGGTAGGTGAAAATCTATCGTTTGTTTATCAATATCTGCTCGTGGTTTTTCTAGTGTCCGAAGATTGCAAATATCTTTTTTGAGATGTTCGCCCGTCGATAAGAGTTCAATACATCGGGTCGCTAACTTCTTATGGGTATCTTTCTCGTCAACCCAAAAGGGATTCGTCTCGCGCTTCTCAGTATCAGTGAGAAAGTCCCGGAACGACAAATGGAGCAGTCGTATAGGGTGATCAGAACGAGAGGGGATGCTTAGAACGGAGTGGAGGAGATCTGTTCTGCTGTCGACTGTACCTTCAGGAACTCCAAGGAGTCGATCGAGAGAAGTAGCGGAAAGAGGGCTAGCAAGAATGACGATTGATCCAACGACTTGCTTAAAGTCTTCTAATAGATCTGTTCTCTCTGAAAGAGTAACTCCGACGAGTAAATGATCTAGGACTGGAAGATACATTGCATCAAGTTTAGACGCTTGGTTTCTATCCTGGTATTTCAGAACCTTGGCAAGCTGATCCTTCGGTTGGCCGCATTTTCGGTCATTGACGAACCGGCAGACAGTTGTAGCAAAAATAAATAATGGCAAGGCCATTCCGGCTAAATTTTGAACAACTTCGTGACCTGGCCAATTCGCGCGTAATTGCCGGCTTTGAGTGACTGATTTGTTGTAATCTTCTCGGATTACTGCCAGTTCGTGTTCTAGGAATAAAGAAATATCCGCCTTAAGAATTGACTCTGAAATTTGATAGAGATTCAATCTTGCATATTGACAGTATATATTCTCAAAGCCCAAGCGAATCGGATTCTCTGACCTGCTTGTCAAAAAGAATAGGACATGTGCTGATGTGTGTAGCACTTGTGAGAAAAGGCTAATGATAGTTTCAACGTCCTCTTCTTGATCGCACTCGTCAAGAGCATCAACCACAATCACTATGCGGCAAGACTTCTGAGGATCGATTTGTAACTTCCATAACGGTCGCGAGACAAGTGCGTTGAATTGTTGCCTCAGAGCCTTCCTAGAGATTCCTGGGTCAGCTTCGATCGCATCTCGGACATGTTGTGCTAAGGAAGGTAGTTTTTTGACGAGCTGAGTGACAATTGTTGCAAAAAACATTCCTGCGTGGCCACGGTCGCCTTCACCCCTCTTAAAGAAGAAACTGGCACCGAGCTCTCCCTTGACTGAAAAGTTTCGGGCCACGGTGCGAGCGATTGTAGATTTGCCAGTGCCAGCCATTCCATTTAGCCAGAATATGCGATCGCTGTTTCGATTGCTAGCCCAGCTGTATATGCGTCGAAGGAGTTCCGCTCGTGTGCCTTGGTAGCATCGGGCATTGTGTTCTTCATCGTGGGATTCAAATGCGGCATTTTTGACAGATTGCAGTTTATCAAGTACGATTTTTTGATGGATGTTAAGAATTGGCACCCTATAAGTATCATCGTCAGCTTCTGCTATTTGAAATACAAATGAAACCACGAACTCTTGGTCGACTTGGAGACTGGAAAATATGTTGTCCTTGCAATATCCGAGTTTCTCTATGATACTATCCACCTCGTTACTCTTGAAAGGCCATCTCAAGGCGCGTATACCACAGCGACTCATTAATTTGTTTTTCCCTCGAGGCTCGAGCTTTGCCTCCAGCTGGCGGAGTTGCTCCTGGCAGTCTTCGACTCCCTTACGCAAGCCCTGCGGATCTTGCAGTCTTACACCATCTGAACTACCGGTATTGCATATTGAATGAACTTTCTCAAGTATTGCTTTTAATTCTTGAGTCTCACTTTGGAGACGTTTGATATCGACTTGAGCATTCCATACATTTTTATAGTATTCGGAGCACTGTGAGGCAACTTTGACAGAAGAATCAATAACTGCAATAACACTAGAGACAATTCCGAGAGCCTCTGCCATTGTTATTACAATAAAGCAGATGAAGAAAGCAGATAGTAGACATCTTTATTTGTAAGGCTAAGGTTCGAGTTGCGACAAGGTTGCATACATGGCTGAAGGATTCCGGGTAAATCTCAAAATAAACATGGGTTTATATTACCTGGATTTCGGACGATTAAATCTTCAAAATCTTGAAAATTGTATTTCCAGCACCCTCACACGCTTGTTATAATGGTGTGGTAATATTGGCTCTAAGCCTTCTCTTTATTGAGCGTTATCCATAAGCACAAGAGAAAATGCAGAATGAAGGATCGTGTTGTAATCTATGAGAGCAAAATATAATTGAGGCCAGAACGTGCGCCTTTCGCAAAGACTCGCCGTTGAGGACAGCGCCCCACTCTTGCGTCATTCACGTGACTACACACGAGGATCTCGTGGCTGGGTGAATTTTAGCGAGTCTGGACGTAAATTTAGTAAGCTAATCTCGGCTAATATATATTACTAAGCAACAAAACAAAAGACTACAATAGGTATCTTTCTATATCAGAGTAACTCCTGGAATCCATCCTTTTCCTTTCTATATATCTTCAAAATTTGGAATGATATTTTTTCGGGATAGGAGTTTTTATAGTATACTTAGAGTTAGAAAAAGATTTTAGTAGTTGTAGTTAAATAGAGATAAATAATGAAAATAGCAATCAATAATATAATTGAAATAATTGATAGTATAATCAATTATACTCTTTTTCTTGTTTGTTAAATAATCTTTCTATAAAGAAATAATTAAATAAAATATTTTATTAATAGCCATTCCACAGATTCGGTTTGAAAAAAGTTATGATTCCAAAATTACAGATTTGTCTCGTCACAGGGTGCGTCTCGGGACACAGGGACAGACGTTAGATATCTTCGCATATTCCTTTCGCATGTCGTACACTTTTTGGTCCATGTTCTTCTTCTTTCAAGTCAAATCTCATTGCATTGATCATATTAAAAAGAAGATCAACCTGAAGCAAACATAGAGAACAGAGGATAGAAGATGGAAACCAGAAAGCTAGATTTGGGTATTGAATTGTGTAGCTCGCATAGCTCGCATCATGTATATCATTCGTATCTCATCATATTTTCATCGAACTTCTTCCACTAACGTCCCTGAAGGACATTAAGCACTCACTCTCCGGCCACTTCTAATCCTGTGATTTAGACTCCACCAGCAGCCTTAGCAGCCTTCTTTTTCTCCTCAATTGCTTTCATCTTGGCTAATTTCTTCTCCTGATTCTTCGTCAATTTTCCTGTACCATCTCCACTTCCCTCAAGACCTTCTCCGCTTGTAGCTTCCTCTCCAGCAGCAGAAGTAGCCTTCTTAGCATTTGGGTTTCCACCCCAAACCAACTCCTTTCTGGCGAAAAAGTCCGCCACAACCTCATCTGTGATTTTTGCTCTTCTCTCTTGGAATGCCTTGACATATTTTTGTAATTCCTGAATACATCTTGCTTTTAGTTCTCCTGTAAGCATTTCTCCAGATCTATATGCTTTCTTGATACTTTCCAATTCCTCGTCATCCTCTAAGAAAAATGTCAAATATTGATATGAAACGTCTTTTTCTGTATCGCCTCCTTTTTCTCTTTGTTCTTGCTCGCTAACTTGTCCACCACTGAATGCATATCTGTTGATTTTATTCTTAATCTTGTTGGGTTCATCGTACATAAAAATTGCAGAAGTGTCGACCGAAGCGCTCATTTTGGAACCGGGACCTTGAAGAGCGTCGAGGAAACGAGCGTGAATAAGTGCGGGTTTGGCATAATGGAGACGAGCGGCTACATCGCGGGTCATACGGAAATAAGGATCTTGATCAATGGCGCAAGGAATCAGGGAGGGAATTTGAGTAGTTTTGGATTCATCAGTGCCGAAGATGTGTGGGAAGGAGTTAGCGAAGGATGTTGCGCCTTGAACAGCTCCGAAATGGATTTTGCCTATGCAGGAACTAGAATTGTTAGTAAAGTCCAGGTATTTGGGGTTATAATATTTTACCTATCATTGAAGCCAAAGACAGCTCGTGCAACGTTCAATGTAACGTGCTTGGAGATTCGGGTAACGTTCTTGTAAAATGCTCCCCCCATGTAATCATAATCGCTAAAGATGAATGTCTTCTTGGGGTCGAATCCAACAGCAATGATATCTTTCGCATTGCTATTGGTATAACTTTGAACTTCCTCAATTGTACGTTTCTCCGAGAAGATATATTTCTCGTCATCTGTAAGCATGATGATCAATGGAACATCGAACACATCTTGTAACCATCTGTGAATGAATCATCAGTATGATTCGAAAAAATTGCATATTTTATAACATGCTTCTAATGCTCGGAGAATGCGCGAAGCTGAAATCTTTTGAGAACTAAAACCAAACTTACTTTGTAAATTCAAAAGGAACAGTATGTCCAATATGCATACTATCACTACTTGGTCCTCGCCCCGTATACATGAAGAATGGTTCTCCCTTCTCATGGCGATCCAACATAAGATGCAAATCACGATGACTGAAGACAATTCCTCTTCTCATAAACCTATGAGGTTTATGACCAGTTACCTCCTCGAATCTCTTCAAATCCGCCTCCTCAATTTTCTTGGTTCCAAACTCATCGATCAATGTCAAATAATTGATAGCTTTTGCGATTCCGTCTGCGCCAATTTCTCCAGCAACATTGTATGGATCGACGGTTTGTTTACTGGTAGGAGCATCGTTTGCCAGACTGGCAGCGAGAGTGGGTTCCGCGTCTGTCATGGTGGTGAATAGGGAGTGAGGAATAGTGTTTTGGAATTGAAGGAGGGGTTATTTGTTCTTTATTATTGATGGAGGGGAAATTATTGCCATCCAATCATCCAATTTGTAAGCGGTGAAGCATTTGATCGAAAGGTCACGTGCTGAAAGATCTCCAATTAGGAATGCTTTGATCCAGCTGACTGTCCTCGAGCTGTCGTTGAGCTTTGAACCATTGAAGCTCTGCGGGGTTTGCTAGTGTCTTTTTGGATCTGATGAGTATGGTAGTAAATGGAACCTTCAGATGTTTCTATTTCGATTCTCATTTCATTACTATTCACCTCTTTTGAATGTTGTGATTCATCAAAAGTCATCCTACAGCAATTCGCAACAAATAATTCGCCCATCTTTATCTCCATCCCCATCACACTAAACCCGAAAAAAATCGAAATCCGGGGAAAGGAATCAGGCGAGCAAATCCCTTCCAGAAGCTTTCCAATCCAAATCATCAAGATCAACAATCATACCACTAGCATTCGATTCCTCATTCGACTTTCATTTCTCACTTCATTCTTTTCCCTACCTCCTGTCTTCACTCTCCGACACCTCTTGTACCATCATCGCAGTTATATGTATATCACGAACAATTCGACAATTACACAATTAAACAACTAATCAATCCCCAATAAAATCCATAACCATGGTCAAATTCTTCGAATCCTCTTACTCTTACGATTACTCCTTCCCTGCTGTTACATTCGCCTACTTTCTCCGCTATCCAAATCCGTATAGTACACATGTACTCTCCACCGATGTGATATCGCGCACCGTGTGTCCCGAAACAGGTCGTCTGCGCACCTTGCGCATCCATCGCAAATCCACTCGTCTACCATCCGCAGTCCTCAAGCTCCTACCAAAAAGCGTACTTGGCAATGTGAGAAGCGATAGAAGCGAGTCCTATATTCTAGAGACTTCGGAAGTGGATATCAAAGAAGGATGGATGAAGACGGAGAGTAGAAACCTGGATTGGACGGGTATCTTGAGTGTAGTGGAAAGACAAGATTTTCACAGAGCAGCAGATAAGGAAGTGCGTGAGGAAGAATTTATCCAAGGCTCGGGAATGACGGGTGTAAAGACGCAGGTTATGTTTCGCAGCCGACTTGGTGATCGATTGAGGGCGATGAGGAAGGGAGAAGAAGGCGAAGAAGAGAAGAAGGGATGGCTGGCGAATTGGAGTACCAAGGGAGTGCAAAGAAGCATCGAGGCCATTGCAAGTAGGAAGACAGAAAATCAATTGGGAAAGAGTAAGGAGGGAATGATGGTTGTATTGGAAAGGATGCGAAATGGTGGGTTAGTGGGGGTATTGGATGGGATGAGGCGGGATAGGGAATTGATGTTTGCGGGCATGGAGCGAAAATTTTGAATGATGAAATATGAGATCTGGGATTACATTTGAAGATAGTACGAGGGCGAACATATACCGGATTACGGCGAGAGGACAGCAGTGGGAAAAGAGATGAGAAAACGCTCTTTCACGATCGTGATCACTCTACACTTTCATTAGGCGGCGAGCCTTTGTATTAAAGCACACAAGTAAACATACGGGAGCGAGGAGTTCTGGGGGACAAATGTTAGGCGTTTTTGAGATAGTCCACTCTCATTGATTTTCATCACATTGTATGAAAATATATCAAAATCTGAATAGCTTTGCTTCGTCTTACTTTATGTACAAATCTACTTTTTGTGCGACAGCCTTATACATTATCAATCCAGTGAACGGGGATCTTTCAAAGAATGTAATATTGTCGGATCGACGTGTGAGATGAGAAAATCTATCATTACGGCATATCAAAGCATCTTAACAAATTTGGGAACATTATGGATATCCTTCTTCCCTTTCGCCACGGGCCAACATCGCCTCTCGAAATCGAAATTCTAGTTTAGCTCAACGGCACTTTCAGATGTTTCAAACTCTAAACCTTATTTGTTCTCTCTTCACTCAGCCTTGATTTTGTGTGTAAAACTTGGACTGTTTAGTTTTGATTCAAGGCTTATTTTGTTCACAGTCTATATGGGCGAGCTCCGTCAATATGCACAATCCCCGGTGAGCCCTTTCACAACAGATTCGAATCACTGAGATGAGTTTTCATTCTGATATTAAAGAATCAATTCATATGTTCATTTCATCATACACATTATAATCATGCATCATATCTCTCTATATTTTCCCTCTCCACTTCCACACCCATTACCCATCGCATCTAAAATTGCATACCTCCAACATACTGTCTCTTAATTGGGGGTCCGGTACCATTTCCAAGGGGAGCTGTACTCTGCACGACATCCTCCTGTGTGGTAAATGGCGCTGTGCTAGACAAACTATCGATTCTTCCCAAAAGATACTCGAGCGTTCTATACGACGCACTAGGAGCATACTGAGGAACCATGTGACCGCTCAAATCGATATACACAAATGTGAGGTTTCGCTCTGTGTGTGTTGTACCCAAGACTCCCGAAGCAGCAAGGGTGGAATCAGAGAGCTCGGTGTGGTATGGAACGTAGAAGGGATCGGAGGGTTTGCTTGTGAAACCTTGAGCTCCACCCCAGGTCATGTTTTGAATCATGAGAAGGGTGCCGTTGGCGATGAGGACCATGTCTAAAGCGCCGTGGCCGATAACGGTACGTTTGGAACGTTCGATGACGGAGGGGAGGACGGAGAGACCGGAGGGGAGAGAATTATCTGTTCCGTTGACGAAGACGTCAATGCTAGAGCATGATTCCCATTCAATCGCAGGAGCGTTGATAGCCTTTTGAACATCGGTGCGGTTGAAATAGACTGAGGCGCCGGCAGGGAGATAAGGGTTAGAGCCGGGGAATCCAAGGACGTCCCAGAGTTGGGGGCAAGTGGTGGCCACCTGGTAAATATCCCAACAAGGGTTGACGCTGAAGACTTCATTGTAGATCAAATCAAAGACGTCGCATTCGTCAGTGGTAGAAATTCCGTCGTCACCTGTGCCAGGGAGAGCGGATGGGAATGGCCCGGGTGGTGGGTAAGTAAGGTATTTGGCGAGGTAATCAGTGTAGCCGCAAGAATCAGATACATTGTGAATTCGTTCAACGAAGGAATCATTGAAGGGGAAGAGACCACCCCAGTAATCAACGAATTGAACTGCGGGAATCTGTTCTTGAACGGCATCATAAGAAGTAGAAGGGTCGTATATCATGGTTGCTTCGAGGTTGTAATACTATTCATCATCAGCTTCGATTCATATTCCATTGATGATATGGGAGTACTCACAGTAGAAGTATCGTTCTTGTTGAACATAGCATCGGCAATGTATGGAACATAGTATCCCGCATACGATTCACCAGTGATGAAGATCTTTCTCCCTTGCAAAGCGAAAGTATCGACGAAATTCTCCCAAAATCCGAGGAACTGGGCAGCGGCTTCTTCTTCGCTGGTAGCAGAAGGTACACCTTGGGAGAAACCAGTACCAACCGGTTGTTCGACCCAAACAACATTGGTGAGATTTACCCAGGTCCAAGGGTTCTGAACAGGAGCGTAGGTACCGTATTGCCAGATCCAAGGTCCGTTTTCTTGAATTAATCCTTCGAGCGATGAACATCCGGGCTGGGATAATAGTTAATTAAATGTTATGGATATGTATATACCATTGGTGAAGTGACTTACACCTCCATTAAGCCAAATGAGAATTTCATCGGAAGCCAATTCATTTGTCGATGGGTAGAACCAAAAGTATAATTCTCTTGTCTCATTCGCGGCTTTGGAAATTGGTAACAAACCAGCATATGATTCTCCAGCATCGAAAGGTACATCTGGGATAGCGGAACCATTCACACTGAATTCTGTCAAAGTTATTAGTGGCTTTCCTACAACATTGCATTCGTAATACTTACTAGCAGTGGAATTTGTCAAGTATGGAAAACTAGCATCCCTCTTTTCATGTTTCTGCTCTCCTCTTGGAGCCGTATCCCTAGCTTTGTGGGATTGCTTGTCCTTTTTTCCAACATGCCTCAAACTTCTTCCAGAATGAAGAGTGGCGTCGGCGATTCCACCTGCAATGGCAAGAGTCGAAACTACGGTTGAGAAACGCATCTTGGCTGATCACTCAAGTAACAAAACTCGGATCGTGTGAAATATTGCGGGTGAAGAAGAAAGTTGTCAATACGAGGGATCTGGGAGAGCTTTAAGTATTTCTAAAGCTGCTATCCAAGAAGTAATGAGAGCTTAGAGCTATCGGAGCTGTCATCTCATGTAAATTTCCATGATTATGACGATGTGGAGGGACTGCCCTAGTCCTGATTCATGGTTCTTGAACTAAGACGTAGAAGATTCACCATCCTTTCACCGTACCTTACACACTATGTAGCCCAATCTCAACCTATAATCGTCAAGATATGATATGAATTGACATGGTGTTGAAAGGTACGAGGGGAATGGATTGGACGCTAGTACATCTTTCCCCGTTTTTGATAAACTGGAGATATCAAAAAGTCAAGATGGGCTCGCTTCCCGGCTTTAGTTCTCTGATTCGCCTCGGTCCTCTATGCACCTGCCTGTTAGAGTTTAGTGATTAGATACTTATTCACCAGTCAACCGTTATGGTTTGATAGACCCGATGATATCAGTAATGAATATTTCCCTCATCATGTAAATGAATCAAGATGAATGAGAAAAAGACATAGATAGGAAGTTACGGCATCCGGCTCGAGCCTGTCTCCCCTGCCTCCACCATTCTCTCTGATCTGTTCATGAATTGAAAAATTATCAATCATCTCAAGAGACAAAATGCAACAACGAGCATAGAACATTCCCCGCCCTGTGCATATTTTCAGGTACGATAAGCTCAAACCAAACTTCAAACCCAATCTATTTCTCAAGCAAAAGTGGAGTTTACCAGCCTGCAAGCATTGATATGCCTTCTATCTTCAGGCGAGGCCGCGAATTTCAAGAACAATAATAGAAAAATCACGACTTTGTGTCAAAATTTTGACATGAGAATATCGAGTGGAGTTTCATGAAATCAATCGTATTGAAATACTCGTAGTTGGAAGGCGTACCTCACTAAAAGATTGCCAAGTGCGGATAGTTGCATGAAGCTGTACGATTTGCTTGGCAGAAATATGCTTTTGCGACTGAAATTGTTGTCTTGTTCTATTTTGTTCCATCGGCTTGTCAAGTTGTATTTGATAATGAATTCTTTGATTCATTTGAAGATTATGAGAATTTTCCTCTCTACCAAGTAACTTCAACCTTCCAAGCTCTTCTCGTCCGTTGTTCTATTTTCACACCTCGAGTATCATCCACCTACTCCATAATAAGACAATGAGCTCGCATGTTCTTCTTACTTCACACATTGAGAAATAGCAAGTACACAAGACAAACTGCAACATTATAAAAAGACCATGTCTCTGCGTTGGACTGGCAGATAATTCGATACCTACTATTCGTTTTTGGTATCTTACTAGTTGGGGAAATATTACATTCGTATGGATGAGAAGTGTAAAGATTTGCCAACAGCTCGACTACCTATGCCCAATTTGCTATATCTGCTCCTGGTCAGTTCCAAGTAAGCCTGTCAAGCTTGAGCTTTCATGCTGCAAAATCCTTTATACTGTCGCCATCATCCTCTTTAACCCAACAATTCTATCCAAATCTTTGCATTCTATACTTACTCGATTGAATTCTACTAAGACAATAATGTTCTAAGCAGTGGGTTATTTTACCAGGAATCTTGTTATGAAATGGTCTATGTCTAACGAGACCATAGTCATTTTTCCGGAAATTCAATTACGCCAAGTGGCTATCAACAAGCTCCGTCTGATTAGGTTGCTATGATATAAATGGCAGTGACAACAATAGTGCTATGAGTGGTAGCGCAGAGCTGTGAGCGAGAGCAACAATGACGGCAAGAGATGAGAGTCTAAACTCCTCTTAATATTTCTCCGAAAAGGTCTATTTTTCATGCCCAGCAGTCACCTTCTACGGATATTGGCTCAGTAGTGGCTTATCGAATGACCACTTCCTTAGTCTTACGTTTCTAATTAATCCCTCCTCTGAAAATGACAGTATTTGCCGGCGTAGGTTCTTTTCAATATCAAGGCTGGAGAGATAATTTTCGAGGATTGGCCCATGATACCACCGTACTTGTAGGAGGAGGTTGGTAGGAAGGGGTGAATACAACTGGATATCTGAATCGCTAAGCCTCAAAGTCAATGTGCTCTAGGTATTCAAATGGCCTGGATTCACTTTGCTTACTAAATCTAATGCTTCTTCTTCCAACTCACTGCCATTGGAACGCCCAATCCCCATAGTGTATGATCGAGTCGATCGGATCAAGAAATGGAGATTTGATATTGAAAGAAAGGTGAATCTAAACGCCCTCGGATATCTTTCATGGCAAAGCAATACTACCTTCCAGCTTCTTTCAATCGAAAAGTACTTCGGGGTCACTTCATCACGCTGTTGGCCATGGTTTATTGACAAGATACGCCTCCATGACCATCAAAAACAACAATTCAAATTGTACTGCCGATCAGAATTCATTCTCTAATATTGCTTCAATTTCTAGAAGACCACCATAACCCAAGCTCCAACAGCCAACAACCATCTACGTACCCACCTATCGACAAACCATCTACACTCTACTAACCCATCTAACACCCACCTTCTCAGGGTTCCTCATCTGTAATAACAAAACAATAACATTATCCTTCACCACACTCATAACCCTCTCCTCTGCTTCCTCTTCTGTTTCTCCCTCCTCCCGCACAATCTCCACGCGGTCTCTCTTGAACAACGCAACCATGGCCGCTACAAATTCTACTTGGCTGAACTTCTTACCAGGACATGCTCGGATCGAATCAGACCATGGTTGGTATGATCCCTTGGGTGGTGTACGGATATATTCACGTTCTACGGGTGATGAGTGTATATTTTCGGCTTTGTTTAAGATCCAGCGTTGAGGACTGCAAGTATAGGGAGTCAGTAGTTTTAACTAATAGGATGTACAAGAAATAAGGGTAAGCATACTGCCATTCGAGACTGTTATCACCCCAGTATCGCGGATGTGAGTGTAAGGCGTTGGAATTCGCAATAATGCGCGTGTCGGGCGGAATCGTGATGGTTCGGCCATCGACCGTAAGCGGTTGTGGTATTTCAAAGGTAGATTTGCAGATACCGATGAGTGGATTGTAAAGTCTCACAGTCTCCAGCTATTTCATATCATTTCTGTCAGCATCATTGTATCATCATGTGAGCAGGGGGCTAGGGGGAGGGCTATTGACCATTATGGCAAGACACCTATTCAATCTCGGATATATTTCTTTGAAATCCCAAGTCGATGGCATATCGTTGGTTATAACAGTGTTAATTTCCTCCGAGACCCAATCTTGAACCTCTGGATGAGCAGCAAGAAGATAAATTGTCCAGTTCAGCACAACGGCCGTCGTATCATGGCCAGCAAAATTATAAACGAAGAGATTCCCATAAATTTCCTCTTCGGTGAGCCCCTGAAAGCCACTTGGAGCAGAGCCATTTGAACTCAATTGAGATTGTTCTTTCGAAGCTCTAAGCAAAGAACTCGTGAACGTCGCGCTTTTGGGTTTCCCATGCGCAATGGCATCTTTTTCATCCTTCAGCATCTCTGCCATGTGAAATTTAAAATCAACTGTTGCTTGTCCAATCCGCTTCCACTTTGGCGGCCAGGATAACTTAGAGACAAGTTTAGGACCAAGAACAAGGATAAGGAGACAATTCTCTAGCACAAGTGCGAGGGAGTCTCGGTAATTGAAAGTGTGTCCTGCTTCGGGTTGTTCAGTAGATCTTTTGAATGAGTAGGATTTCCCAAATCCGGCTCCCGATAGCACATGAAGTGAGAATGTACGAGCATCCTTATCTGTTCGTGTAATGGGATCCTTTAGAGATTTCCAGAATTGCAAAATCTCATCTGCTTGTCTTAAACCCTCGATCCAAACTAGCCGGCTGTTTTTGTCATTGAAAGGAGCACTTGTAATCTTGCGCTGACGCTGCCAATCTGGACCTACAGCCTAAAACCAAGTCAGCTACGGCAGTATATCAGAATCTAATATCATTATCACCTACTGTCGAGATATTAGGTCCGAAAACAGACAAAACCGCTATGTCGATTAGCACTTAGCACAATATACAAATACGACATCATACTCACCAAGCAAATCAGGAGGTCTATCAAAGTCATCCTTGCGTTTGAAAACTTCATTGACTGAATCGGAATCGCAGAGATATAACCAATTACGACCAGCTGAGACATGAATGACTGCATTACCAAGCTTTTGGTGCATGGTGTACTTGTCTTTGAACTCCCAGCCCGGTGTGCTATATCGAACGATATCACAATCGCCGAATGCAGCCTTTATAATAGGAAGCACGATACCTGATGCGAGAATCCACTAATCACGATGTATCAGTATGGCCATGATATCAAGGAAGTGGGAGTAAATGTGTATATATATAAAATGTTATCTAGTCGTAAAAGCTCGTAACATTAGTGATAGATTAAATCATGTGTAACTCACTACTGGATTATCACCACTTGCAATGAGGATCCTAATGGGAATTCCGATCTTCAGGGCAATCCTATAGTTCTTGAACAGGCAAACAAGATTCCAGATGGCAAAGCTCACAGGTAGAAGAACCACCAGTGTAAGCGCCAGGGGAGCCATAACGCTTAATGCTGAACACTCAAAATAGGAAAGATAGAAATTTGTGATGCAACGAAATTGGAAATTGAGAAAAATCCATAACTCTCTCTGCCTTTATATGTCCAACGGTATTGAAAAATTCATGGGTATAAGGGCACAGCACGTTGGAACCTAGGCTAGCTATGCCATTGGCTAGAGAGAGATATCTACCAACATTTAAAGCAGTTGGAATTTAATATATATATATCTCGCAGCAGTCTAACTGCGTATACGACACGCGCGAAGTATCTCTCCACTTTGAAGAACTGGTAATAATTCGTATCTCTGATATTCCTATGGATCATGTATCAACTTATCGCAAAATTGAACCACATCCATCTGACACCCTTTGAGACGAGTATAGCATATATCTCATCATAGCACAAGATAGCAACTACCATAATCATCACGCACGAGCTCTAGTGGTACACCAATATTTATCACTCTCCTCCACAACCACCAAATCCATCTTCTCCACCGGCCCAATAATCTCAATATCCTTTTGTTGCCCCTCCAAAATATCTCTCGTATGCCATTTCAACGTGAAATTCTCTCGATTGCCGGGGCCCGTTAGACCCGCCAATTGTTCGTTCGTCGCCGCATACACGATTCGTCCAATATGCGCCCAGTAAATCGTCGCTAGATCATCATGCAGGTAAGTTACTACAATCTTTCTCTCAAATAGCAAGACTCGCAAGTGAAAATGTGAAAATACAAACGTACCCGAACACATAGCACAAGGTTCCCACGTACTAACCAACGTACATCTCCACAAATACTCTTTCGTATAATGCGAGTATGCGAGTTTGGCTAGAGAGCTCTCGGCGTGATTTACTTGATCAATGCTTTGATGCGTGAGGAGTACGGTTTCGTTGTCGGGACCGAGGAGCACGGCGGCAAAGGGTCGTTTTCCTTGGGTGACTGCCCGTCGCTGTACGGTGAGACAGGCGGTTATGCTGGCTTCGATTTGGGCTGTGCTGAGAGGAGTGCGTGGGGGAAAGAGATCGGGAGCAATGGCTTGCGCGGCCGAAGATGTGAGGGCGGCTTCGTGGGACATCTTGGGTCTGGGGGTGGTTAGTGGGGAGGGAAATGGGATAGCATGTTTTGGTACCTGCAACGCTGTTGTAGACTTGGGTAAGTTCTAGAATGCGCTGCAGGTGGTTCAGGAGTATTGATGTTATATAGCTGTGGTTTAGTAGAAGAGGTGTCAACGAGGGGTCGTTATCATTTTTAGCTAGGCGAGGCGAGCTCCGTGAAGGGGAAGATGGGATGGCCCGCATGAGATTGCTCAAATGATATATCATGATTAAAAATCCAATAATTATTCAATCTTGTAAAATAGAACATCTTGTTGAAGTCTATGAATAAAGTGATCTTCACTATTGATTTCTGATCAATTACCTATCACTTCAAGGTATGTCGGTGTGTGATCGAAATGTCAGTGTTCGAATATCCCACAATTTTATCACAACATTTTATGTGAGCTACCTCGAACAATAGTGGAATTCGTTTCTTCTAGACATGTTTCATTTTATTTATTCATTATTCATGGTATTTTAAGTAAAGCTGTCTCCGTTTCCAAACGCCCTAATTTATTTCGTCGCTGTGCTTTCATTCAATTGTTAAGATCCATCCATTGTCTTCACGTTCATTCTTTCCATTCAGACCACCCCACAAGAGAATACCTCTAAAGTCAACATCGCTCATTGACGAACTTGCAAACCATCCACGCTCGCCAGGAACAAGCTTTCTGACGTCATCACCTTCGATGCCCTCAGAGTCCGAAACGACTATTTGACTCCAAAGACCTTCACCAGTTTGTCGACCTAGTGCTTGCCAGGTAGCATCCTTGAAACTTGCCGCAGTCATGCCTTGGGGAGGACATTGAAATGCCCAAACGTCACTCCAGAACCTGCCAGCCCCAGCATGACCTTCGCTACTTGGATCTTTCTCACCAAGTAAGAGAATCAAATATTCTCTACCCATACCTAAAAAATGTTAGCTTTCATTTTATGAATGGTACAAATAGACTGCGTCCCAATACAGCCAGGAACTGATTAAATAAAGTAAAAACTTACCAGTATTGATAGTATGCATGCCGGCCACACTTCTGTTACCGGGATGTTTCATACTCTCCTCCTCAAAGTTCAAAGTTTCCCAATCTCCTTTCGGAGTGATACCCAGTTCTCCTGAACCGGATTTGTCATTGAAAGTTTGGAGGGCCAATTCCAAAATATCAAGATAGCCACCTTCCTCACCCTCACCATTGAAACCGCCATATCGGTAGATTCTCTGTTTTGAAACTGCGAGTGATGTACCTCCTCTGGGCTTTCCTGGAGCAGAAGGAAATTCTTTCCATGTACGGCTTCGAACATCAAATGCCCAGAGATCATTTGTTCGTCCAGAAACCGGGCATCCTGCGTGGATGAAGAATGTTCCATGACCACCTTGCTCCTCGTCTGTCTGGGCACCTTCTGCAATTGTGCCAATTTTAGTTTCATCGATAGCCTGATCGAAATCTGCACTCTTCATATTTGATGGCTCAGGTTTTTCGATAGCAACACTCGAATGGTAAGATCGCGCAGCTGGAAATGGTGTGCCAGGAGCTGGATCCAAGAAAGACCATTTATCTGTCCTAGTATCATAGACCCAAACTCTGCCATTTTCTTCAAGAGGTTTCATCTCTGGGCCACCTCTTCCACCAAAGATAAAAATTCGTTCCCCGATGACTCCTGCTGTATGTCCTACTCTCTTTTCTGGAACCTCACCACCATTATGTGTAGGCTTGGCAGCAATAGCTCGATAGTCGGCGCTGGTGACTGTGCCAGAAGGAAGGATGATGACATGCATATCATTGTCGACTGGTTCGCGTGGATCGATTTCACCTCCGAATATATACGCTCGACCTGCGACGACCGAGATACTATGAGATGATCTTGGAAGTTGAACTCCATTGATGCGATTCCATTTTGCTTTGAGGGGATGTGTATTCTGAAAGAGACCGTGAGTGATTTTTGCAGCTGTCGCACTAATTTCCATCATCTTGAATGTAGATTGAGATCAAGTAGAATCTCAAGTAGCTCTTGGTAAAGTGTATTGGGAACCTTGGATCAAGACGATTGAAAAGAGAATAATATGAATTGAGGCTTATATTATTTGTGAGATTACCAAAGACTTGCGATATTGAAATGGATAGCAACAGAACGTGAAAAGGATATTCATTCACCGGTATTCAAAGGGACAATCCGCCAAGGAAAGTGGTTCGAGATCTGAGGGGGATACGGGGGATACGGGGGATACGGGGGGATACGTCAGTGGTGGAAGGGTAAGGGTAAAGGTAAAAAGAGCTCTAGGGTGGGGTAGCTCTGCTCTTTATTAGCTTCTTTGGCTCCTGAAGTGATTGAACACTCCTCTCTCTAAATACCTAGGTATATGCACATGTTCGCTACATCACATCAGAATTGCTATCATTTTCCTTATCGGTTGAAATGACGCTTGGGGTGACTACCTAATTCAATCAATGCTCACAAGGAATACCTACATTCGCATCGCTCATTCAAACGCAAAATTTCTTCAATCTCGCTGCCTTAGGATAAAAGACGAGAGATGATGTCCAGATCTATCTTGCGAAGTTTATCGCGTCGCAACGCGATCGCACATTCTCCTAACACTACCCCTCTCTTACACCCGTCGTCTGTTACCCAATATAAGTTACCAAGATGGACACATCCATCTATCAATCCATCTCATTCACGAAGCTACCAAAACTGCAGGCAGAGATACTACAGGTTTGATCCAAATGAAGCTCGGAATGCACGCCCTCTCTTGACCGAGCAACATATCAGAAACTTCACCAAGCATCCTGCTTTACACTCATTCATAGCCCTATTAGCTGGTGGTGGTATAGTGGTTTATGCCAGCAATATCGAGGATGTGCCGGTTTCAGGAAGGAGGCGGTTCAATATATACAGTCATCAGGATATGGAAGCAGAAGGGCAGATGATGTATGAACAGATATTACGGCAATATCACAACCATATTCTTCCCGACTGGGATAAGAGGACCCGGATGGTACAGAGAGTTATGAGTCGGCTAATACCTGCGAGTGGCATCGACAACGTAAACTGGGAAGTAAATGTGATAGAGTCTCAAGGTGAATAGGAAACTGAATACTTGTTTTAGATATTGATTAGCTTACCTTACTTTCCACAGAAATGAATGCCTTTGTTATACCTGGAGGCAAAGTGTTTGTCTTTACAGGAATATTGCCGATTGCTAAAACAGATGATGGCCTTGCTACAGTAAATTTTCCTCCTGATCTTTCTTTTATCGACAATCATTAACTTATCAATCTTGCAGATTCTTGGTCATGAAATTGCCCATAATATCGCCAATCATTCGGGAGAAACAATGAGTAAAACCGCGGTATTTTATATGCCCTTGCGTATATTGTTTCGATTCTTGGACGCTACAGGATATACTGGAGGTCTAGGTGAAATATTGGGGGCTCTCGCACTCGAATTTGGCATGAATTTACCGGCATCAAGAAACCAAGAAACAGAAGCTGATCATATTGGGCTGATGATCATGGCAAAGAGCTGTTACGATCCTCATGCAGCAATAGGTGTGTGGGAGAGGATGCAAGCCGCAGAGAAGAATGCTCCACCTGAGTGGTTTTCAACTCATCCATCGGTAGGTGCTTTGATACTTGGTTAAGAATAGTAGGACTGACCCATAACAGAATAACAATCGAATAACACAAATGCAAGAATGGATGTCCAAAGCGGAGGCCGCGAGAGACGAAAGTGGTTGTGCGCCAACTACGAATCATTTCAGCAAGTTTCGAAATTCGTATGGCGAGCTTTGGTCATAAGTATGATCATTTCGTGTGCACCTGTATGAGTATTTACAAAAAAGGGAGTTTTTTGAACATGATGGGATAGATCGGAAAGTGCGAGGAGTTCAGCTGCCAGTCTATGAATAGCTTGGGCATGAAACAGGATTTACTCTGCTCCAATTATTAATAGATTCATGCTAGTAAGTCTATTTTTCTACTGTACTTCACACCGCAACAGAGACCTGGTGAATAAAACTACGCAGCTATATCGGACACTTATTGTAATTCAACAATACAGACAATACCCAACTGAGAGCACCATTCACATTTTTACTTGCTTGTGGTCATCCCGCTTTATACGTCATTATCCGGGTTTAATCAGGTAGTGTTCCCAAACATGAAGTCTCTTGATGAGACGCTCTGATTTCACATTCAAAAGTGGCATAAGTAGTACTAAGTTATACAACAGAACGTTCTACTTCTTTCTCCGTTGAGCTAGTGCCGTGGCGTGACTGAAATGCATGCCTTGTATAGTATTTCTAGCGGGATACCGAACATATAAACTCATTTCGATATTCAAAATCAACCCTAGCAATCATTATTTCGGATTGAAATTTGGATAAGCGAACTCGTGAGCTTCAAATCCAACAAACAATTTAGATCATTCATATTTTGAATGAATATGTAGATCATCACAAAGTAGTTGGAAAACAAGTGTTTTCGGTGTATGATTATTTGGGTGATTCGATATCCCGGGGTTCCCATTCTTCCTAGAGACTATCACATCTAGGATCAACTTTCTAAAAGGCAATACGTTCCGCTATTGCAAAAGAGTCTCGAGTTGCGCTGCAGCCGCTAGATCACGTGCACGCCAGTGATATACACCGCTTCAAGCCTTATGAACAATTGGACCCAGATGATCGCATGAGGTATTGTGTGCATTCTATTGCGGGGTGGGTGTCTTCTTCGAGTGATCAATCACTTTAAGGTTACATATATTGGGTCCACACCGCTAGATACCACCCCGCGGTTGCCCTTTGAATCGTTTTTTGAATTATTGCAAGTCCCGCCCCCGCCATATAACGTAAATTGCTCGTTACAAGTGATGTAGAGGTTAGATGCCATGGCCCGATGTGCCGCGACTGAAATGTTGTGTGCTTGGCGAACCAATACGACATGATCATAATGATATTTCTGGTTGATGACATGTAAGCTGTGTTACCGCGAGTCTTCATCTCTTATATCTCACTCTATTTCCTTGTCTGAAAAAGCTGTATCACCATTCTCTCAACTTTCGGTTCTTTTTAGTGCGTACAATTCTTACACGTACCAACTCTTTTTCCAGTCTTTCGTTCAGAACAGTACAATGGCAGCTGCTGTCATGCAACCACTTTCAGCCATGTCTCTTGATAGAGAGATCATGGCTCCCTCTCCCATCTCCAACAATCAATCGAGACACGGTAGAAGTAGACATGGAGGAAGTATCTCCAACAATAAGAAGACTCGTCAGAGAGGCTACAGCATTATTGCCGAACGCGACTCTACTGTCACTCGAGCCCTTACCAAGCTTCTCAAACGTTCAGTAGAACAAGACCAGGAACAGGGAGAGGACTCAGAACTTGTTGCAGATTCTGAAGGCTGGTTTAATTGTGCAAAAGTCGTCAGTACAAATAACTTAAGATTTAGGCCTTTCTAGACGTCTGAATCTACTCGTCTAAGAAATACGTTATTTTCCAAGTATCAAATCGCCTAACAATTTCATAGCTCGATGACCTCAATTCCCTTGATCTCAGTCTCTTAGAACTTCGAAATATCATTCAGTCTCCTGCAAAATCCCTGTTCACCATAAGATCGATTTCCTCATCCGAAAACGAGTCAGAATCTCCTTCTAACTACATCATTCGTCTCGAGACCTCTTCTACTCCCACAACCACAACCTCGACAAATATTTCTTCCATCTCCCTTCAACTTCTCACCACTTCAACCGTAGATTTACCTGATCTCATCGTCTACGAAACCTCGTACGCAAACTACCCTCTCATTCTCGCTTCTGGGGGTATCAAAAAAGCAGGCGGGCAAGCTCATCTAGCATTCTCTAGTATCTTTGTCTCCTCTGATGGTACCGAAACTCGAACCTCTTCATCCACTAGTAAAGATGATGCAGATATATCTATTTATGTCTCTCTCAAATCAACTCTTGAGTCCCACCCCGAGATTAAATGGTACAAAAACGGAAACAGGGGAATATTAAGCGAGGGGAATGATGAAGGTGTTGTTAGTAAAAATGTGTGGAAAAAGGTTATTGCGAGACGAGCAGATATTGGGGTCTTGTTTGAGAATGGAGTGGTGAAGAAGGAGGTTCCGGTTGGACTGAGAGGAAAGGGTATTAAGGGGAAGAAGGGTGGGAGGGGGAAGGGAAATGCTTGGAATAAGGAAATGAAGGAGAGGAGTGAGGATGAGACGGAGTCGAGTGAAGATTAAATGTTTTTTTTTTCTTTTTTTTTTGGTTGGGAAGATTGGGAATGAGATGCTAAGATGGTGTTGGTTTGGATGAATGGATGGAGAGATAGAATAGAATATATTCGTATACGAAGATAGTTTTCTGTAGTGGTGCCCTGACTGATTATAGTCTTACGAGTGTTCAAATTTTGCCTCGGAGCAAGTGATGTCTTTAACTAACTGGGGCAGTTTGTTCACATGTGAATAATCTGTGTGTATTCGTATCCTGCAATAAGTAGTGATTAGTAATTATACGAGCAAAGATGTCGATGGCTTTTCGCAAGCTATGAATTTAAGCACTGCGTTTTCCTCATATATCACCACCGTCTTATTTCTTTCCTGCTACGATATCAAAATCGTGAGTACTTTGAGTGAAGAAGAGGAGAAGAAGAAGAAGAAGAAGAAGAAGAACGGGGCCCTTGCAAATGATATGAGAAAAAAAAGTAGCGCTATCAATTTTCTCAGCGCAGGCCTGAATCTTGAAAAGTCACCAAATTCCAAACATGGCAAGCTCCGTTCTCTATATCCAATAAAATAAACAGCACCCTTCTCAAGAAAAACAGAAAGAAAGAAAAGGGAAGTAGGAGGGAGGCTAGATATATGGAATGGGATATATAGAGGCAAAATTTATTCATGAATATGGGTATCGCAATCTCGAATACATATTTTATGTTATGTTTATCGATACTTGGAGATGTGGGTTGGGATTTCTGAGTATGCAGTGACACTGTGAGATAGAGATTAGATGGTGTAAGTGTGTAGATGATGGTTAGTGAGTATTTGTTTCGAGGTGAGGAGATGAGGAGGTGTGGGGATTTGGAGGTGTGGAGGTGTGGAGGTGTGGAGGTGTGGAGGTGTGGAGTTGAGGAGTTGAGTTGAGGAGGTAGGAAGTAGGAAGTAGCAGATGGAATTTTGATGCGAGGATGTTTGTCGAAGGGAGAGGGGGGATATTTAAACTGTTGATGGATTTAGATGATGGAGTGTAGTTTAGAGATATACTTGGTATGCGCATAACATTCTGTTGGGGCATCTTTCTTGTCAATTTTGCAGGTTGAATTTTCGATGGTCATCAGGACTACTAGATGAGATGAGATAGCTATGTGATTTGATAATTTTGCTCGGCTCAGGGGCAAGGGATACATATATTTACTGGAAGAATAAAACTATATTGACCAATTATGACAATGTGATTGAACGTCCCAAACAAGGAATGTCGAAGGACAGATGAGTGACACTTGCGCCAAATCTCAAAATATAGCAATTGCGTTTCCATGACTGGACACACCTCCTTGACAATGATTCGGAGCACTAGTAACGAAAAAGCTCCACCTTCCTTTCTCTCTACACGTCTTTGCCAACTTCTCCAAGTCGAACATTTCTCCTAGAGGCATACCCCACATGGCAAGTATATATTCATGTAACATATAATGCTCTTGCGATGGCCAAGCCTCAAAAGCAGGCGCATCACCTGCTACAGCCGAAAAGTAGCAATCATGTAACCAATCAAGCATGTCCTCATCTTGTTTGAGACCGGCCCACCTCTGACCATCATCAGGTCCAATTCCGTGTGGTCTGAGAGCAGCGGCTTTTCGTGCTTCTGGTGATTTGCTGTGGTATGTAGATACAAACCCCGAACGAATAAAAAGCAGATCTCCTATTTGAATATTTCCACCTTGAGATGCGGGGCGGATATCGATACCTTGGGCTTTTCCGGCAGCTTGCAATTCAGCGTAGGATATAGTGTGGTAGTCAAATGGATCTATACATTCAAGTCAGACAACGAATTGATACAGATTTGATGGTGGTTGATTACCATAGACAATTCCGTTCTCCTTTGCGTACGTCCAGTAGTCAATCAATATACCGCGACCGGCTATCCCATGCTCAGCCCAATGATGGATTCCACATTTGTTATCATCCTTCTCAGCTCCAATTATATCCTTCTCTTTAGTCCCATTATAAAAGTTGCCTGTGGGCATGTGTGCAATATGCCTGAAACCATCCCATTGTGTACCTGATTGTGTATTTAATGAATATACATCATCATAAGCCAATCCTGGAGCTAGCTCTTTAATGCTATGCTCGAATGGTTCTCGACTGAAAGCTGGTACTTCTGGTACGTTCAAAGGGAGGTTCAATGGAACGATCTCCCCGCTTTGAATTTCATTGGATGCGGCAGTGACTCGAGCTGGCGTGAGAAGATTTAATCTTCCAATCTATGTAATCGTTCAACGATATTGAAAGTTATAATGTCAGAATTACGTACATAATCATCAGGTCCCCAAACCCACGCACTTTTAGACGTTAGTTGAGCTTCTAGAAAACCGCACATACTACTCACGCTCCTTCGGGTGCATCCTCTCTTCGTGGAACATCCTTTCTATTAGGAAACTTGGTGGAATTGGGGTCGAATGGAATAGTCGTGGCAGTCTTATTGCCGGTTAAGAAATCGGTGACTTGAGTAAGTCGGCTGTTAACTTTGGATTGCATATCTGACATTTTAAAATAGTAATTATGGTCTTGAACCCTTTTTGTGAATGAAGGAAGATCTCAAGTTCACGATGGTTCACACCTCAAGCTTCCAACTTACCGGTCTCTTGATAGAGCGGGGGCGGGGAAGTACCTCCTAGTAGCTCCCCTCATCCCGAGGCAAGTTTGAGTTTGAGATCGTATTCAGCAAAAGCTGGTCATAGTTGATAATAGGGTTAACTTAGTAGTTTGAGTAATTTGTAATAGCAGATAGCAGATAGCAAATCATTGACATTTGGAACATATCAAGGAACCTTTTGTTTTGATGCCAATTTGTGCCTTGAAAACCTGAAGATAAATCGTTGAAAAGATACTGTATTTTATATGAAGGAGCAACGATGTCAATATTCATCTTGCTTGTACTTTGTATAGACGTTTCGAGAGTGTGCATTGCATTGTAAAAGGAGTTTCGATTATTCTGTGATAGATATAATACGGTGACCGAAAAAGAATCATCACATCATCCGCCAAAATAGGTTTGATTTTCATAAGACCTTGTCGTCAAAATTCAATCAACCCTTTTCATTATGCCTCCAACTCTAAGTCCTGGGGAACTTCTAGAACAACACAATGATACCCCAGAAATCAATTCCACATCTCGAAAACCTGGTCGTCCTCCTGGCGTGAGTTTGGAACCATATAAAGATCTTATAGTCAAACTCTTCGCCGAAGAAAATACTCCTATCATCGACATTACAAGAAAGCTCAATCGAGAATTGGGTCTAGATGTCTCTGAACGTAAAGTGTCTCGAAGTTTGGCAGCATGGAATATTCGCAAGAGAAATCGTGGACCCATCCCTCAAGCTCTCCAAGATCGGTTAACTTATCATTATAATTCAAATCTCAATGATGACCAAATTACTCAAGCATTGATTTCCGAAGGGTTCGAAATAAAAAGATCGAATCTGGGGCGCTTACGACAAAAGCTCGGTATGCGACGAAGGTCTCGTTATTCGGAATTTCGCGAATACTCAGAAGGCCCCGCAGTTATCAATACTCCCTCGTCTCACCTACCTTCCACAATTACACCGAAACCAAATAATCCCAAACCAAAGATGGCACACAATGCTGGTCTAATTGTACAAGTCACAGCTTTTGTCGAGAAATATATGAGCGCATATGATGGATCTCACGACTTCAACCATATTCGACGCGTTGTTGGGTTGGCGCATAGAATATACAAGGAGCTTAAGGCAGAGAGGATAGGCGGCCCAGAATTAGATCTGCAGGTTGTCACTTTGGCGGCACTTTTGCATGATGTAGGCGACAAGAAGTATCTCTTACCTGGACAGGATCCAAATACTTTGGTGCTATCAACACTATTGAGTTTTGGGGCTGAAGAAAAGCTGGCCGTCAAAGTACAGAGAATCGTTCTTGGAGTTTCGTATTCGAGCGAGATAAAGGATATGGCATCAGTGAGGGGCATGGTCGAGAAATACCCAGAGCTGGCTGTAGTCCAAGATGCTGACCGGCTCGATGCTATTGGTAAGGCTACATTTTAGAAATTGAATGTCAAGAAGATGAAGCTAAACTTTTGATTTACTGTAGGCGCAATTGGAATTGGAAGAACATTCACATTCGGCGGAGCAAAAGGTGCAAGGGATATGGGAGAGACCATTCAGCATTTCGAAGACAAACTGGAGAAACTAGGAGGAATGATGAAGACAGCTCCAGGCAAACGAATGGCGATAGAAAGAACCAAAAGGTTGACAATGTTCAAGGACTGGTGGGAAGAAGAACAACAAGAAGCTGAAGGTTTACTGCGACCTCAATCCTAACCTTGATGGGTACTTGGAAAACAACTCTTCGATGCAAAGGAAAATGATTGGATCTAAAGCACACTGAGCTTAAGTTCATTGCTTTATTAGTATTGGCATGATTTGCTTCCCATCAAGGTGTCTGTATTCAACGTCTATATTCAAAATACAATGGCTCCTCGCAATTTCCACTCAGATTCGTTCGACTTCCTGTTCTACCCATACCATTGAAGATGGATAGCATGGCACCGGAACTGCTCAAGCATATACTTGGTTACCTTCCCACATCGTCACTTCGCTCGTGTCGCCTTGTCGACCGTACTTTTTCCATCATTGCCTTCTCCCTTCTATTTTCGCACATACCACATTGGCTGGATTGCAATAAGTCACTTCAATTTCTCATATCGATTGCCCACGATGCATTCAATAGACCTGCAGTCATCTGGTCTCCATGGGCAACAATTCCTGATGTGCATGTCGACGCAATATGGTTACAAATTGTCTGGAAGTTATTTCAGGGATCCGATTTTCATGCCGGAGGAAGAAGAGAGGAGTTGACAGCAGAAAACTTTGCCAGGCTAAGCGGAGTAGTCGAGATGAGTGAGGCGAGATTAAGGACCGCTCAAGGTAGATACTTACTTTTCAAATCTTACACGAAAAAGTCTGTACTTAAACATTGATGGAAGGACGCGACCTGTTTCTTGACTTACCCATTAATTGTCGTGCTTAAGGTCAAGATGATTTTCTGGGGAATTGGTGTGGGAACACGATCTTTCAGACCAAGAAAATGTTCCCGGGAACGATGGATCACTGGGCGAGGAAGTATCTCGGTTTGTAGCCGTGTGCAATCTTCGGATGCTCCTTCCATCATTGGAGTCAAATAAGTCACGCATGAGATAGTTCGTATACAAATCCTTCCAGTATCCACATTGCTGAGATTGGAATTTACTCCGACAATGATCCCTGACAAGAAGCTATTCCATCAGTGCGCCCGTTGTCAAAATAAAGCAAGGTCTTCTTTCTCTCTTCTACTCCGTACATGACTGTGAAGACACGAAGCTTTAGTGGAGGTCTTGGTGGATATGGCTTCAATTACCCCGCAATCAAACGTCAAAAAGACAATTTGTATATGTCTCACTCATCATTTAGAGTTTTTGTCCATCGGGATTCTCAAACGTCGATACCTCCACATGTTCATTTGCACCTCGGAATCTTTTTGTAATTCATCAGAATTTGTTTTTCGACTTCAATATATTAATCATCTCGATTATCTCTTTGGCCCGGGTTGTTTCCAAGGAAATATCTTTCTCTTGCGAGTATATTCTTTTCCCGTGGTTACTTTCATTTCCTCTCATGCATCAATGCAACAACGCACCAATCTAATGCAGCGATTTATCCAAATTCTAACGATTTCAAGCAAGGCTGACAAGTATGTATGTCCACCTCGGCATGCAAGAATATTTCATGTGCAATGTATTTGCAGTTGAACAAACAATTTAGCCAACTTCTGATTGGGGCAAGTCAAGATGACTCGCAATTCAACGATCAATATGGATAATGTTTTTATCGGGAAGCAAGGGTTAAACGGTCATGCTTGCTTTATTGGCCAAGGATTGTTTTATTTCTTTCGGATGATCTACTGATTTATGATGCTATCTCTGATATGAGAACCTAGTTCCCTTTTACCTTAATTCCTTTTTCTGGGGTTCCAGCCCGTCCGGGGTAATAATTGGGGTAGTATTTTCCGGTGATTAAAGCACACATTTACTCAATTGTCGATATATTAAAGTAATTGAAATTGGTAAAGGAAAAGGAAAAGGTTGGGGAAAAAATAGATCAAGTACCTATGTCTACCCAAGGAGATGCAAATTTGCAATTACTAGGTAGATAGGTAGTGGATGCATTGCTATTGACCTAGTTCGTTTAATAGTCAAATTCTTATCAATCGCGTGGAATCAGATGTATGTCTAAAAAGATCTATCACGCTACCAGATGCCATTTGAAGGCTAGATTGCACGTTACAATTTACAATTCACTATTTATTACTCGAGTACTTACTACTTAGTACCTCTTAGGCACGGCAAATTTTGCTGCAGGGAATAGCTTTCCGCCACCCGACCTATCAATGGTGATAGACCTCCTTTCTCTATTGAGGCCGAGGAAGATCAATAAAATCACTCAGATTATTGGTTCCCGAGTAAGTGCTCATCGATGCCATTTGTGCACAGAACTCCGCTCGGACTACAACACCAAAAAGTAACCATCTGCAGATAATTACATACCCTCGTTGAACCTATAAGATGAAGCTGGTCCCCTTCTCTTTCGATTCTACAGTAAAGTTACATTACACATTAAAAAACTTCAATCTTTATCTACATACCACTTTTCTTCAACACATTTCTTGTTTCAAGCAACCATCAACGCAAACATGCAATTCACATACGCTGCCATTTCTGCCCTCCTTGCTTCAGTGGCCTACTCCCAGAGTATCGCTAGTGAAGTGGCACAACTCCCATCTTGTGCCCTTGCCTGCTTGTCAACAGCTTCCAGTGGTGCTGGATGTAGTATTACCGATTTTGCATGCCAATGCGGTGATGCTAAAGATGCTATCACTAAAGCTGCTACTCCTTGTATCGCAGCTGGATGCTCTGCCTCTGACACTTTGAGTAAGTCTTCAACATTTTCATATAATCGTAACATATCCTAACAATTTGACTAGCCACTCAAAAAATCACAACCGAAATCTGTGTCCTCCAAGCAGCTGCCGGTTCATCAGGTTCATCAGCCGCCGCCTCTTCGACTCAAGCATCATCTTCATCTACCAGCGGTTCAGCTTCTTCATCTGTCGTTAGCAACATTTCCTCAGCAGGTAGCTCTATTGCTAGCGCCACTAGTGCGGCTTCTTCAAGCATATCTTCAGCTCTATCATCCGCTTCCTCTGCTATTTCTTCTGCCGCTTCTTCTACTTCTTCTACTCCTGCTACAGTATCTACAGCTGCAGGAAGTAAAGTCAATGCTGTTGGAGCCATTGTTGGGGCTGGTTTCTTGGCCGCTTTCGCTTTGTAAGCAGTCTGGCTCGCATGATATATGATACGACAAAATCCTACATGTAACTAGACTGAAACGGGATCATTGAGATGGGGAATGGAGGTTATGGATGTATCAAGATAAATAATGTCTTTCGATTCTTTACACAACTTTGCTTGGTAGGGGAGAGGGGAGAGAGGAGAAGAAAAAAGCTTGGTTGCTGGACCCATTATCAAAATACTTTCTAATGAATAACGCATTATTGCTGTTCAATCACTTCAGCAATATTTAGCTTAAGACATAATGATATCAATCGAATCAAATTAAAATCCATCACAAGAAATCAATTCAATTCAATACATAACTGTGAAATAAACTCAAATCGTATCACGTCAAAAAATCTCGCAAGCTTGAAAATCCAGATGTAGATCCTTTAGGGTATCTAGGGTACCGACCCTTCTCATCGGCACTTCACCACATGAGTCTTTGACGTGGAAAGTTCCTTTCGCCAAAAGTAAATAGAGAATGTGCCAAGCGGACTCGGCGGGGACTAATTTGTTGGTGCGTGGGCTAGATGGAGCGGGTTTTTAAGTTTATTTTGTTAGATGGGAGCTAAGATGTGGTTTTAGTACAGGAACGCTGGGACCGTGGGTTGTGGATTGGATTTGAAGAACATAGCACACGGGTTTTTGGATGGGGGTGGGTGGGTGGATGTGGTCATGACTCGGGTATGTGGTGGTACCTGCAGATGGAATGGAATGGATTGGATTGGAGTGGAATGGGAATTGGGAATTGGGAATTGGGATATATGGATTGAGGGATAAGGGATAAGGGATGAGGGATGAGGGATGAGGGATGAGGAATAAGGATTATGGGATATGGGATATGGGAAAAGGAATAGGTAAGGAATAAAGGGTTTCTTGGAGTGGTAGATTGGTAGGTTCGTAGGTTCGTAGGGTGAGTAAGTGATGGAAGTGTATGTATGTAAGTAAGTGTTGGGTAGATTATTGATACCGAAGATATTCCGAGAATTGAGGGAAGAGGAAGAAATTTTTGCGTAGAAATGGGAGCTAGCTAGTGATCTTTATCACAATTGTAGAATAAGTAATTTGTAGCTTGGTTGAGTGGAAATTCCATGTGTGAGATATTTTGCTGTATATCAGCTGGGATTATTTTGGGTTGTGGAAGCTTCCTGTATGCGTGCTTGCATATCGATATTTCTGATATGTGATTTTTGTGTACTTAGGTAGGTAGGTAGGTAGGTAGGTAGGTATATGAAATCTGAAATCTGAAATGTAAATTCACCTCATTACATTTTCTATTAACATGCACGAGAATCTTAAGTATTGCGAAGGTGTACCGAAAGAAATAATGGGAGATACCTAATTAAAGAGATATTGTTCCCTCTCTCTTCTCTTCTCTTCCCTTCTCTTCGCCACGAAAAAAACTCATTCTCCCTTCTTCAAGTAGCGCTCTCATCTTTTCATATCCAAGGTACTGGTAATTGACATATATAAGTAGCTGAACATTATGCATGATCAATTTTTGTTCATGAATTTTCATCCATCACAGGTCTTACTCTTTGCACTTGATATCACAGAACTTCCGTCTGTCATTCCTTCAAATTCCACATTCGGGGTTTGATTTTCTCTTCATCGGAAGTTTTGCACCTCATGATATGGATGATGTGGCTGTGATCTAGAATTGATGCATAATATTCATTTTCTTAACATCTTCTTCATGAACTTGTATTGATGCATCTACAAAAATTTAATTAAAAAAAGATTACATGCAGTATTCTGTTAGTAGAAATCTCTCCTCGAATAACAATCACCATGTTTCTCCCTCAACTTCCTCGCTAACAATATTCCTCCTCTACGTACTATACATTTCACATCTCATATCTCAATACCTGCAAGTTGGAAAAACACACCAGACACACAAGATGTGAAGAAGGATCTCTCGGGTTTGTTGTGTTGAACTAGATGTATGCATATATGTACGAGAAGTTCTGGAATCCGCGTAAAGATTCTGGTGAGAGAGCTCTCTTGGAGGTTATTTACTGTTTTTGCGGAAGCCAGAAGTTGTACTTGTAAATGTTATCCACTTATAAGTGAGACCAAATATATAGAGTCTTAAAGTCAGTTGCTATAAAGCAAAGACTGGAAAGCCCGTCAAAGGAAGCTAGATTACAGAAAGATATCTCCAATGCATTTAAGAGCGTTCTAGAAATAATCTGGGGATATTCTCGCCAAAGCTCCTCTTCTTTCTCATTGAAATTCATATATTGCTGTCTTTTCCCTTCCTCCACCGGATATAAAGATTTGCGCTATGGTGTCAAGTTCCACGCTGGGAGACGGAACGTGAATGGACTTGGAAACCTATCGTATTGATCCAGAAATGACAATAATAGAGTATATTTAAATTTGACTAAAGCATTTACAATGGTATCAATCGCGGCATCTAAATCCTGACGCCTATTCTATCCTTCTATGCCCCTCAATATCTAAACAATGATAGTCGTAAAACATACAAAACTGAAGTCTGAGTCTAATCCGCGCTGCCAGAATTCTAGAATGATAAACTCAAAACAGAAATGATAGCATGTCAACTTGAGAATAAAGTGAACTTTAACTCCAACACTTCGTCTATTGCCCTTCTCATTCTAGCCAAACGCCTTTCATTTATTCCTCGGCCAGCAATGAAATCTTCGAAACTCCAGCAAAAATAAAAGTACCGTTAATATAAAAAAGAAATGGCGCCGATAGTAATAAAAAGCAGTGTATATTTAGAAGGAAGTGTGTGATTCGAACTGGCAGAATTTTTTGCTGGCCTATATGGAGAGAGTTAATAACATATTTGTACGTTTTAGTCATATGATCAAGAAGCATGGTAGTATTTCAACGACTGAGACTCATTATTCTGGCTCTCGTTCCTATACTACTTTTAATAAACATAAGATGCATTTAAAAGTCCTTCTTACAAGCCATTCAATGTATTTTGTGCTTCTATTGCATTTCCTAGGCTTGTGTTAGTATTTGGGTTCTATGTGGATGCAGGGGAACTCTTACCAACGTCGAAAAAATCTAGGAGCATTACTCGCGGTTTTCGGCCCCAAGTTGAAGTACAAAGGTCGGCTTGGGCTCCAATACTACCTACACCTGTTGCCGCGTTCTACATCCAAGTCAATAATTGGTCATCGTTGTAACTTGTAAAGTTCTTACCGTCTTTTTAGCTTCCAGTCTATTTGGCACGAGGATACCGAAGACATCAATATCCAAGTAATGGTTTATTAACGGCAAAAGTCCATCTCCATTTGATCCCGGTGGACGATCGAGTGTACATGTTGGAAATGTAGGGGTAGTTACATCATACGCAGTTTCGAAAAAATAGGAAAACTCGGGTAGAATATATGGAGCTACATTCGTATCCGCGTCGTAGTCTTCAATATTGTTAGATCAATTTTCAATTGTGAAAAGGGGTAGGGGTAACTACTCACCGAGGAACATGACAAGTCTATCTCCATTCGTGATCAGCTCCTGAAGTGTAGGCCATTCATTTATGGCTAATTGATGCGGTGGTGTATATGCATATTTTGCGAGACCAGACACTTCCATTGCTGAACTGAAATTTCCGACAGGAATATAATCTCCATTCGTAAGTAGTAAAGTTACGACTTCATTAGGATTCGCATCAAGCCATTTCTTGATATCCTCTAGATAATAAACAGCTGGCCCAGCATCTGAATTTGAAATGGCGCTTATTAGTTATTTCTCAAGAAACTGCTTGGAAAGACGGTACAAAATCAGGAAGGCAATTGGATTCCAAATTTATCTTTTTTAAAGGGTTTGGAAGCAAGAGGCTAAGATGGGGAAAAGAAGTTGTATTTAGAACTGACCTAGTAAAAAGCATGAAGTATGACATAACGTCAATGTATCGAGAAAATAATGAGTCTGGGCTTGAAGAAATCGTACACCAGCATTCAGTTGAGCTGTGACATCGAGATTCTGATTCTCTGCTGGTAAATCTCCCACGAACGCGCTATCGTGTGTTCCTATTTGGGATATCTCTGACCATTTACGATCACAGAGCTCGGCATAGCCATTACAAAGCTGTGCCACGGTGACTGACAAGCACATCCCGATATAGAAAAGTATGAGACGCATCTTATGGAGATTATCTTTGCTTGTTGAGGGAAGTATGAAGATCAAAACTGGAGATATTCAGCACCTTTATAACATAGATGCTATGGATGTTCAAGGTAGCACATATTCACATATGATCCCCCACATAGGTCGTGGATGGTTTGTAGTCTCCTTTGGGAGATCATCGGGCCGAGTCATCTTGACCAAACATTCAGTGTGTGTTGTACAGACTTTATCTGTAAACACACACACCTTGAGGATACCTTGCAATGGAATAACAAGTAAGGTAGTGACGGCTGCCCAGATAAGTGGTCTGGCATCGGGGATTTATCCCCTGATGGAAGTTGGCGTTGAAATTGACCAATCGTGGGCTTGGCAACTTGCCCGTGGTAATGTCCTGGGATGCAACATGTACCATCTGCCGGTGCGGGGTTAGCGCGTAATTCAAGGAACCAGATCCTTTTATATGTTGCATCGCATATGTAGGTATCATCCAAAGATCGACGTCTCGAATTGTCCTGTATGTTATGCGATTATTGTTCCTTATATTAAGACACGCGCAATGTCAATATAAAGTTATAAGTCAGCCAGCCATTTAAGGTTACAACCCCCTCACAAAAGCAGTGATGACCGAACTCATATAGCACGGTTCGCATGTGATGAATTGGAAAGGAACACAGAAGATCTCGGGTTCGCCTCACGTTCTGACTCGCTTACATAAGGTTAAGCTCTGAGTTTGCGTGATCGGTACAAGGTACCCAATTATACTTTATTTGAAGGTTCAAAAATGTCATAACCTTATATAATTCTTAAATCAATTTGACGCTGAACAATTATTTGGTGAAAGCCAAAAGTTGCGAGGACTTGAGCTAAAGTTAGTCGGTGCCTCAAAGGATAAAGTTCCATTCAGGGACTCGTGAAAGTCACGATCTTTCCGTTTGGGGATGTCATCTGACAGCATACTAGAATCTACATCAGATCTGGATTTACTTAATCATATCGTTTTGATACTTTTTATGCTTCATTTCAAGCTCGAGTTTCTTTAATTTTCATTATAAGATAGTGCCACGGGTAAACAAAAGTACGTTTGACATTCATGAGCCAGGACTGGTCGTCTCTCCTCCAAAGGCCGAGAATCTTCTCTTTTTTTACTTCTTCTCTCATTCTTAATTCTTGCTACTGATCATTCATTTATAAAGAGAAAGGAGAGAAGCAAAGATGGAATGAATCACAAACAGATAATCACTGGAAAGAAATCAAGTTGACCAAGCGGGTTCCACCATACTTATTCAATCTTTATACGCAATCTTTCTTATTTGTTGATTCCTACTGCAACTTTCTGCTGCTCCTCTCTTCTTCCACTTCTTCCCGCTCTCTGCTTTAAATCGAGCTTTCTGTCATTTCATCATTTAGAAAACGATATGTTGTGTATTTCATATGAAGTCTATGAAAATGATGGAAGTGATGGGATGGTAGAAGCCTAAAGACAGCTACAATAAGTTAATTCCCTTTGCCTGGTTCAATAGATGAATGATCAATTACATGATTCCTTTGGTAAGAGAGCCTCAACACATACAATAACTGGAGTCACAGAAATATGCACTATTCTGGAATGTTACAATCCTTCTTACAAGTCTATTTGGTGTCAGTCCCATTCTACATCATGCAAAAATTCAGCGTATCCCAGATGTAAATATAGTTTGTATATCCTGAGTAATGATATGAAGCTACTTTTCACTCATTTCGCTCACATCTTTGAGTTCGATAAAGAGTTGGCTTGATGCGCTGTCATTCCACCTCTCCCTATACTGCGTTTCTTCTTGTCACTTTCTTTCTCCTGCTCATGGTATTTTGTGTTGGCGTTCCAACATTCATGGACACCCCCGCTCTTGAAACCCCTCATTTCCTTAAAATTCCATAGCAAATACTATCTATTGGTAGCAATACTCGTGCTATGATAAAGGAAACCTGAGAATGAAAAGATGATGACGAAGATGGTGTTGAGCTTGGGAAATTCAACTTACTAGTCTTCAAGTGTAGCGATTAATAATTTGGTAAAGAAAGGCAACGAAAGCCATTTAATATTAACTCGCTTATTAATGTGATAGCCAAATTTCATGTAAATTTTACTAACCTTTATCGCCTTCAAGGCTGGTTTTATTCCTACATCAATCAAAGTTCATATTTCAGTTTTCTTATTGATAAAAGAAAGCAACTACTAGGGACCAGCTTCTATATCTTTGGTACATGAGTTTCTCGGTAAAATCATCAGAGATAAAAGCAAGATCAACTATGTAAAGAAATCTATGTAGGTTAAGAGATAATCAGGTACTGTTCTACTCCTCCATTCTCATGATCATTCCCGTTCATAGCATTGTACTCCACAATCATCCCCTGCCCCCCTTTCACTGGTTAGATAATCGGGAGAAGAGAAGAGCGAACGTCTGAAAGTTACCTATTCGTCATCAAACAAGTCTTGCAACAAGCCCCTTTCCCTCAAAAAAAGTTAAAGAATCTAAAGTAGACCAAAATGTAGAGTTGAAGGTAAGCCAGAGGTAAAAGGAGCTGAGAGGGGGTGGGCGAGAGGGAATGAGGCGTGTGTACTCACCTAGAATTCACCATAGTAGATACTGAAATGTCAAAATAGAATCAGTAGTGGAGAATATTGTTAACTAAAGTGCCATTAAAACCACACCACTCACTTTAGTACACCTTACTCCCCAATCGTACATAGAAAAGTTGATTTCTAGAACTATAGTTCTCATCTAGACCTGAGTCTTCACTTCTCGAGCCATAATATATGACTACCACTCTCACAGCAACATGTCCGACTATCTATAACCAAATGATACCATACCATGGTAATGAACAGTTTTGAAAATGTTCCATCAATTTTCTCACCTGCTTAGTCGGCGGGTCGACTAAGCAGTTGATTTCAAGTCATGCTTTTTTCAACTCTTGTTTATTTATTTTTATTGAATCTGGGATATCTCTTATTGTTCAAACAACTTTGCTCAACGAATAACTGAGAGAAGACCAACCAAATCCAACAAAAACAATCGCCATGGCTTTCTTTACCACGTCCTGCTTTTCTTTGAGGAAGAATCGACTTCTCAATCGAAATGAATCTGCTACAACTTGCCCTTCCTTACCTATCAACTTAGAACCCACACCTCTTGCAATGGGAGTTGTTTCTCAGAATCTCACCGCGATCAATTTTGCCAGTGCCATATCTCCACACGAAGATATACCCCAAGCAAAGGCGACGGACAAGAAGGAAATTATTCCAACGGAGGTATGTTTATCAAAGAGGACTACAATTACCCGGCGCATTGGTGGCATGGTAATAATTACTGCTGATACTAAGATAAATATAGAAAGAACATGCGCCATCCTCTCTCCAATTTGACTTTCTTTCGCGCTTGATCGAAACCATTAAAGTCAAGGTAAGTCCTCAGAAAAGGAATTTGATCCACTGGCAAAATACCGATAAGGTAAAATCACCTTTGCTGATCTCAAGATATAGAGAGAGTTTCAAGACCCATCGTCTCCTCCAGTCAGCGTCGGCACACTCTTAATTGAGCCCATTGGAAGTGCTAAGCAAGAAGTAGAGTCTGATGTAAGTTCTTGATAGAGTTCAAAAATTGTTTGGTGTGATACCTTAAAGTCTCACCTTTGCTGATCGTGAATATGTCCAGAACGAAACTCAAGTTGCGCGCCCTGCTAATTTCCTAATACTCGTTCCCATTCTCAAAGTTCCGAGGATCAAGAATATTCGCTGCGAGGGCGAGCATTACCATTATTACGGCATTACTTCCCCAGAAGTCATTGTAGCTGAAGCTACAAAGTTCATATCTGACAATAGCAGCGTTTTCCAATGGTCTGTGAAGAAAACACTTGCCAAGTTCCTTGCCATTACCATTCAGGACTCCAAAAATGACTGTCAAGTCAATCCCGAAGCTTTATGGTTAGTGGTTAGAATGACGCAGAAGTCAGAAGAGTTCGTTATCCCTCGCTGGCACAGAGACGGGCGCATGATAGAATGTACCAACGCAAATCACGCCTTACATTGTAGATACGCCACTACCTTGTTGGGACCTACAACTCTCGTTCTTCAAGAGACAGAGGTGGTCACTCAGGGAATGAAACAACACGTCGGAAAGAGAAAAGAGACGGCGAACGCGCTTGCGGGAGAAATTCCTCTCGAAATCACTCGTGGTCAAATCATTCGCTTTTCTTGGGGTCAAGAAGACAGTCCTGTACACTCAGAACCAGATCTTGTCGCCGAAAGAGTGTTCATTTCCTGTATTTATGGAAGTATAAGCGAGATTAAAGACATCGCCGCCACTCGCAGACAAAAGATTGGCGATCTCCAAGCACAATTTAGGAACGAGTAAACCCAGACTTGAGGAGATAGGCTCGTGCGTATTATGCAAAATTTGTATGCAACTGCATTGCGGAATTGCGGTATGAGTGGCTATTAAGACAATGTGCATTCTGGTAAGATTCATCCGTGGTTTTCGTTCTAACAGAAGAGCTAATAACATTAGGAATCTGCAGGAACTCTTGCATAATCTGCCTTGTATTAGCTCATCTGGCAAGAGAAGTGTAACGGAGGACGTGTATCCTGGTGTTTAGTTTGGAGTTCTGATCTTTGCATTTTACAATGAATACCCTCTTTTCCTTCCTTTGGCGATCATGATACTGGAAATTATGATATTTGGATGGCTGGATGGATATTTGGATCGTTGTGAGTGGATGAATAGTTAGACGGATGAGAAATTTGGTTGACTGTAAACGGAATTAATGGAGGATTTATTGATAAGTGGTAGAAGAAACAGATAGCGTCTAGACATGCTAGGCCAATATCAATGTTAATATTGAAGATCGTTAGGGTCTTCAAAGGTACTCGACTTCCATATTGGGTTCACAGTCTGATATTCATCTACTTAGATAGGTATCTTGGACTATAATAACCTTCAAAAGTATCATTCTGGTGGTGTTAAACCTTCAATAGTACATGTGATATTATAGCTATCGCAGATCATTCCAGGTCGATAGTTGAGATACAAATCTTGAGTTCTATGATTCTCTGTCTATGTATCGACTGATTTTGATTGATGATTTGAGATGAGATGAGAAGCAGTAGGAAATGAAGGGTTTGCAGTATGAAGAAATCACCTCGGAAAACAATTCTCGGAACCGCAATGAATTATAATCCAATTGATAAAAATGAGTATCGATCTGTTCGACTCTAGCAATAGTTATCAAGGAGCAAGGTAAGTCATCAAAGTTAGTTATTTTTGGTGTTGTGATCATCGAACTATGGGGCAGGAGAGCCTGTAAAAACCCCTGGTCATTAAGTACCTAGTGAGTGGCAGATTTGGTTGCATCTCCAATCATCTTCGCTACTAGGTACTGGTACTAATCGTTCTCGAGCCGTTATGTCAATATGGCGTCCCAGATAGTTGCTGGTTCTGACTCTTTACTATTCAGGCAGAAAGCAATGCGAATGAAGTCATCCATTGAAATTATGTTCTGCTTGACGATTTATCATCAACTTGCCATTCCCTGCTTGCTTGGCACAAAGTCCTCCGCAATGACGTGAATGATAAATATCTCCTTCAACACAAAAAGCGTCCAAATATTGCTATTTTCAAGATATACACAAAACATACATACAAAATGTCAATCGGAGTTGCTATTATTGGTTCAGGCATCTTTGCTCAGACTGAGCATCTGGTATAAGCTTACTCAGTCCAGTCAATGTCTTAAGGTTATAGCTAATTAATCTCGCGCTTTAGCCAGCTATTCAAGCTACCCCTCATTTATCCCTCAAAGCTATTTACTCCCGTTCTCTCAAATCCGCACAGTCACTGAAAGTCGACGTCCCTCTCTATTCAGATGATTCGGGTGTTGGAAATACATACTACGATCTCCTTCTTCGTACTGATGTTCACGCCGTCATAATCGCCCTCCCAATTCTCGCTCAACCCGAATATATTGAAGCAGCTCTCGCAGCGGGCAAGCATGTATTGTCAGAGAAGCCAATTGCAGGAGACCTGGAGAAGGCACAACGCTTGCTAGAATATTACAATAGTGACAAGGTGAAGGGTGGAGCTACATGGGGCGTAGCTGAAAATTTTCGATTTTTAGATTCATTTATTCATGCGAGGAAAGAAATCGAGAAGTTGGGGAGAGTGTTGGGTTTTCGTATGCAATTTTGTGGCAATGTCAAGCCAGGAATGAAATACTTTGGTATGCATCTTTCATATCAGCAATGCTATGGTATGAGCTAACAGGTTCATCAGAGACTGAGTGGCGCAAGAAGCCAGATTATCAAGGTGGCTTTCTACTCGATGGGGGTGTTCATTTCACGGCGGCCGGCAGATTACTTTTGGGCGAAGAAGCAAAGCCAACAAGTGTCGTGGCATTTAGCACACTTCTTCGGGAACATTTACCACCTGTTGATACGATCAATTCGGTATGGCTCACGAAGTCAGGAATATCAGGCACATTCAGTGTCTCTTTCGGCACCACTCTTTCTGGTCCTGAATACACAGTTGCTTGTGAGCATGGTAGCGTTTCTGTTATTAGAAGTAAAGTGATTGTGCGTAAGGGCGAAGAAAGCGAAAAGAACTTTACAGAGGTTGAGTTTGCAGAAGAGGGTAGTGGTGTGAAGCAGGAAGTTGCTGCATGGGCTCAGAGTATCGTGGATGGAAAGCCTAATTCTAGGCAATCTCCTCAAGAAGCCCTTGCTGACTTGGAAATCTTGGAAAAGTTATTGCGAAGTGGCGAGGAGCAAGGGAAGAGCCAGAACTTGCAATTCCAAATCTAGGTTCGCAAATTCTATTCGAACGCATTCACGCCTCGGTATGTTCGTAGTGTCTTCTATTTCATTGGGGCCCTCTCAAACCCCAGCATTTATATGAAAGTATATACTTTATATATCTCCGAGACGTCAAGTAGTGATGTTCTCATTCAAACCATACTTGGAATATCTACAATTGTAATGACTGAAATCAAAATCATTATGGAATACTCATGTTTTTCTGAATGCAATCTGATTGTATTGTATTTATCACGGGTCAAATGTATATTTCGATCATGCGCTTCTAAAGGCTGAACTCTATCTACCAAAAGCCAATTCCAACCTCAGACTTAATGCATAATCACCGCTACGTGGTCATCCATATATGCATTAATATCACCAAGGAAACAAGCCGCAAGAATGCTCACGGCTCCAAATGTTGTGCTAGCATAGTACACATAAACATAACTTTCGGCATATGCTTCCTGCCCTGCAATTACCACCATCTGATAAGCGGTCTCATTCCCTGAAATTCCTGGTATTGTCTTGAGCAATGGAAGAAGGGACGCAGATGTATAGTGAATAGCTTCTCCTATAAGAGTCTTGTTTGTAATATTGAGTTGTCGAGCCATAACACCTCCGATATGCAAAGTGGCAGCAGGAACAAACTTGCTCACAAAAACATTGTAGTAGATACAATAGCCTATACTACCACCAATTACTCGGATCGAGAGGGTAAGAGCAGAAACGGTCGCAATCAAGTCATCGGGGCATATTATAGTCGTTATTATCGAAGCTGGCACGACGATACCACCTATGCCTAATCCAGCGATTATAAGAAGAGCCCACAGTGTTGATAGATTATGTCTGTTTGCGCATGCTAGTGCACCACATCCTAAATTATATGAATTAGCGAGATGAAAATGGAATTTGCCTCTGGTTTACCCAGTTCCGAGAATTACAATACCGGCTGTCATGAACACTGAGCTCACGATCATCAATTCCTTGTTTCTTCCTTTAAGGACACTCAGCAACCACAAAACAATACAAGCTCCTGCTAAAATCGAGAAGCCGACTGGTATGCCTCTGACTCCTACGCCAATCGGATCATGTCCATATACGTTGAAAGCCTGAGTGGGCCAGAACATGATGATACTAAACTAATACTTGTCAGTATCTTTCGCGAAATGCGCGTTAGAAGGAAATAAAAACTCGTACGTACAAAATTGGCACCGGATATAAATGTTATGACAAGTGTCAAGGCCAGAATTCTTGGTGCTTGCTTCAAACGAGATGGAAACATGGGATACTTCGTCCCGTAAATTTCCCAACAACAGAAAATAATCAGCAAGACGGCCCCCAAGATTAAAGGTACTAGAACATGCGCCGAATTCCAGTCGTATTGATAGCCACCCCATTGCATACCAGCCATGAATAGAATCATTCCTGCTACACTCAAGAAACCGCCCACAAAGTCAATTTGTTGTATGATTTCCCGATTGGATAAACCTATCGAGTTGACTCGAGGAGGAGGGAAATAGAACACGAGAGTAAGGGCGAAGCCGATGAATGCCCATACTCCGCATAGCAATCCGCACCAACGCCATCCGCCATGCGAAGCTATGAGCTGGGCCCACATTACAGATGGACAGAATGGGAGGATGGTGAAGACGAGAATGGCCACATACTTTCCACGTTTCGAGGTAGGGGCTAATTCGGCTGTGGCTGCTAAAGCAGTAAGTCTAATCATGGTAAGTTTGAGTTCTCCAAGGGCCCTTTGAATATCAGAAACAAACGGATTTAAAGACTTACTCATTGATGCCGGCTCCAATACCCGCAATTGCCATTCCTCCTTAGCCTAGGTGTTAGCTTAAGTGCAACATCGCTTCTCAAGGAACTTTAGGACTTACCAATGAATATATTCATAGTCTGAGCGGTCGAACAAACTATCATACCGACGACAATGAAAAGAGCACCCAAAAGTGCGACATAACGACGACCGAGGATATCAGAAAGACTTCCAACAAATGGGCACACTCCCGCCAGCGCAAGGAGGTTTGCAAGGACAAGCCATATCCACCTATATACTGTTAGGTTTCTTTTCCTGTGAACGGATAATACGTGGATTCGGATCTAGATATTCAAAGTACTCACCGATCGACGCCCCCAATATCAGAATAAATGTAAGGTGGAATGGCACCTATATCCATATTCTCAGTTCTCACATATATTATGAAGAATACCCATAGTCCTTACCAAAAATATACACAGGAATTTGTGATCCGGTCCACAAAAATGCCATCGCGACTAGACTCATGAAGCGTCGCATCGACATCTATGCGCTGTCAGTCAATTGTATACATTTTCTCTGGGACAAAACATACTTCGGGTTCATGATCATGATCTTCATCGTCGCCATATGTTCGAAGTCCGTCTTTCTCATAGTAGTTGCTATGGCCGGGCACTTTGTCATTTGTCGCGATATGCTCGACTTTCTTGGATTCCATGGCTTCGAAACTATCAGATGGAGGGGTAATGGATGATTTACTCATGATGATTAACCCAGTGTTTTAGAATCGGTTTTTACGTGGGTGTTGATTACTTGGGAAGAAAAGACATGGGAGTTGAAAACTTTTGTTGTAGAAATATGAGAGCGGGGTATTGGTAGATGCAAGAGTGAATGGATGTCAGATTGTAAATGGCTAATGTACTAGTAAGATGAGATGAGATAGCTAAGTCCATATATACCTATCAGTTATACCTATCAACACAAATGTGTAACCTCGGGTTTCTTCTCACTAGCACAGCGCACGGAAATTACCCATTTACAATGGCGAGATCTTGGTATCCTTGGCTGCATATAAAGTCTGGGGAAGGAGAAATAAGGCTAATTTATAGGTTGGTTCATATTAAACTATCTTCAGTCGGGGAGCTGAACCGTTCAATTGGGCTCATGTATTGTCTGGCGAACTGAATGGGCTTGCTATGAGGAGAGGGGCTGATAAGGGGAAATATTTTGCAGCCGCGGTATTATATTGTGGCATATAACACAATGATAAGCAAGGGATATGTTGTAGTACGAGTACAAATGGATTAAGGAGAACGAGAGCGTGAGGTGTTTTGGCACGTTATGACGGTGAAATAACATATATTAAATCTAGAGAATGAGACACATGTGGATCAAAGCTGGAGAAAAGAAAGGCTAAAGAATTAAAACCAATAGTAATTCATCCATGGATATGCTCGATGCTTCTACTATCTCACCCGGTACTTTCATGTAGTACAAGTCTAGATTTACCCCGCATATCAAGTATCAACTAATTTTGGACAAGCCGGAGATATCTCCAAAAAGGGATTTCAAGGATATTGGAGTAGGAACAGTATGTGAAGAAAAACCTCGGCCGAGTAGAGACTAGAATCACCTGGTCCATAAACAGTAAGTCGAGAATAGGGTGAACACCAAAGACTAGTAGACTGGCAACCAAAAATGAACTATGCTACATCATTATGTCGAGTCTCTGCTCCTTTGTATCTATTCTTGAACAGCCATTCTTCGGATTTTCATGAAAAGTTGTTAGTCAATGTGATATATGACAGAAGTCTGTCCAGATTTACCGAGGGAATTTGTGAAGTTACATGTTTCATAGCGGCTGCGATGTAAACCAGGATTTATGCAATAAGTTCTGGGAAAATACAGAATATACCGCGGGAGTCAGTAACAGTAGACTGACAAATGGACCCTTGAATATAGATGATAACGGTGCTCTCAAGTCCTCTAGATCTTAAGTTCTTTGCTTGTTCGTCATACTGCACTTATCAAGTGACAGATGTAAATCTCAAACTGTATTACCGGGAGACTGTCGAGATCCAACGGTACGTGCAAATGATGGTTCTATATTCAGAGCCAGGTCTCGAGTATCTACACAGAGTTCGCACCAAGAAGTTCTATTACTTACTCTCAATGAGTAAAGATGTAGGTTTTAACACTTTACATTACTTCCAAACCCACAGTTTGATGAACCAGATTCAAGGATCGAAATTTGGGACTTGGGACGATTATGATTAGAGAAATCCGATTCATCTAACAATTGCAACCCGCGGTATGAGGACATCTCGCAACGAGATATCTATAGCAAGTTGGGAGTTTTTAGCTACTCGGGTTCCCTTGTTGTCACTCACTGTTGAGGTCATTACGATCAAACAGTTGGAGAAATCGCCTCAAAAGTACAAGGGGTATGAATTCCCGGTTATTGAAACATGTTGCACTTGATTGTTTATTGGCAATATTAGATTGTCTACCAAACTAGGTGATGTTGGGTCTAAGATCTAGATTATATGCAAGTTGATGGCGATTAGGACACCGAAAACTCTTCAGTTTTTCAATACTCTTCAAGAGCCAAATTTCACAGGAAGAAAAAGAAGTAAGTTCCACCATAAAGACTGAATGAAATCATTTCCCACCGCTTCATCGTCTCTCATGAGAAGGTCAACTCTTCGAAACGTGAGGGATATTCTAGAAAACGTATCATGACCAACTGTCTATGCAGTCCTACCCATTCTCCCATTCCATCAGATTATCTCATTCGATCACTTCAACGACATTAACATTCTCTCTCAATCCGCCCGCAGCACTTATTTTCTTGCATTCTCTCGTCATCAGTTGAATTCACTCATTCTATATGCTTTATTGTTGTCGTATAAACATGCTTCATTCAATCTAACACTACCTTGCTCATGAACCTTCATCTTCGAAAGTTTCATTTCATTTTGACTTCTTCTTGCGGAATTCCATATCGACTTTGTAAAATATACAACTACTCCATCAATAATATTGATGATGTCAATCCCCATCTAAACTTTTCAAAACGACACCTCGCCCTTCAATAAACATTAATCCCATCCACAAATAGAATAAAAGTCTACAACTGAAGATTATGTACAACATACCCAAACAAGACACCAAAAGCTATTCAATCATACGATTAATATCTCGCGTCTACATAACCCTTTCCTATTGGTCTCATAACTTCCATAAGCCAACAGTTGGCTTCATGCATGCACATCTTTACAGACCAAAAGACCTTGCTTTCGTTCAAAACCCCGCTGTTGAGAGAAACAAAAGTATATATAGCGTTGTCCTCGCACTATAATGAATGGTATTACAACCAAACTACCAATTCTGTAGCAAAATCCACAATCCCCCAAAATGGCATCTCTACTAACGATCATTACTTCCATTCTCCTCGCAACCACCCTACCCTATTACCTTCTAACCACATACTTCCGCACCCGTAGAGCCTTACAAGCAGCCCAAACCTACGGCTGCAAGCCTATCCCCAAGGTCAAAAACCTCGATCCAATCTTAGGCCTCGACAAATTTATCAAAATCCAAAAAGCAGATGCCGGAGGACATCGTTCCGAAGCATACAGAGAACTTCATCAACAACATGGCTCAACATTTTTGATGATTTCATTAGGCACGGAACTCCAAACTTCTCATGCTGAAAATATCCAAGCGATTTGCACCTCTTCTTTTAACGATTGGGGTGTTGGACCCATGAGAGGAACCATCGGACTTCCCTTTCTCGGATGTGGGATTTTCACAGGTATTGTTAATCCCCCTAAAAATAGAAGGAAGTGATTGTTCAAGTTGTTAATCTTTGTGCGATTTCAGAAGATGGTGAATTCTGGAAACATTCAGGATCACTCGTTCGACCGACCTTTAGTAGAGCCGAGATAGCAGATCTAGAGAATTTTGAACGTCACGTTTCGCGGTTCTTAACTTTCGTTCCAAAAGATGGTTCGACCTTTGATATGCTCCCTCTTGTGAAAAAATTGGTTCGTAATTCAAAGGGCAAAGTGTCTAGCATGAAGTCAATCGACTAACACTCTCAAAGTTTCTTGACACATCAACCGAATTCCTATTCGGAGAATCAACAGAATGTCTCGCTGAAGATACACCCATTGAGAAAGACATATTCATGAAATCCTTCGACCGTGCTCTATTAGGTCTTGCATTACTTCTCATATTCAAACCTATTCGATGGCCACCGTATTTTGATCCTTGGTGGAAAGAAGCATATACCAACGTCCACTCATTCGTTGACAAGCGTGCATCATCAGCCTTGAAGAAACAGCGAAACCCCAAAAAGAAAATGGAACCCAAAAGATATGTTCTCCTGGAAGAAATGACCAAGATAACACATGATCCGTATGATCTCCGCATGCATATCATTAACGTATTCTTTCCGGCTCGAGACACAGCTGCTATTGCTTTTGCTGATGTTATATTAACTTGCTCGTCACCCTGGGGAATGGAAGAAATTGAAAATGGAGGTTGATAGCATCGATTCAAGCCAGGCATTGACGTTCGAATATCTTCGCTCATTGAAAGTAACCAAGGCTATAATTAACGAGTCTCTACGCTTACACCCAGCTGCCTCGAGACTTGGTAAATTATCTTTAAGAGATACAATCCTACCAAAAGGTGGTGGGGAAGATGGTCAATCCCCAATATTCATACCCAAGGGTACTGTGGTTGGGCTAGATTTGTACACATTACAACGAGACCCAGCAATATGGGGAGCCGATGCAGATGAGTTTAAACCAGGTCGATGGTTAGATGTAGACCGGCCGCTCTGGGAAGCGAAATGGCAATACGAGCCATTTTTAGGGGGCATCAGAATGTGCCCTGCCCAGAACCAGGTTCTGATTCAATTGTCATATCTTTTGGTTAGGCTTGCACAACAAATTGAATTAATCGAGAATAGGGACGAGGTTTTTGAATACCTCAAACATGTTACTATGACCGTGGAAAGTAAGAATGGGACCAAAATTGCTGTCAGATAGGTTGATTGACTCAGAATGCGTCAAAAAGATATCAAACAGTCTGGGCCTACGGGAAATGCTTGATAATCTTCAATAATAAAAAACTATTCTTGATATGCTTGCATTCGAATGTATATGCGGGCCGACAGGACCAGTCTAAATGTAAAAAGATAGGGGCTCCATTGTTTGAGCCGATCCGACTATTGTTACCAAGGAAGGCAGTTTTGCTCCCCACAAGCAACAAATCGAAGATCAAATGAAAATCCGATCGAGCTTCCATTTTACCCGAATAATGAATACTTTTGAAGGGGGTGGGAGATGGGTAGCAATGGCCGAAACACATTTCCCGTTGCATTTTGCTGGAAGTAAGCGCCGGGGTCTTCACACGGAGAATATGACGCGGGGAGGTCCAGTAAACGGATATGTTGAAAGGGAAGCTAAATTGCAGTGTCTATCTATTGCTACCAAGATCTAATTTTTCATCTCCAGGGATATACAGGGGTACTGGTGAAACGTAGAAAACAAAACATGTAATCTATTTTGTGATCATATCATCTCTCGATGGGCCTGTAATTTTCATATTAGTGATCCGGTATGATTAAAAGATAATTGAAGAAAAACTCACCAACTCCAATGAATTTGATTGGAACGCCAACTTCTTTCTCAATGAACTCGCAATATTGGCGACACGCAAGTGGAAGATCATAGTAGCTACGGCAACCAGTGGTAGGTTTATTCCAGCCTGGTAATGTGACATACTGTGGTTCCAGGGTCTCCAGTCTTTCGAGATCAGCAGGGAATGACTCCAATGTTTCGCCAGTTGCGGGATCGCGATATGAGACGGCGACCTTGATTTCTTTGAAAGAATCAAGGATGTCGAGTTTTGTGAGATTGATGGCGGTGTAGCTGTTGATAGCCGTCGAGTATTTGACAACCACTAGATCCAACCACCCACATCTTCTTCGACGACCAGTCGTCACACCAAACTCTCTGCCAACTTCTTGCAGTGTTGTGCCGACCTCTCCTAGATCTTCTGTTGGGAATGGGCCACCGCCCACACGTGTAGTATAGGCTTTGACCACTCCGTAGATGTTCTTTACTTTTCTTGGGTTCAAACCGCTGAGACCGGTGAAGATACCACCAAGACCTGTGTTTGAGCTCGTTACGAAAGGATATGTACCAGCATCAATATCCAACATGATAGCATTTGCACCCTCAATCAGCATAGGTGCGTCGGATTTCTGTGCATCGATGAGTAGGGGGAGTTGGTCAATAACCATATCTGCCAATTCAGCCCTGTAGGTCTGGGAAAATGTCAGAAAAAAAAAACCATTTGATCAGGATTACCGAATTTACCTTGAATCTAGCAAGTTCTTCCTCGACATCATACTGCAACAAGTCCCCGAATCTCTTCTTGGCGCCAGCCGCCATGCTTCGAACTTTTTCCTCGAAATAACTCTCACGGAAGATATCAGCAACTCTGACACCGCTTCTGGCCATTTTTGTTGAGTAACATGGACCGATACCTTTAGCTCGTTAAAAAGGGTGTCTCTACATGAGCCGAAGAGTAAATTACCTTTTCCGGTAGTACCTATTTTACCACCTCCAAGTTCGGCTTCTTCGAGTCCATCTAATTTCTGATGGAGATCAAGAACGACACTATAGCTCATTGTCAGATATGCTCAGTGATACCGGAAATTGAAAACCCTACTGGCATCGGTCACTGATCAATAATCTCTCTCTAGGTGGCTTTTTGCCCGCTGGAACCGGTATCTTGCCATCGATGGCGGCAAGTTCTTTGAGAAGACCAGGAATGTGGACTACGCATCCACTTCCTACCAAGTTCTGGCAGTCGGGGTTGAGGAGACCACTAGGTAAAATGTGAAAGTCGCTGTTTGGTATTGTATCAGTCGAATGTCCGAAATTATCTTGAATTTTGAGAATCGCTTCTCACGGAGACTCACTATGTCACTCCATTGGCCACAATTGTATGTCTGTCATTGTAAGTTAGAAGATTCCCCAATTTCTTTCATCGCGTCAATTTACCCTGCGTTGTTTCCGCCCTATATTTCATCGAATATTAGACACATGTTTTTTCGAGGATTCGTCATAGGCTTAAGAGGTAGAATTACCTGTGCACGACAGCACAATCTCAATTCCTCACTGCAGAGGACATCGACAAGTTTCCCCTAATCCACCCTCAGTTAAATTCCCAGACATGGAATCCTCCCAACCCAATGTGCCATACCTTTCCTTCATCACCCTACACTCGCACGTTAATATTTGATGTCCGCAGATCTTCGCAGAAAGCACGTACCCATTGAGCACCAAGAACAACTGTCGCCATCTTGAAATTCGGTGAATTTGATTATTTTGATAGTCTGATGATAGAATTCCTCACAATCGCGTCCAAGTCGAAATATCGGATCAATTGATGAGAGCAACAAGTAAATATTCGTTTTCTGGAAATGAAATTGTATGCCTGTGATCTGTTAGAAACCTTTCCCGCACTCTGTGTGTTAAGTGATGTGGAGACGGAACGCACCTTAAGGGAACAGAAATTAATTGATGTGGGATGGTGGGGGTTTTATATCACTGTTGTAGCACTAACTTGGCGGGGCATTTTTTTCGGCACGAGCGTGTGACGTTGAGTCATTGTGAAATCACGTGAAATGAAGCAATTCATTTTTTCATCCCGTCTCTCATGATCATTTGGCACTTATTTATGATATACCCATTCCCATTCATTGTAGATTAGATCAAGTATTAAAAGACATATCAAAAATGGGAAAATTGTAAACGAAAGCATGTGTTTCGTTTGCTCATTGTAGCATCTACTTGATATCCATATTTCGTTTGCTCAGTACATTCATCGTACGTATGTATAAAAGTAATCACACAAGCCAATGAAGAGGGGCGCATTGCATGAGACTATTTAGGTTTAACTTTTTTGCAACTAGGAGATTACAACAGGCTGATTTCGAAGATCATTACAAAATCCTCTTATTTGTTGGGAATACATCGTAATATCATACCTAAGTGGATTGTTTATTACCTGTTACTTTTTAAACAGCTTGTGATCTCTCTAACACTCCGTTCTCTCATAAATTTTCCGTATCATAACTTCATCATGTCTCACTCTCACGAAGGAGGTCCATCCCACTCTCACGATCATCCAGCTGGTGACCATGGACATACTCATGAGATTCTCGATGGACCTGGTAGTTATATGGGAAGAGAAATGCCAATCATAGAGGGGAGAAATTGGTCTGAGAGAGCTTTTACCGTTGGTATTGGAGGGTACGTGTTCCTGAGTCCTATTCGTGAAAGTGTTTTGTCCATGGAACCCCTCCATGACCCAGAGGGGTAAATGAGTCACGTGCCTATCTACAATTTTGTTGTCAAATACTTCAATGGATATCCCCTTGTTATTTTTGAGTAGTCGTCACTGGAAGAATCATTGTGAGTGATTTATTTACTAACAACGGTTCAGACCTGTAGGTTCCGGCAAAACAGCATTGATGTTAGCACTCTGCAATGCCCTCAGAGAAAAATACTCAATCGCAGCCGTTACCAATGATATCTTTACCCGAGAAGACGCTGAGTTCCTTACCAAGCATAAAGCCCTGCCTGCATCACGTATTCGTGCCATCGAAACCGGTGGATGTCCCCATGCAGCCGTGCGTGAGGATATCTCGGCCAACCTTGCTGCTCTTGAAGATCTGCACCGTGAATTTACTTCCGACATATTACTCATCGAATCGGGAGGTGATAACTTAGCCGCTAATTACTCAAGAGAATTGGCGGATTACATCATCTACGTCATTGATGTCAGTGGAGGTGACAAGATTCCCAGAAAAGGAGGACCAGGAATCACTCAGAGCGATCTTTTGGTGGTGAACAAGACAGATTTGGCCGAAGCCGTGGGTGCAGATTTGGATGTTATGGATAGGGATGCAAGAAAGATGAGAGAAGGAGGCCCGACTGTCTTTGCTCAGGTGAAAGGAGGAGTTGGAATGGAACATATTATTGGTTTGATTGAGAGCGCATGGAAGGGTAGTGGGGCGGAGAGGGTTAGCAAAGAAAGAGGTGGCCCAAAGCCCACGGAGGGTTTGGAACAGCTAAAGTAAATAGGGCTGCATGCACTCTGAACGAAGATGAGAACCTCAATTTAAACGTAGATATTCATTTGAATGGAAAGAAATCCCTTGTAGTGGTCCGCATAGATTCTCATTATTTAACAGCTAAACCACACCACGCTCTACTACAAGTAGTATGCGACGCCTCGATAATACCTTCAAACACCAGGCGCCACAGAGTTCTTTTCCCAATCCCTACACTATGCCTTAAAGCGCCTTGCATAGTGTGTGATATCAACAATAATGCACCAAAATTATCTAAGCACTTTTCTTCGCGAAGCGACCGAGTGCAGGTCCAAGTTCCTCCTCGGTAGATTTTAGTCTGTTCTTCTCCCTTTGCATCTGACTCTTTCTCAATTCCTCAATTCTGTCCCTCTGATCATCGATAATACCTCTGGAACTCTTCTTTCTCAGGTACTTTCTCAAACTACTGTTCTTACCTCTACCCCTGTTCTTTATCTTAGCCATTGGATCTTCTGGCTTCTTGTCTAGGTCTTTCTCGGCCTTTCTTTGCTCATCAGATCTCAGATCAAGATTACCAATATAATTGGGGTCCAATGAGATCATTTCTGGTTGAAGCTTATTGAGCAACGACTTCACCTCGGCCTCTTGTCGTTGCTTAGTGGTCTCGAATGGATTAACCTCCAAAGCATCAAAGTTGGCTTCTCCAGCGCCTGGAACCAATATCGACGAGAACCCGGAATCGTGTGAAGTTCCTAACACATCCTCAAATGGACACCAACGTACACGCTCAATTCGTTTACCCTCGCCACCCCATGCCATGTACGGACTTTGTATTTTCTCCTGTTCTAGAGAGTTCTTGGTGAAAAGACCCCGCCAAATTGAAACTTGAGTGCCCCATCCGACAGCTGTTAATCCTCGGTCAGAAATAGCAACTGAAGATGCTGGCTGTCGTGTAAAATAACTATTGACTTCTTTGAACATTCGAACATCCCAGACGGACATCTTCATGTCTTGTCCAGTAGAAACCATATATCTACCCTCTCTATCTACGGCTAATGATCGTACTGGACCACGATGTGCCAATAATTTGACCAGGGGAGTTGTAGAATTAGGTGACCATAAAGTGACTGTTCCATTTTGGTGACCCATATGAAGGATTGCATTTCGAGGGTTTTGAGTGAGAGAGGTAGGCGATCCCAGTTTTGTAGGCATTTCCATTACCATTTGACCGGTTGAGATATCTTGATATTTTAAATGTCCAGCATTTCCCTAAAAAGGTCAGATATACGCAGTTGAAAGGAGTGTTTTTTACATACAACAGTAGCCAAAAGGTAGTGGTAAGGAAGGAATTCCATATTCGTAACCTCGATATGTTTCTTCAAACAGTGCAATTCAACTCCTGCTCCGTCATATATATAAACGTATTTCTTTTGCGCCACTGCAAATAGCTGGTTATTGTGTAGCCATTTTGCATCTCTGACAGTTTCTCCAAGTTGTAATTCACATCCCAGTTGTCCTTCCCTCCAGTCCATTGTTGCGACATGGCCTTTCCTACCAGCCAATATAAGGTCCTTTCCATTTCTTGTATAGTCGCATACATATGGTCCTAATTGATCCAACTTAAGCTCGAAGCCTTTCTTTGCAGTCTCGAGAGGCACACTCTGTTTAATTTCATCCTGTCGGACCTTGTATGTTCGTTCCAATTCATTTTCCGGTTCTAAGAATCCGTCTTCGTTCTCAAGTAAAATCTCGGCATCTTTTGCTCTAAGTATCGCAGTTTTGTTTCGTGCCTCAAGCTTCTTGAGATTCCCCCTAAGCTTTTTATCCTTAATTGAATGTATGGGAATCTTTCCTCCTCTTCCATATGCTTTATTGGCTTCCTTGCGACGGCGTAATTGCGACTGCGACTCTGATTCTGTGGTGGCCAGCTCTGTTCTAGCTCGTTTAATTGGTACCGCTCCATTCGAATGAGAATTATCTGTCAACTCCATTGTATCTGCCATGTTTATATGACAAGTGAGTCTTGGTCGAAGTAAAATTGACTGTGTTTCGATTACCTATTCCAAGAGAGCGCAAATATTGGTGAACTATGAGTTCGTAGAAAATATTCTGTAGGCGGAACAAGCGGCCGCTGGCAAAAAAAGTAGTCTTAACGATAAGCGATAAAAGAGATAAGAACTTTGACTTATCGCACAAAAAAATCTCAAGCCCCACGTTATGACCCAAATTCTCATAAATTCCATCTCCTAAGTCAAAATTTGAAAAATTGGATTTTGAATTTTCCAATCTGGCTTCTATTCCTTTCAGATTTAAAGCCGGAGGCAACGGCAATATGGCTCCAGCACCTACTGGACAACACTCCCATCGGAGTACAACGAAAACAACCCATAAAGCTTTCAAGTCAAGAAAGGCTTCTAAGGGTGCATTGAAGGAATTGTCAAAAGGTCAGCTCCGCTTCGTACGTAGAATGAGTAAATATTAATCTTCGTAGGCAAGATCCAAGATTTAAGTCACCGAAAATCTCCTCACCAACAACTTATGTCGAAATTTGATCGTCGTAATCAAGCCCGTCAGAAGCAGAATACCAAACATAAGGAACATCAGAGAGACTTGAATGTTTTCCAAGGACGTGATGGCGCACCAAGAATCGTAGCTCTCGTACCGCTATGCGATGATGCAAATGCTGCTGCTGCAGTCCGGGGCTTGACCGGAAGTCTGGACGTTGAGATTGATGTGCCCGAAGAAGGAATTGTTCGTGCCGATATCGACAGATTCAAGCAGAAGGTTCAATATATTGTCACCAAGAAGGAGTTGTTTAGCTGCATGAATGCCAGTAGAGTGGCAGACTTTGTAGTCTTTATTTTGTCACCGGAACAGGAAGTTGATGAGTTGGGTGAACTTATCATCCGAAGTGTGGAAAGCCAAGGATTGTCGACTACTTTGACTGTTGTACAAGGACTTGACACGATTGAGCCACCCAAACGAAGACCTGGAATTCTTTCATCACTCAAATCATACGTTCAGCACTTCCACCCCGATCAAGAGAAAGTACATAACCTAGACTCAAGGCAAGAATGCGCCAATTTGATGAGATCATTATGCACATTAGCCCCGAAAGGAATTCGATGGAGGGAAGAAAGAAGTTGGATGCTTGTTGATGAAGTTCAATGGCCAACAAACGAGCAGCAGAATGTCATACTGACTGGTTTTGTCAGAGGCAAGGGATTGAAAGCGGATAGATTGATCTCGGTTGGAGACTGGGGTGATTTCCAGATTGAGAAGATCACAGCTGCGCCATTGGCCTCTAAAAAGAGACGAACCGATGAAATGGCTACGGATGATTCTAACGATGAGACTGTTCTTGAAACACCTAGTGAAGATCAGGATGATCTCGCGGAACTTGCGCCTGAAGGGATTATGATGGAGGACGATGAGGATGCCGCCATGTCCGTCGCCCCAACAGAGAAACGTGGTGTACTTCTTGATGATCACCACTACTTCTCTGACGACGAGACGCATTTGCCTGCTGCACCAAAACGACTTCCTAAAGGTACATCCAACTATCAATCAGCATGGTTTCTCGGAGATCATTTCTCTGATTCAGGCTCTGATATGGAAGATTTTGATGACGAAGAAATGACTATGGACACACCTGCTCTTCCTCAAGATGGAGCTGAAGGTCTTGCACCAAGAGAGCCTACAGAAGCTGCTCCATCAGAATATCCACAATCAGAGATGTTTTTGGATCCCAATCCAGATGATGAAGCGGAGGCAGAGCAACTAGCTGCTTTCAGAAGGCGTAAAACTGATGAGGCAGCAGAAGACCGGGAATTTCCAGATGAGATTGAGCTTCACCCAAACGTTTTAGCACGTGAGCGTCTTGCAAAATTCCGTGGTCTAAAGAGTCTGCGCACTAGTCCTTGGGAGGAAGCTGAAGACAGAGCATATGAACCAGAAGATTGGAGACGCCTACTCCAAGTACCCGACTACAAATCATCTCGTAGCCAAGTCACTCGTGAGGCATTGGTCGGTGGAGTGGCTGCAGGAACTAGAGTTCATATCCACCTTCGTAACGTACCTAGTTCATTGCAATCGACATATAATGCTTCTCAACCTCTGAGTGCATTCTCTCTTCTCCGCCACGAACACAAGAAGGCTGTCTTGAACATCAATTTCACCCTCAGCTCTGATTATCCTTCTCCTATCAAATCAAAGAGCGAGATGATTGTGCAATGCGGACCTCGCCGCTTCGTTGTCAACCCACTTTTCTCTCAAGGTGGCAATACCCCCAATGACGTTCACAAATTCGATCGTTTCCTCCACCCTGGCCAATCAACCGTCGCTTCTTTCATTGGACCTCTATCATGGGGTTCTATTCCAACTTTGTTCTTCCAAAAACCTTCCGAATCTGCGCCTTCTTCCGCGCCTCTCCTTTTGATTGGTACTGGTACATCACTACCGCCATCTACTTCTCGAATTATTGCCAAGCGTATCATTTTGACTGGTCACCCTTACAAAATTCACAAGAGACTTGTTACTGTCCGTTACATGTTCTTCAATCGTGAAGATGTGGAATGGTTCAAGGCACTCCAATTATGGACTAAGAGAGGACGAAGTGGTTTCATCAAGGAGAGCTTGGGTACCCATGGATACTTCAAGGCGACATTCGATGGTAAGATTAATCCTCAAGATGCCGTGGGAGTTAGTCTGTACAAGAGAATGTGGCCAAGAAATGCGAGGTCTTGGGATCCAGTTTCTGATGGACTTTTGGAAGATTCGGCAGGAGACAAGGACGTCGCCATGGAATAGATTTTTTTCTTTGCTATAGGAAAATGGACGGAGTTAAGAGTACAGGTTAAATGGGTATTTGGACAAATGAAATTATGAATCCTGGGTGGGAAGATGAATGGATTAAGATATCCTTGTTTATAGTGATATCTTAACGGTTTTCGCTGTGCATATTTTATAAAGATACAATAACAAATGAATGAACGTTTAGCACTATTTGTAGGGCCCCAATGACTAGAGCCCTTGAATTGATGATGTTTCAAGCTTACCACCATGAGATTCGGTATAATACCATCATGGCAAGCCTTGAAGAAGCTATCTAACAAGACTGCAAACCTTGTTGTTATCGCCCATGTATGTACTGTGATTTGAATACCCAGATGGCCATCCATTCAGTAATGATTCTTACGTTTTCTTGATCAGAGATCATTCAAATGGCTCAATACACTAGCCAGCAAACCTATCATCAACTTTAATACATTTTTTCAACTGTCTTTGGTCTGTCATACCCAGCTAGACACGAAGAGCGACTCTTAGCCCCCCTTCCGCTCGAGCTCGCGACTAGTCTTCTATAGATATACAAGAAACACAGTCGGTCACATTGAGTATTTTCCTTTATTCGGATACGTAGTGATTGTAATATATGAATATTGTCACCTTTCCACATAACTGCCGAGTGGACTGAAGAAGCGAGCTGACGAAGGGGGGTCTGGCTATACGTATGAGAAAAAACAGGCGGGATTTGACTACCCAAATCTTTATTGAAGTCTTCTTAATTAATTAGATTAAAATCGATTACAAATGATTTATATAAATCCAGTAAAATTAAAAGATATATTAGTTTTTTATTCTTCAAATAATATTGAAAAGTTTTATTTCATTTATTATTCAAGAGAAGTAATCGAGTTGTAAAGGTATTATAGAAATGGTCAAGTTCCGCCTCTTTTTTCTCCTGCGAATAGGCTGGTATTTATTATCCGATCCATTTACCCCTTAAACAACCGACAGCCTACAGTTTTAGATATCTTGACACAGACATGTTGTACAGGAGCTTCTTCCCAACGATGATTCTTTCTCAGGGTCAATTCAGTACTAAGCGAGCACCATACAAATGATCTTAGACATTCATTACACAACACATGAGACTGTAAACATCAGAAGGGTAATTCAATTGATGTATCATAAGGCGGCATGGAAACATATCCATTCCACGTTCAATCCGCCAACATATTCATCCCCACACAATAATTCTTGCTATGTAAATACTACTACTACCACTACTTCATAACTTTACGACTCCCGCTCCCGCTATCACTATCGATATCCATGACTCCACCCGCTCGCTAACAGCAAACATAAGTTTCGATCCAATGCAGAAGGCCATCCCACAACCGTACGTCCACCCGAAAGAGATATCCATTCGTTCATTGTTCCAATCGAAACATCAGGGGCCATTATCATTGAGAAAATACACCGTACCAAGACGAGAAAATTGAATCAGAGACTGAATGATCAAGAAGATCGAAATGCAAAAGGGTAGACCCGAAAAGCATAGCAGAAGCTCTAACTTGCAACCAAAAAAAAACCATGCCAACCAGATCAAAAGAATTGAATTGCCATCCCTGATACAAAAACATGATATGAGAAGTCAAGCCGTTGCTTCTGAAGAATGAACAGTGATATATCTTTTTTTTTCGCATTCGTAACCACAAGAGACGATAAAAAGCAAACGCTTCAGAAAATACGCATAAAATAGCTGAAGGCATTAAGAGAGACTATAAAGGTGTGACTTGCAAATCGTGAATGAAGACTTTGACGGGAGTAGTTATAGAAGTCATTATTGTGTGTAATACACAACACCTTGTTGCTGCGGGTAATAGAAACCATCCGGGCTTGGTGTCATCATACCGCCCATTCCTACTACACCTCCTACTTGCTGCATAGGATATTGTTGAGGTTGTTGATAGCCGGCTGGGAAACTTGGAACGGCTGGAATTTGCGCTGCGTCATAATAATACACCATTCCATTGACTTCTTGAGCTACCAAATTTTGAGGTGCTTGCGATGTCGAAGCTTCAGCAGGCTGAGGTGCAGGTTGATTATATGTTTGTTGAGGCTGCTGTTGTGCGGGTACAAAAGGAGTCGTGCCAACTGTAGAAGCCATGGGTGCATTAAAGGTTTGAGGGTAGTAATATCCTTGTGGGGGCTGCAAAACGGGGTAAGTCTGTGGGTAGTAGTTGGAGGCTGGCTGTTGATAAGGGTTAGGTTGGAAAGCCGGTGCGTGAATAGCTCTTTCTGGAATTTGTGATAATGGGGTACCAGTTGAAGCTTGACTTGGATAGGATGGTTGGCGGGAATGTTGAACGTTATCGTGCGAATAACTATTTCCATTAATTTGGATGGGGACCTGTTGATGAAATGGTTGTTGGCTTTGCTGGGGAGGATTGAATGACATTGATGCGGGTGATTCAATGTCGGCCAGAGAGACAGTCTTCTGAGGCCGAGGTTGATGCATTGGAATTGTATTCGGACGGTTTTCCCGAAGAGTTGGCTTCTGGGGGAGAGGATAGGTTTGAGGTTGTGGAACATTTTCGAGAGAAGAGACTTGTGAAGATCCATTAGCTACTCCAGGCTCAGGTGCCTGAAATTGTTGAGGTTGTGCAGCTTGGCTTGATGGCGGTAATTTTACCACGGGTCTCGATGAATCCATCGATATTTGTGGCCTAGACATTGTCGATCCGCTAGGTGAGACAAGAGCTTCTCGATTGACCTCTCGTGCAAGGGACGAACGACGACTCATGGCAACGCTTGGAGTATAAGTACTTCCGTAAACGCTACCACCAAAAACGCTCGTACGTCTCGAATAACCCCCGACGGATCCAAGACCAGCTCTTCCTCTGCCACGTCCACCAAACCCTTGTTGATTAGGTCGCATAGCTCTTGGGATGAATATGAATGATCTATCGACAGCAGGGAATATGTAACGTGGTGGATGGTCAGGTAAGGATATTCGAACAGGTTTATCTCGACGAAGTGGTGGTCGATGATCAGGTAGACGCGTATATTGCTTCACTGGAATTCCAGGAAATAATACAGGGTTTTCCATATCTCCAAAGAACACACGGATTTGTACATTTCCAATGTGCTTCGTAGTGGAAAGTGATCGATTGAGAGGTGCGGATTTTGGAGCTGGAGCTGATCTTTGGGATCCATTCGAAGCTCCATTTGTAGATATTGGTACGGGTTCAGTTATTACTTCGTGCATGTCGTGTGCCCATTGAACGTCGGTGGGTTCCAAAGGTTGTGAAATGTGACTATATAAAGTTAGCAAAATTGCAAAACCACGAAAGAGATGATGATGATATACTTGATAGGTGCATAGGGCCCTCCAATACCGGGCCGACCCCGACCACCTCTGCCCCTGCCAAATGGCCTAAAACCATTCGCCGCAGGACCAGCATGACGATGGTCGTGCATAAAGAATGCTCCTCTATTTGGCACAAACGCTGGATCCGCATCTCTCTTTTTCTTGTATTCTTCATGTTCTCTCCTCCGTCTTTCATGAGGCTGTTCTTGTTGTCGATCCATTTGAGCAGTAGATGTGACAATAGCCGGTGAAGGGGTGTCTTTGGTCTCGTCTTCTCGAAAGTCTTCAAATTGTACTGTTTGTACCGGCTCAGAGCTTTTGGGTCCGTTAACCATCATTTCCATATCATTGGCACCATTTATGAACTTTGAAGCTTCAGTAGTACCATTGCTAGCTTTTGTTTGTCCACCATTCAGCTTAGATCCATTCCCATTCATCTTGTTCGATTCAGACGTCTCATTATTTGCAATGCCGCCATCGATAGGTTCGTCGCCCTCGTGAATATCTTCATCCTCACTAATTATCGAGCCTTCTGACAAAGAGTAGTCATCAAGTTCAGCAATATCTTGAGCTCCTTCATCATCGCCTTCGTCCTCAACCCGCCTTCGTCTTGCAACCAAATCTCTGCGTTGGCGGGAACCCATTTCGGAGAGCTATTAAACGTATCGGCCTAGGTTTGACGGGTTGATGGGCGATCTTAGGAAAGTAGTCAAGGGAAAGAATTCGTGACAGATCATGCAGTGGCGTCCAAAACGGGGTATTATGCAGCGCCCGCGCTCAATAGAAAGTTATGTGCGATAGCGACTGGGATCTACTTCTATGTTCTGATGTAGAGGGAATTGTAAAAAGGCGAAACCTGCACACCGGGATTGTATGTGTTGAGATTAGAAGAAGGTATGATGTGGTTGATAGCTCTTTACTTGTGTAGAATTAAGCATTAAAGTTTATCAGAGGCTGAAATCCAAGATAGGTTAAGGTTAAGTTGCGCTTTTCGATTTCTTCGGTGGAAGATTCGATTGAAGACCGATAATCCATGACATTAGTAAGCACTCGACCACAATGGTGAACGGTGAACCACATCCACATCACCACCAAAGAAAAACCTGGGGCAATGAAATGATTGATCAATCATTGATCGATCATTGATGAATGGATCATTTTGAAACGATCACCACCAACCATATCTATCTTGTTTGAATTTTTACTATTTATATTATATCGTTGTTATCCCCAGGAGCAAAGTTATATCCTCAAACCGATCATACGGTAGACCTGCATCACCTCCTTGTATATGAATCGCGATTCATCCTCAAATCTCCTCCAATAGCATGGGACCGTACACGTCCAGCATGAAGACGGGCATTTGAACCAACACATTTATGCCTACTAGGTACTCTAGAACATTCTGGGCGAGGCCAACAACGAGACGTTGTTGTCAACATGAACACGCCTACTGCGCGAATTCGCAGTTCACCGTCGAACTTCCAAAGTATGCATGAAATAACATGGAGGAGGATTGGTATGTTGGAAGAAAGTGTTGAGATCTAATATACCTAGGTATGTATCGTGTCATGTTTCCTTCTGTGAAAGAGGCCACAATTCTAGCTGGTTATGCATTGAAAGTCGCACGTGTTCATTATTTGTCATTTTCAACAGTTTCTGCTATACTTTCGCGGTATTCATCAAGCTCTGCAAGCTTTCTCCTGCGTTCTGATTCGTCCCATTCCCATTGTTGAAAGAAATTTCCCCATTGGGTATTTTCGAGTCACGTGCTGCACGCTTGAAAATGGAACTAGCTCCCGAACCGAAAACGGTAGTGCCGGTTAAGGTTCCATTCTTCCAAGGTTGTATGTAGTAATCATCGTCATCGCTTTACTTAGTCATGTCTTGTGTGTATCTGGTTAGCTTAGGTAGCTTTTGAGTTCTAAATCTATTTACTAGATGAAGTCCATAAGAGCAATACATTCATTCTGTGTATACTTCGTATGTATCTTTTTTCAGTCCATCTACTAGCGATACAGTCATATCCCCTATCAAAGATACCCTTCTGCGCGATACTGTATCCGGGTTATTGTTATCTGGACTAGTCTAGCATATCAATAAGATGAAACGGACGATGGACAAATTTATATTGAGTATTTAGACATTGTAGTTCGCAATTAGCATTTCCTCATCCCCTATGTTCTAACTGGATTGACTTTGATCTGTTTCACTCCAGCTAAGATTTCACAATAACAAGCCCACATCCAACGTTTTCTTCAGAAACTACAATGATGGTTTCAACTTCTCCGGCGACCTGACCTTCAATCTCTACTTATCTCTCCACTGCTCTTACCAAAACTACATTTAATACCACCCTTCACCCCACATCAACCACCATAAGTCATCTACAGGAAATTGACTTTAAGATGCTATGAGACCCCTTCGTTTTGAAGCTTCCAAGTCAATATAGTTCCATGAGCATGTCCTTCGCTAACCTTTTATCTTTGCGTCATGTACCCCTTGACATGGAATGTAGATGTGGGCCGTCATCCCAAATACCCTGGATTGACATATCTCGTAGCATTTTTAAATGTATAGATCTAGATTCGATGATGACACAAAATGACATTACTATTTTGATTTTTATCTGTTACCAGATGATACCAAGACTTTATCTATCTTCATCTTGGAGCCGTTAGAGAGTGAACTTGGAGGCACATGGACGGCAGGTGTGTGTGTTATGTTGAAGACAGTTCACGAATTGGTAGGTCGTCTAATCCAGATGTTTATGATAAGAATATACTCTCGTAGGTCAGCTGAATCTGGCCGATTGCGTGCAAGGAAAGTTGAGACATTGTTTTCGTGTCTTTTGCCAATTATGAAACAGGATATGAAGTGTGGCAATTACTTTTACCAGAGACGCGTGAGCTCGAAATGATATATGTTCAATGTCGAAGTACACATCTTAAGGCACAATTCAAAGACTTTAGAGCTGATGGTCCTTTCGTCTCAGCCATCAAGAGCAAGTGATGAATTTTTTTAGACGGAAATGCGCCCATTTTGGTATGCTGCCATTGGGGCAGATTAAGCTCCCTTCAGTTACAAAGGACCAACTATGGGTCTCCTCCCTTTATTATATAGCCTTGGTCTTTTGAACCACTTTCAAAGATCCCGTCTTTTCTTGAATCGGTTTCTGTCGGGCTATTCTCGTCAACACATATGATACTTCTATCATCCCCATCAATTCGAATTCACGGACCGAACACTGAATATAAAATCAACCTTCAGATCCCCAATTAAGGATCATAATTGCTTGAACGGTTGGGCCTCGGGGTAAAATGACAAGGAAATCGTCAAGGTATTTGCAGCTCTAAGGGCCAACAACCAAGGATCAGTATTCGGCCTCCCCAAACCTAAGCTTCTTGGCATCACGAGAATAGCTATGATGTAGATAACAAGAAGAAAACCCAATCAATAAACCAACCTCTTTTCAGCTCATGAAAAGAGTATTGAGCATCAATTAGTGATTCTGTAGTTTTCCTCAAAGCAACTTGAAAGCAGTATCAACGCCAAGGGGAAGCCTCATGCTGTTGTGAACAAATACCGAGAATTTTCTTCGTCATGCACAATTGTAAATCAAAGATAGAGAGAATCTTCATTTTCGAGCGTTGCTTGTCTTATATCAAGAGTCAATTGATATCATTCATACACTTACGAAACGTGAATAATCGCCATTACATTCATCTTTCTATTTCTTCGATCATTTCGACTGACTTGTATCAAGTGGGATAATAGAAATCGCAGATTTATGTCTTGATCTCTAGATCCGTTTCGAAGTCCCAGAGCTTGGGAGGTGAACATGGAAATATTTCTCTTGTCTCACTCTCTGGTTAATTATATAGTCCGAATAGAATGAGAAAAAATTTCTAAGATATAAGCACTGTGCCAACCGTTTCTTCCTTTCTAAATGTGCTCATGTTCGGTCTTCTTTTGATTGTAAAGGCATCCACCAATATTTCAAACGCCCTGAACAATCATTGGGTTTAAATTAAAGACATGTCAAATCCCCATACATATTTCTCGTTTTGGGATCAGCTCACTTCTTTCATCTCAGGTATTAGACACAAGGAACGACAACTTGTAATTTCTGGACCGTTGGTACTTAGTCTTCATGCCAAAAAATCTGCTTTGATACCTAGGTAGCTAATATACCTAACCATGAGAGTTAATAAGGTACATTAAGAAGGTAAACAAATTTCGTTAGCGTGCTTTTCGACTTCCCCGCGACGACATCATCTCAACTTCCTTTGCCTTTATCTTTGATTTCTTTCAACCTTTAAAATTCGTCAAGAATTACGTATTATCTTTTACCGTCACTTCTCAAATCTTGATAGATTGACGTCTTGCATCTTAATCTCAGAGAACTTGTTTAAGCTTTGAACGAAAGTCGAGGTCTCTCAACTTCCTTATTTTAAAAATTTCCGTTCTCTCTAAAAGCTCTCCGCAACTTGTCAAAGATTTTTATCACTTCTATGAAAGAATCAATTTCACACGCCGTCGACATGTATTCCTCCGACTCTTGCGCTCGCACCGAAGGGTCTGGTTCGAGAGATCCAGGGAATACATTGTCCCCATATTCAAGCAGGAAAGACTAAACTCGCCAACTTTCTTGGATGAGGAGTACCATATACCTGACACGCCAGGGGAATCTGCAGAAAGTGAGAGTGAACTTTTTGTTACAGATAATCGCTTGCATTCTAGCAAGCGCAAAGGTATCCTTAACCATAGTTAGCCATAGTTAACAATTTTCAATACACATCAATTTTAGTACTAACATCCATCTTTAAGGTAAAAGACGTGCTGAAATGCAAATTCCAATCGCATCAAAGAGAAAGAGAAAGCCTCGCAAGCCTTACGTTAAAGAGACCTTCGACGATGAGAAAGAAAAATTGGACTCAATTCTGGGAGATGCATCTCGCAGCAAGACGCAATACCAAGACCAACATACAGGAGCCAGGGGTATGTTCAACCTTATCTTTAGTCAATGAATAGCGTATACGAGTTCGAGGAAATACTAATATTTCTTTCCTAGGTGAAAACGTTCCAAATGTAGCCAGAACAGCTCCTCCGTCGAAAAATATTACCATGAGCTTAGATATGTCTACTGGTACTTCCAAAGGTGTGTTTCTCTCAGACTTCGCACTATCAGACTGGGACTAGCTCAAGTTAACCAACATACAGAGCCACATATCACTTTGACTATACCAGCTGTGTTCCATAAATACCATATTACTATCATCCACGGCAATACCACTTCAAACTATGCGGTCAATGGTAAAGCCACTGCTTCTACACCTCAACATGTACTAGAGGAGATTTAGTTTAATGTTTACAAGTATCTTCTGTAAATCTAACAGAAGGCGAAAAGCTTTCGAAGTGAGGATCGATGCGTTGAATATTAAGCGCATGCGAACATACAACGCGCAAAGTACCTGGCTAGTTATCCTTTGTTAAATGATTGGAAGTGAGGTTGAGGTCGATATGATCCCAAGTTTTATACGGAAAGAATCGTACGTGGGCTCTCGAACATAAATTTTATACGAAGCTAACACAAGTTTCAGACTATCACCCGCGGATGGAGGTCACCTTGGTTACGAGTCGGCTCAATACATTCATCGAATCTGAACATTCAGCATTACTCTTTCAATTTCAAGCTTTTCATCTTTTCTTTTCGGTCTTCAGAATCCACATCTCCATATACCACAAATTTCTCTCTTATGCATGTGGTCGATTCAAGTATATGCGTTATCATCCATGGTTAAGCACCACCAAGGATATATCTCTAGTTCTACGCATCTTATTTCTTTTCAACAAAAGTATTTGAATAAACAAAAATCGAGTAAGACCTTAGCGGCACTTCTTCTCAGGGGAGGTATTGCGTGGTAGACGAATATGAGTAGAACTCAGACGGAGAAAGTTAGGTTAAACTTGATAAAACCCTTTCCTCAATCTGAAGTCTGTGGTGCTTTTGCTTTCTTCTTGAACGTGAACATGATAATAGTGGTACATCCTGAAGTCCCATCATCGTTACGACTTCCGCATGTTATATACCTCATATTAGATTACAAGTAAGACATACGATACGGCTCATCGGCTCAACGGAGTCCGGCTCTCCACCACCATTCATGCAAACCTCCCTCTGTTTCATCGAGTACAAAACCTACCCCAACCCACGTGTATGCCCCCTTTAACTCTTTCCTCTCAAATTTCTTACATCATACTTGAGTCGTAGCACTATAAACCAAACAATTAGGCGTAGGATTACCAGGGCCTCTTGTAATCCTAGAGTAAGCTTCCGAAAAGGATTCGAGGACTAACCTCATTTGCTTTTCGTTTGATTGTGAATTTAAGGTCATTTAAAGGTTTTGATTGGTTTTGAGTGTACGAATGGAGATTTAATGAAATGAAATATTGATTTTGGTATTTTTGGACGACTTTTTAATATCAAAAGAAAAGTGTGCGATGAAAAGTTAGGTGAATTTCCATGGCCAGACTCTTCCCACGGAAATTCTAAGGGTCAGGTACCTACCTACTAGGTACCCTCGTACGCCCGTACCTAGGTAGGTAGCTGCAGGTATTCGGAGATTGAGATGTGGCTTTGTCGAAACACATCACGTGTTTTTGACTAGTGCAAAGCTAGCTTCCTAGTGCTGTACCCCACATTACCATCCACTTCTCAACTGAACACAGCCTCTTATTTTCTTCAACTCAATTCATTCATGTAATCCACCATATCGTCCATATTCGTCCGACATAGATGGCATGGTACATTGATATGAGGTTACTGAAATATCCAATTAATCTATTTCATTTTGTTTCTTTTCGATGACGGATCTGCATGTTCCCCTTTATCACTTGCATGAAAGCGCTGTTTGGAAAATAGTTCTTGGCTTTTCATTTATTCGATGAACTTCTCCTTATCACCAACCTACGCCTCTCCGAACCTTTCTATTCAATACAAAAATCCCATCATAAACGAAATTGGATGAAATGTAAGCGCGTCTATGTACCAATAGGAAAAATTGAAGCGAGCGATTTGTTTCATTAAGATCGGATATCGGTCAAAGGTAGGCTTGGAACTTCGGATACAGTAGCATTCCATATACATGAAACGGGAAAAAGCTAACGTTTTTCGGATATCCGCAGAAATCCGTAAAGCGTATCGACTACACCGATTGGCCTCCCTCCAACCAGATCGCATAAACGACAAGCATCAATCTATCCGATCTTTGAACAAATCTGCGGGGTTAACCAGAGTTCATTTCCAAAATTGATTAAGGATCTTGTTCGGTGGAGTCAAATTCACAATGTTGCTCCATAATTCAACACTAGTGGACTCAAATAAAGTTAACCGACTCCTTTGGAAACATGAATATCGAGCCTTGTCATCTCCGTTGACATTCTATCCACTTCGTCAATCATTACGATTAGTTCGCTTACGATTTTTTGCTTGTCCAGATCAAAAGTGGTCATTCCTTTCATCCCTTTTGGTAGATTTCTTCTATAGTGTTTCTACCTTGATTGAACGTTCGGCGGTTGGCTAAGTGGCCAAAATGAGCTAGAAACTATTGCTCAATCTAATTCCCTGATCAGTTTCTCAAAAGTTTATTTTGAATAAGGTAGAATAGATCCACTTCCATTCGACTCCTATACTTACTTTTCAAGAATGAAGAAGTGTATATAAGGTAGTGAAGTACCTCGATGTATTATTTTTTTCATCACCACAGTCTTTGTACTTTTCTACATTCTTTTATTCTTGCCGCTCTTTCGCAACTCACATTCCTTATTTTCACTTTACATTTCTTCAAGATGTATTCCGCAGCTGTGCTCGCAACTTTCTCCTTCCTTCTCGGCGCCGGCGCTCAACAAGTTGGAACTTCAACCGCCGAAACTCACCCCGCCTTGACCGTTCAAAAATGTGCCGCTGGTGGAACTTGTACCGATGAAGCCGATAGCATCGTTCTTGATGCTAACTGGAGATGGCTCCACTCCACTTCCGGATCCACCAACTGTTATACCGGTAACACTTGGGATGCCACTCTTTGCCCAGATGCCGCTACCTGTACCGCCAACTGTGCCCTTGACGGTGCCGATTACGAGGGAACATACGGTATCACCACCAGTGGTGACTCCTTGAAGCTTAGCTTCGTCACTGGAAGCAACGTTGGTTCCCGTACCTACCTCATGGACTCTGAGACTACCTACAAAGAGTTTGCTCTTTTGGGTAACGAGTTCACCTTCACCGTCGATGTTTCTAAGCTTCCTTGCGGTCTTAACGGCGCTCTCTACTTCGTTCCTATGGACGCTGACGGAGGAATGTCCAAATACTCCACCAACAAAGCAGGTGCCAAGTACGGTACCGGTTACTGCGATGCTCAATGTCCTCAAGACATGAAGTTCGTCAATGGTACTGCCAATGTTGAGGGATGGGTCCCTGATAGCAACAGTGCTAACTCTGGAACCGGTAACATCGGATCCTGCTGCTCCGAGTTCGATGTCTGGGAAGCCAACTCCATGGCCCAAGCTCTTACCCCTCACGTCTGCACTGTCGATTCCCAAACCGCTTGCACTGGCAATGACTGTGTCTCAAACACTGGTGTCTGTGATGGAGATGGATGTGACTTCAACCCATACAGAATGGGTAACACCACCTTCTATGGAAGTGGAATGACCATTGATACCACCAAGCCTTTCTCCGTTGTTACTCAATTCATCACTGATGATGGAACTGAGACTGGTACCCTCACTGAGATTAAGCGTTTCTACGTTCAAGGTGATGTTGTCTATGAACAACCAAGCTCTGACATCTCTGGTGTTTCCGGTAACTCTATCACCGACGACTTCTGCGCTGCCCAAAAGACTGCTTTCGGTGACACCGACTACTTCACCAAGAATGGTGGTATGGCTGCTATGGGTAAGAAGATGGCTGATGGTATGGTTCTTGTTCTCTCCATCTGGGATGATTACAACGTAAACATGCTCTGGCTCGACTCTGACTACCCAACCGACAAGGATGCTTCTACCCCAGGTGTTTCCCGTGGATCTTGTGCCACTACCTCTGGAGCTCCAGCTACAGTTGAGGCCGCTTCCGGATCTGCTTATGTTACTTTCTCCAGCATCAAGTACGGCCCAATCGGATCTACCTTCAAGGCCCCAGCCGATAGCTCCTCTCCAGTTGCCGCCTCAAGCTCCGCTTCCGTCGCCCCAGCCTCATCTGCTGCACCAGTCGTCGTCGCTTCCTCTGCCGTCGCTGCCGTTGTTTCCACTCCATCAAAGGCAGCTACCTCCGTTGCTGTTGTCGCTTCATCTGCCGCCCCAGTTGTCGCCTCTTCTGCCGCTGTTGCCTCGTCTGCCGCACCAGTTGTTTCTTCTGCCGCTGTCGTTGCCTCTTCATCTGCTGCCGCTGCCCCAGTTGCCGCTTCTTCCAAGTCCAAGTGCAGCAAGGTTAGCAGCACTCTTAAGACTTCCATCGCTGTCCCAGCTACTACCGCTACTTCCGCTGCTGTTGTTGCTACCAGCGCCGCTAGTTCCGCCGCCGCTGTCTCTTCAGCTGCTTCATCCACTGGTTCCGTTCCTTTGTACGGTAACTGCACTGGTGGAAAGACCTGCTCTGAGGGTACCTGTGTCGTTCAAAACGACTACTACTCTCAATGTGTTGCTTCTTCTTAAGAAGCTGCAACTCTTAGAGTATAGATGGTTGTAGGTGTTGTCCAATATTTTGGCAATGGCCCGAGAGATGAGTTTTAAGTTCAAATTTTGTATATGTTAGCATTTGGCGTGGTATATAGTTTATTGGTTGGTTGAAGATTCACTTTCAGAGATTAGGAAAACTAGAAATATAAGATATGTGGTTTTATAAAATTTTGAGACTTTTTGTTTGTATCTAGTTGTTTTATGACATGATGATGCTGTGGGACTTGTTGTTTTTCTCTTTACATATCACTTGAAGGACACGAAACTTTAGCTGATTTGACTTCATGTACCTCTAAGGCCTTTGATGACTATTAGAATACCTCAAAATTCAGGGAAGAGAACATGGTCTAAAAAATCACATTAACTCACAATATTTCTTCTCCCTACACTCAATGAAATATCATCTGATCTTTCCCTCAGCCGCTATTTCTATTTGTTGTATTTTTTATTTCATAAGTCATTTGTCTCTTTCTCAAATGTGATACGATTTTGGGTTTGTTTTATCTTTTTCTTGCTTTCTCTCTTTCTTCTCTGTTTTCGTATCGATAGGAAGGAGAGCGTGAGGGGTTGTCTATGTCCTTCCTTTTTTTCACCGGAGATAGGTGGATAGGTGGATAGGTGAATAGGTAGATGGAGGACCTTGGACCTTGGATCTGGATGTTGATGGGGGTTTGGATTTGGATTTGAATGAGAATTTGAGTTTAGATAAATGTTTGAGATCAGTATGAAAGTTTGTATCTGAATGGAAGCTTGGAGATGGTGATATGTATTTGGAATCGATACATGAGAAGATATATACATGTGAAGAGAGTGAGGGGTGAGGGGAATGGGGAGGGAGTACGTTTATCGATAATCCAAAAGTCTATGGTTTAAAGTTCAATTTGGAGTTTGGAGTTTGGAGTTTGAAGTTTGAAGTTTGAAGTTTGAAGTTTAGAATCTAGAAGATGGAAAGAGTCAAAGGAGAGAGAAAGAGAGAGAGAGAGAGAGAGAAGATTGAAGAAATTGGAAGGATCTCAATGTTTCGAGTGATTTGAATCTCTCCAATCTCTTAGAAGATTCAAAAATATTGAAAGTACTCTGAATTTTTTTTCGTTAAAGAGGATTCGGTGAAGCGTAAGTGCGTCTGATCATGACTTCTTTCCAAATCTTTGATAGATAGTGACCTGAGTTTCGATTGTCCTGCTTAGCGCCAGTAATCCATCGTTCTACAGCTTCTAGGCGTAATGCGGCGCCCGGATGGTCATCTGCCAAGGTGAATGGATTGAAATTGCCTCTGTCTATCAAACCCCATTTAGTCAAGTTTTCACGGCTCCACATGTTCTCGTCTGCTTTAACAGACTTCAATGAACTTCGTGTAACCTGCAAAATCCTCAATAGGCATTGGGGGCCAAGGAAATTATTGCGTCGAGCCTCTCACGATCACATATTACTTCCAACCACCAACATCTACGGCTCTCATGTCCGCCGCTACACTGGAAGCCTTGTTAGACAACCCAGATTATCAATTGCGCAATTATGAGGATGATTGCAAGTACTTTAGCTTCAACTCAGATCCAGATCAACCTCGTTTCTCGGCCAACAAGCCATCGTTTTCCCTCCAGAGTTGGCACTTAACTGGTACGAGACAGCTACTTAGAAAATTGGAGAATCCAAAGGTCAAAAAGTGCCCCCTCGCAGATGCTACAAGCCTTATCAAGATAATCACAATCTGCGCGCAGCATGATAGATGATAATCCGTACCAAGTACCCGAAGGACCATTTAAGTCAGCACCTCCGAAGCCTAAGATGCTTGTCGTTTTACCTGAACTGATCGAGCAGCGGCAACAGAGATCAAAAGCCTCAGTTCTGACTTCCAAGTATATATCTATCATGGTGACGAGCGCGAGTCGAGATCTGGAACGCACAAAAAGATTGCCGGAAAGCTCACACATCGTCATCCGATATCCAATGGCCAACAGAAAAACTCGATTCATGGTAATTACCACCTTGATCACATTAAGAAATCGTCATGGACCTTCGGCATTGAAAACTCGGCAGTTCTTCTCGAGTATATCATCGCCGACGAAGCCATATACTCAAAATACGGACACAAGGCCCGATACTTCGGTGACCTGGCTTGAATCAAGCTTCCAGATACTAGCATCTACCACTTTGTTGTCTAATAGTATGTAATTAGCCATCTTCTCTTCGGCATCCAAATCTGCATTGCGCTTGCCTTGAGTCACAAGCTTCTCCAACTTCATCTTGTCGTTGAAACATTTTAACGTTAGCTGTATGGTTAAATTCTTTCGGAAAGGTGTCGTTAAACCGAGAGGATTCTTTGGATTTTGGGTGGCTTTCCACCATGCCAAATTAAGACCGGTCGAAGAAGTAGATTTGCGGGGTAGATTAAAAAAGGTGGAGGTGGTTGATTGAAGGCTGAAGTGATGTTCGCAATGTCTCCCGCCAGATTAGAAATTGAAGATAGTGAAGTGATCTAGGGTGTCTAATAGTCCAGACTGTAGTTCAACAATGAAGATTATCAAATCCCCAACTTAATCAGAATATTCAAATTATCTGAGATGTTGAATTTGATTGGGTCATTGAAATATTTTCAAATTTCCAATTGCTGTTAGACATTTAAACCCTATATCGTTGAACTGTAGCCCGGACAATTGGATAGTATGACACTGAAGTCTCTGAAGAGGAACGTGGAGAGCTGTCAATTGAGTTCTTCTGAGATTTATGTCCGGAAGCAGCGCGTTGATTGAAGATATTTCGTGTGTTATTTCCAAAGATATCAATTGAAAATTGGTCGGATAGTAGAGAGCTTTCGGTGGGTTCAAATGGGTCGCCTGTTTTGCGTTTTTTGGGCAGCGGCAATGTCCCGATTTGCCTTTTGTGTCGCTGAAACTATGCACATCCAAAGTCTGACCTCCTTCTCTGGGAGATTTATCTGTCTGTCTTTAAATATAACGTTTCTCGCATGAGTGTTATCGAAATAAAGTCTGAGTAGACAAAACGCATAATAATCTACCTCATCTCATCCCGATTTATCGACGCGCAGACTTGAATATATCTTTGATCACCATAGTTTTCGCCATTGGCAACGGCTCACTAAACACTATCAAGGAATGGTCGTTTCCATTTTGGGGCGACTGATCTTCTTGAATAAATGATGGTGTCATGATGCGAGAGTGTGGACGGAAAACTAGGGTTCAAGTAACAGTAGATAGAATTCTATGAAGATCTAAAGGGGAATTCCGGGGAATACGCTAGAGTGGTGCCCGGTATCACGTGATGCTCCCGCATCGCTCCTTCCTTCATACAGCTCCTTGAAAATTGACAAGAATTGAGGTCTTTCGAGGAACTTTAATGCCACATATTTGTATGAAAGATTGGGCTATGAGTTCATACGAGATAGACTTTGAGAAGCGTTATTTTTTATAGTTGTATCTGCTAGGTTGTTGACTTTTGTAGGATTATCTAGATTATCTAAATCTTGAATGATTAGAATGATTAGAATGATTAGAATGATTAGAATGATTAGAATGATTAGAATGATTAGAATGATTAGAATGATTAGAATGATTAGAATGATTAGAATGATTAGAATGATTAGAATGATTAGAATGATTAGAATGATTAGAATGATTAGAATGATTAGAATGATTAGAATGATTAGAATGATATATCACATAGTTAAGACATTAAAAGGCTGTAGGATCGAATACTTTCATCGATTATTGTAAATTACAAAGAGAGAAGAAAAGAAAATTAAGCTATGAAGGGCTACTGTCCTCCTACGCTCCATCCATGGTCGCGTGACCTAAACACGTGCACTCTTGACAGTTCCATTCATGCGAAACCCTGAACGTGACGATGTAGAAGAAGGTTAGAGTAGCGTTCATTCATACTCTTGCTGATATTGACGCAAGCCTTGGCCTTTCGAGCGATGTCGAAAGCTTTGCAAATTACTGGAGTGTTTCTACCACCAGAGTTCAACTGTTGTGTATTTGCAGTGACAATCCCAAAAGAACGTGCTCGAGTGAGTGCAACGCAGTTTCTACCAGGGTTATTGGTGAATCCTGTATTTTGGGTACGGACAGAATCACATAATGTAATGTCTGCAGAACCATCTTTGATGCTATCCATAGTATGAACAGCGACTTCAGAGAAAGCAAACATAGGATAATCACTGGCTAGCTTCGAAATTGCGTTTGTGTATACACGTAGTTGGGCGGTGTAGTGAGTAATGACAATCATTGAGCTTGGGGAAACGTCGCATTTGGTGACAAGGTACTCGATCAAGTTGATGTTGACGGCAGCACTGGTAAGGTTCATCCAGGACTTGGTGGAATGGTCCATGATCTCGCCTTCGTGTACTGCATTAATATACAAATACGGCTTTGAGATGGAATTTTCTGGGAACATAACTCTGAGAGCATTGGCAACCGCCTCACGGAGTGGAAACTGCTTCGGTGTACAAGTGCATCTTGAATTCGTTTGCGGTAGAATAATTCGGACGCGACCTCCATGATTTCAGGACAACCTCGTCGCTGAATGTATAGTTGCGCCTTAGGCCAATGATTGTCCATAAAGTACGACATAACATTTTGAGATTTCTCACGAGTTAATCCTTGAGAACCTTGTAGAAAAGGAGTTTGGGGAGTAAGCTGCTTGGTGTCACCGAACAAGATAAGTCGGTCCGTCTCAAAGGAAGAAAAAAGCATAACTAGATCGACGAGTGTAGCAAGACTAGCGTCACGAATTAAGAGTGCGTGGAGTTGTCGAAATTGGCACATGAACTCTTTTGTACCAGTCTGAGGGGGAATTGTCGAGACAACATTTGCAGTTTGATCAATTGAAACATTTGGAGCTCTATCAGCCAAACCGATTAGAAAATTGGTCTCAGTTGCTGTGGGATAGGCACGAATGACGACCTGTTGACGGAGGAAAGGTGAAAGATCTGGCTGTCTGTGACGAGTATTTTCGATTGCACGCTCAATAGCCTTGGCGAGAACGTCGGTCGGTTGGCTTGCAGCGCAAATACAACAGATAGGAGCTTGAGGTCGTTGAGCCAGCATGCATACAACGACATGGGCCAAGAATGCAGTCTTTCCAACTCCTGGGAAGCCTTCAATGATACCGACAGCTTTGCCTTCAGAATTGACAGGTGTCTTCTTGAGATATTCGATGGCATCAAGTTGATCTTTGTCATTAAATCTCTCCATGATGAGACCAGCATCATCGCCCAAGATGTTAACATGAGATCTGACCCGATTGTCATGCATTAAAAGCACCTTTGACCATGCTTCCATGCTTTCTGATTTGAAATTGTTCGGGGATTGAAAGTCAAGCTTACGAAAGTTGGGATAAGTGGAGTGGAGGAAGTGATTAAGAGCCTTGAACACTCTAGCTTCTGCCGTCTCGGACTCGTAATAATTGAGTATGACAGACACCGGACGATCACTTTCAAGAAGAGCTCTGCACGAATCAGGCGAATCCATGGTGCCGTTAACAGCAGGTAAAGCAGTTCTGACGAGAGGTCTAAAGGCTCGCTTTTCCTCTTCTGTAGCACCTTCTGGGAGAGGAACCAAGGGACGCTTCAATACACCAACAGATTCTCCTTGGTATGACCAGTCAAACGGCTCACACACAACTAGATTCCAGTCCTCATTCCGAATGGGGTTATCGGGACGGAAATTAACCTTCAGAATATCACCAGGTTGAAGGCGCAATTCTTGTGGTGCCATGAAGAAAGCATAATACGTCGAATCATCAACGATCTTCATCAATCTAATAGTTTGCTTTAACGCACAAAACTCAATAATCTTTGCACGACGATCTTCAAGTTGTTGCTTGGTAGCGACAGCAAGGCGGGTGATCATCTCCTCCTTTGTACAGTATTGCAATTGCTTCTGCGTGACGATGTTAGGTCTTGATCTCGAATCCTTGATAGAGGCACCTGAATCAATGGTGGGGGTGTGAAAATTGATGGCGAAATTTTGAGACAGGTATCCGCGGAAAGGATTGCCATCACGTAGCTCTTTTTGCATACCACGAAGACACTTGATGAAGGAATGCTTCAAATCACAGTCCTTTGAATCCATGACGTAGATTGGAAGAGAGAACGTGTGCTGTGACATGATAAACTGGAGGAATTTGATTACACGACGAGGAGCCCATGGAGCAGCTGGCCAGGTGGTTGAGTGCATCAAGTTCTCACTAACGGCAGACGCAATATCCTTAATATTCAGTTCCAAACGAAAGACACCAAATTTGGCCTTGGGCTCGCCATTCTTTCCAACACGGTCATAACCAGGTGTCTTGAGTACGATCTTGGGAATTTGCTCAATATTGACATCATTGAAAACCTCTTTATCTTCATCGTTGATACTGAAGAGCTTGACAGCGTCGCTGGTAAAGATGTTGTTTGGTTTTTCATCTTCTTCAGGCGAGGAAAGATATGAATCGAGACGAATCATGTTGTTTGCGTAAAACTTGAGCTTGACGATGAAACCATCAGCAGTATATGATCTAGGATCAATCGTGTCTGGGATCTGATCAAAAGGAATGGCAACACGCAAAAAGATGAAGTTTCTCTCGGTCTCGTGTGTAGAGAATCCGATTGAGGCATTGACTCGGTCAAGTGGTTGGTAGCTGCGCTTCGTACTGGCTTCCAATTGTGCAGGTGAGAGAGTGTGAGGGACTGGCGCGTTTGTGACATTTCCTTGCTGGTCGTACTCTGGAGGAGGAGGATTGACGTTAAACAAAGCACCAAAAGGCTTGTCGGCATGTTCAACATCTGCAAGCTCGTCTTGAATTGCCTTCGACAAGCTAGTTTGTGGTAGACCGAATTGCCCATCTTCAGAAACGCGAAGGTTGAGCGTATCGACAACACATTTAAAGGCTGCGGTCTCTGCCTTTTCGTAATCCATCTTTGAGGAAAAAATTACTTAACGTAGTAGAATTCGATAGATAAGGTAAAAGGAATCCAAATCAATGTGAGGAATTAATGAATTGGAAGTAATTGTGGTTGGAAGGATTGTGGATGTGGTTTGTAATTGAAAGAAATCAAAACAAGATCGCGACTTTTTGAATTGTTTGTGTGGGAAAAAAATTCAGCTTCATTCACCTAGCGACGACGAGCTAGCAACGACTACCTGAAGTAAGGCCGAGAATCAGGCAGAATATTGTACGATTTTTCTCAACAAAACAGGAAAGTATAATTATGTGAAGAATTTCACTTTTGAAAGTGAGAGAAAAAAATGAGAAAATTGTAAAATCTACTGGCTCAACCCAGGAACGTTTTTCATAGGTCGTGCAGAACACTTCCAGTAGCAAATTGGTTGCCAGTAATGATTGTCGAGTGTGTCTTTTAATGTCATACAGCCAGGACGAAAAGGCTCGACTTTGTTATCCAATAGTTGAGAATAAATTGACGGACATTGAAGTCGATTTGACGAAGTTCCCCAGTAATTGCTGATCGTGGTGAAGTTGAACTGCATGTGTATCGTGATTGATGTAATGCAGCTGGTGAATGATGACCCGAATGTATATTATTGTAGCTTCCAGCAGTCTGCACTGTGAATCTTGAAGCAGTAATTAACCATACTCCAGCTGCCAGAATGCTCATGACCTGAATACTATGGGAGGGTCTTGAAGCTAATCAAACCTATCAAGCTTCACTCGACCAAACTCCAGCTGCCAGAATTATCATAACCTGAATACTATGGGAGTTTTGTCTGAAGTACCAAGACCATGAATCCAGAGTCGAGAGTCGAGAGAGAGAAATAAGCAACTTGTTGTTGGTAAGGATTGGGGTGTGCTCATGTGCTCTCTGCATAGCACAAACTTTCGTAAGTCTTGGTTGAGTGTGGCTGAGGTACAGTAAACCTTCATTCACCAACTTGGTGTAAAAGTGTAATCAAGAGCAGGAAGCTTGCCTGTTTCTGCCTAATAAGAGTTGTTGCAGAGAGCCTTCATTCTCCAATTTGATGTAAAAAGGTAATTGTGGGTAGGAAAGCTTGCTTGTTTTTGCCTAACAAGAGCCGGTGCAAGAAACCTTCGTTTTCAAACTTGGTGTAAACATGTAGTTGAAATGCGGCAGACTTCTTCGAAATGGTTCGACGGTCGAATTTTGGAGAGAGAGCTAACCGTTGGTGATGAGTGGGCTTAAGAATCGAGGCATGTAGAGCGGACCTCCGTTTTTCGGTTTGGTGTATAGACAACTGAAATTCAACAGACTTGTTTGATTCGATTTGAAGGTCGAAGAAAGAAAGACAAGCTGCTAGTCTGAAATTAGCTCGAGGATGGAAGCATGGATAATAGAGCTTGGATTCCCAACTTGGCGTATAGACAATTGAAATGCGACGTACCTGTTGAGTTTGATTTGAAGGTTAAAGAACAGAAGGCAAACTGCCGGCCCAGTAAACCTTCATTTTCCAAATTGGCACATAGATACAACTGAAATTCGGCGGCTTTTTACTCGATTTGAAGACCAGAGCTTGCGGGGCAAACTAATCATTAAAATTTCTGGACTCGAATGCGTCCTACCTGTGAGTTGGATGTTTGAAGCCACAAAAGGTGGAAATTGGAATAAGAAATCATACCCATGAAACTCGGTGGTAGAAGGAACATTTTTGTCGTTGATATGAAGGAAGCTCAGTCGAAAGCAAAAAATCCAATCAAACATCAAAAGCTGGAATAAAAATGTAGTATAGAATGCTGAAGATAGTTTTGGGACGTTGTGATGTAGTTCAAGATTGGAGAGGAAATAATGCACTTTGCTAGCTAGGTATCTGACCGAATTTGTGCCGAGCGTAGTAAGATGGCCTGGTCCGCGTATATAACATGAGCTTGTTTGAAATGTTCAAAAAAGTGATGTTATCGCATTTTACCTATTGCTAGAGAATCTGAGAGATTGGACAATGAAAAGATAGATTCCGATATCGAACAGTTGGCAAATAAAATTGTTAAAACTCTCGAAAGCCGAGAAGTGTCTCGTCAGTCCATACACGTGCACACACTGGTGATCCATCTTAATATACTATTCGAAAACAATCACCATCAGATTGGAACGGGCAAGAACTTAATGTAGTATGTACTTGATAGATATATAATCCTGACTATTCATTTCGAAACACAGACATGTACAGACATTTCAAACTATATACAACAGAATAGAACTTTCCTCCTCTCCTCATCCTCCTTAAATCTCTCTTTCATTTATCTACTTTAAGCTGGAACACATTGACTATAATAATCATTTTGAACCTTGCAAGTACTTCCACTAACGCAAGTACCAGTTCCAGTCCAATTCTTTCCTCCACATTGCATATACGAAGCAATCGCTCCCGAACTACTTCCTCCAGTGCTAGTAGCACCCGCACTCGAAGCGATAGTAGTAGAAGTGGTTTGAGTGATAGTCATGGTCACAGTGGTATGTGGCTTCGAGCTAACACCCGCAGAAGTTAGAACCGCTAAAGAACTAGCAGCTATGTTTACATTTCCTGCCAAACTTGATGAGGCTTTCTTTGTGCAAGACTTCTTGGAAGTGACAAAAGTAGATGGAGCTGCATTGGAAATAACAGAAGAAGTAATAATGGCGGATTCAGAAGTATAGGTAGAGGAAACGGAAGAAGTAGTTAAAAAGGTAGATCCTCCGGCGGTGATATAGACGGTAGTAGGAACGATATCGACAGAGGTGACAGTTTGAGTAGAGGTGAATTCTACGATAGATCCACTAGCTTGAGATCCAGTAGCGGAGGCCTTCTTTGTGGATGACTGTTGGGCGGCGACACTGGAGATGAGAGTAGAAGAGGCGACCTTTTTTGTGCAGGATTTTTTGGTCGAGCTTGATGGGGAGGAGATAACTGAGGATTGTTGAATCGCGACGGCAATAGACGTTGGTGAAGATTGAATGACCGATGAAGATACTTGAGCGGCACTAGAAGAAGGAATGGAAGGAGAAACCAAGCTAGAAGCAACAGAAGAAACTACTGAGCTAGAAGAAGGAATCGAAGAAGAAACGACTGAACTAGAAAGAACAGAAGAAGAATCTACTGACGTGCTTGCAGAAGAAGAACTGGAACTCGCGGCTCCACCTGGTCCAGCAATATTAGTGGTAAGCGATCCACTCTCGATGTATACACCAGAGAAATAGAAATCTTCGGTTCCATCAGTTTGACCAGTGACAGGGAGTTCGAGAACTCCCAAATGCCAATCTGCACCGTTGGAAGAGGCGGAGACGGAAACGGCTGGAACGGTAAGAGTGAGAGGATCAGATCCGGTTGAGTGGTAAAATTCAACTGAGCCTGCGGAGAAATCCTTGAAGAGTATATTAGTAAATGATGAGAAAGATAGAAAGAATTCAACATACAATTCCGTAAGCAATGTTGTGCCAAACACCAGCCGTCCAGTTAGTACTCCATTGACTAGTCGCACTGACTTCCCATCTCAAAAGAGGATCACTGGATCCAGTCTCTCCACTAATCCAACCACTCTTCATCTCAGTGAAATGACTCTCGAAGAAACAGATTTGATGTTCTCTGTAGATACTTGGTGCATTGGTATCTTCACGCTTCATACTGAAATGATAGTAAACCTTTCCACTTCCAATAGCCGCGGAGGTTTGAGGAATCAATTCTGTACGACGCATGTTTTGACCTTCCCAGTATGAAGTACTATCAAGGGTGATTTTGGCACCGAGGGCTGATCCAGAATCGGCAGGATTCTTGTAAGTGCTGTCGAGAGCAACATAATTGCTAATGTTACCTGTACCATGCTATTTGTTTGTTAGATATCATCCGCACTATTCAACTTCCTCACAAAATATACTTACGATATAATTTTGGTAATCACCAACAGCGTTACTCCATGACCAAGCCTGCAAATCCGCCATAGAAGAAGAATCGAATCGTCCATCCCACAAGATCGCACCGTTTGCGCTAGTCGCAGACCCGATAAGGGCTGCCAGAGCCTTCTTTGAAAAATGCATCGTGTTTGATTGTTATATAGATACTTCAAGTACCTTGTTGAATATCCACTGGATATGTAAAAATTGTGTTTGAGAAAGAGAATGTAGAAAATAGAAAGCAATGTTTAAAAGAGTGAAACGAACTGAATAGCACACAGGACAAAGTTCAAAGAAAAGATCAAAATTGTAGAGAGGAAATCTGAAGATATTATAGAAAATCATACATTTTCCTCGCAAGGCGATTCGAGTGAAGCCTACCTAGGTAGTTACTACGAAACGAATTAAGCACCCGTTATTCGGAAACTTTTGTTTGTACCTCCAATTTCCCAAATTAAAGTGCCATCATCAAATATGGAATCGTTAACCGCCCAAACCTAGGCAATTCCTGACTAGGAAGTTCCAAATAGGTGTAAACGCCGAATGAAGTCAGATGAACAATGCATACTGTATAATTGGGGTATAGAACGGAAGATCCCTGATGAAATTAGATGAAGTTTTGGTGATGTTTATGGCAGGACGGTCCGGATATGATCATTGTCTCATATAAAATAATTGGTTTGAGTTCATCTGATTCGGGTCATGAAGTGGGTTTATTGCTTATGTTTATGATGCGTTTATCCGTGCTTGGCATTGGATAGATGATTTAAAAAACGAAACGGGGAATCTAGAATACTAACTCGGAATTCAGATGCTGGATGCTAGATGTTGGATGTTGGATATGTTTGTTTCTTTTGAAACGGAGTAAGTGTGTGTTGTATATATTTGAATGAAGGGGTAGATGAAGGATTAGCGATAGGTACCTGTCATCGCTTCGCTTTGGAGGCGGCTTTATTGAATCCCCCTTCTCATGTCTGACCCTCAACAATTTCCAGACATCATTCCATGAAAACGTATAGTCGATACCCCCATCCAACCATTAATCACCAACTTCAATTCCTATTCTTCTCCTCCCCAACACATAGAACACACGCCGGCGGACCGCCTGTCCATGTCCCTTTCACCAATTCATATATCTCAACATATATCCCCCTCATATATTTCCATTGATAATTCAAATCATCCAAATGAATCCATTCCTTTCCTTTCCATTCATCCAAATCATCATACCCAGGATTTCTACAGAAAAAAGTTAATCTAATGTGGAGAAATAATATCCGTCAGATATATTAACAACTAGGATTGTTCGACGCATTTTGAAACATGAACATGGGTTTTCAGATCTTAGACGAGATTCTTTCGATTGGTTGGCCCCGCTCCGAATCTTTTAGCCGCCGAACGTACTAACAGATGCACGTGATATACACGTGTAATTTATCAAGCTACTGTGGCTTGCTTGCTCTGGGTTCCAGGTTGGGGCTGGTGAGAATGGAAGGGATGAAAGAGTGAGGGGTTCGAGAGGGGAAGAAGTGATAGACATCAAGGATAAAAGGATGAAATCAGGGTAGAACGATGTTTGTGTAGTACTGTTCTCCTCACTAGCAGCAAAAACCTCAAACATCTGAGAATGATTGTCGGAGAATAATAGCGGGTTCAACGGCTTCCTTACTAGGCCAAGCTTGTCTTGTACCCAGCAAAGACACCTTCCTTCCTTCACAACGTTGAACCATTTATCCATATATTTATCACATATCATCGAGACAACGACCAAGTACTCCGACAAACCGACGTATACTTCAAGTCGCAATTACTACCGAACCCCGCATCTGCATGGATATGCACGCAGTATGCATACTCAAGCCCCTCTCAGCATCTCGAACCATCACAAGGCTGCCAATATATACAAATCATCAATATCAAATATCAGATCAGCGAGCAAACTTTACACGCCGATCTTCGGAGTATCGGGTTTTATGTTGGTAACTAGTGGGGTGTTATGTAGCAAGAAAGTCGCTCAAGGCTTTCCACCATGTGAAGTATACTGTAAGTTACATTCTGTACTGCTACGCAAATTATACGAGGCAGATTCGCAGAGATCTTCGAAGCGAAGATGTGAAGGGGCGAAGTATTGACTTACATATCCTGAGCACACAAGGAGGAGTCTAGAATAGGATTGGATATCACATTGCGTAGGTATGCATACAACTAAGATACACTACAGTCCTCATCTCCCATCCCCAATCCGCATCCGGTAAACTTCCTTAAATCAGAATCCAGTCGCCAGTTACAAAGCGTTATCAGATGCATGTGTGTTCATGTACATACCCTCCTACATTCTCGTCCCCTTTTCGCCCCCACAACATCAGCCGATCGAATGAATTATCAAGCTAGGTAGCTATCTATCTTCTGATCTTCTCATCTAATCCTGTCTCCTCATTTTAGTCTCTTGATCAAGTTTGTTTAGATCTACATTGATGCATTACTCTAATGCTGTGAAGAGCAACTATTGAAGAATCGATGGACATTCGCAAAGTATAGCCCAACATATACACATTGCGGATGAATCCTCCCGAATTCCCAAAGATTGATCTAGACCTCAGATTTGCGAAATTTATCATCACTTCCTAGATCTAAAGACCTTGGGAAGTTATGATACCGTCGAGGTACACCAGTAGAAATAGTAATCCCTTGGTGTCTTGATATCAGATCCTCCCAGTTCACCATTCTTTCCTTCACCCCGGAGATATTTCCCCGCACACATGTTTAGCACCGCGCAGGAAGCTTTCCGCGGTTTTAGACCTGCATAAACCTATTCGATTTACGATATCTAGTCTAGAAAACATCCTTTCGCCTTCCGCCGATTTTTGGTTTTGATTTTGAGTTTACAAGCCGAATGTTGTGGCGGAAAATGTCCACTTCGATCGTCCCGTTTCATGTGCCGTGAATTTTCTTCCGCATTAGTCGAGCTACTGCTAATGAAGCCGATGATGTGAGCCCAGAAACTCTATTCCCTCTCAATTCCCCTCTACGAAATCGGTTTCATGGATTGTCTACAAACTTGATATCCAGTATGTTATTACCCTGTTATTCATTCCAAAACATCCAACATTTTACTAGTCCGCGCCTCATAATCACAAACTCTCATGTAAATCACTCACTAAATCAAACAGCCCAAAAATTAAATCAAGAATTCTTAAATCCACTATCTACCTATCTATTAATTACGCATCATATACCTGATGGTGGTTTTATTCGTATGTACTATGCTATGCTATCACTCCTCTGTTCATCACAAGTGCTGTTATGCCGCTATTCCCACCACTCAAAAAAGAACCATGAACCAAATCCCACCCGCTGAAATAACATGCATGAAAAGCAAATTAAGAGTTAAAGAGAACTAATTGATATGCCCCATTTCTTGATCATCAAGTAATCCATACTCCACCATGCATTTTTGACGCCCATGCCCATAATCCATCCACTCATTCCATGTATGCGCTCAATCTAACCCTCCCATAAACCATGCAGAAAGAAAGAAAAAGCTTTGTCTGAACTCTACACTCCAGAGCCGAAAAATAAAACAAAGGAAAATAGGAGAGGAACACCAGAAATCTATCATCAAAGCACTTGAGACGTTTTATGTTGACTCTTGACGAAGTGCATCCAGATGAAATAAAGCAAGTGTTCATGTTCCTCGGAAAATCAGACGTAATCTGAACCAATCCCCTCCGAATTTGCAAGTTTGTAAAATTTCTTTGAGTGACAACCAATGTGGTACCAATGTGATTTGAGAAGTTGGCTGATATTCATCGTCTGATTGGAGTTTCGAGGAGAGTAGTGAAGAAAAGACCGTAAGTATCAGATTGTAGTTTTCGTTGTCATTGCAAAGGAAATGATGCAAAATCAAGCAGAAGCAAGGCGAAGCAAACTTTTGAATGAATGCGATGATCCGATGTAGAAAGAATCATTATTAAAGAAGACCGAGAAGATAAAGCAAGTAGCAAACTTAAATGTGTAGATGGGTATCATAAAGCAATTTGTATGCGCCCGTCCGAAAACAATCGTCCCAAAACCGAAAGGAATCAAAATCAAAAATCAAGGTGAAATAGATTATAAGACTTAATCGCCTTATTCGTATTGACGACGTCTGGGGGTATTGTCCTCATACATCTGATTGCTTCGCATTTGAGGATTCTGTTGGGCGCGTCTGCCAGTTGATTGGGAGCGTTGCTGAGCAGAGAAGTTACTGCCTTGACCAGTTGGGCCTGCGATAGGGCTATTGGTAACACTGCTGCCCGCTGGAGATTCTTGACGGTATTGTTGATGTCGACCAAATTGTTGTTGACCAAATTGACGACGGCTTTGTTGTTGCTGTTGTTGCATGTTATAAGTGCTTTGACGGATAGCATGTTGACGGGGGTCATTCATTTGGGCAAAACCTGATTGTTGGTATTGAGGAGTAGAGAACTCAAAATTGCTGTTAAAGTTTTGGGAAGACATAAGGTTTGGAACCATCATGTTTGGTTGCATTGCATTTCGGCCAACCATCATATCAGATTGGGAACGTTGGTGTGAAGGACGAACACGACCTTGCATATCTTGCATACCCATGTTCATGCCCATACTTCCACCATTCATACTGAAGCCATTCTCCATATGATGGATTTGAGTTTCGACTTGGTTTTGATGAATTCCCAATGGACGAGCAACAGGTGCAGCCAATGGTGATTGATAGACAGAGGAAGCACGAGCATGTGTACGACCTCTTGGAAACTCAAAATCATTGTCAACAGCAGGAGATTGATGATTCTCATCAATGCGATCAAAGCCTGTGTTAGTGAAGGCGGGCTGGAATGAGCGGCGACGTTCAAAAGTCGATGGAACGGGTGTGAATTGCAAATTTTGAGCGTTAGCATCGTTTGAATTAGGACGACGACGCTTCAAGGTAGTGCTGTATGTTGGGACTCCTCCATTGTTTGGGCTTTGAAATTGGACTGGTTGACTCATTCTGCGATCTTGTCCCGAAGGAGTACCGTAATTTTGAGCCTTCATAGCACTTACACCAAGAGATTGGGAACGCTTATGACCTGCGGAAGAGACCTTGCGCTTAGCATATCCCTTTGGCGACTTGGGCTCGTCTTGGTCAACGGTAATGTTTGGCAAAATTTCGATGTCTGGGAAACATGGCAGAAGATCATCGAGAACCTCTTGGTGGAGGCGGTTGAAGATTTCGAGAATTTCTTCGGTCGTATAACCGGACCCAATGACAGAGAGGAGCCAATCCGGGACAGCAGTTGGTGGACGCGGACCTTGATCATCATCACCCTCATCCTCGTCATCGAATCGTCTTTTTCGACCAGAACCCTTGAGTTCATCCAAACGCTTCTGCTCACGCTTTCTGATAGCAATACCCCAATCTTTGATAGTACCAGGCTCTCCACGACGCTTATTTTGTGCAGACCAATCGTAAACGCGACGGATCTGTTGTTGGACCAAGTCGCATTGCAATTTGGCATACTCTTTAGGATTACGATAACGAGAGCGTTGGTAATGCTTGCGACAATAATGAACCCAAACAGATTGTGGAATCAATCTAGTGCACATCTTATTGCGGCCGAAGATATGCGAGATAGCTTTGCGAGGTTGCGATCCAGTGTCACAGTTTGTGATGTACATACACTCCGGAGGAGTGTCTGCATCAGTTCCATCTGCTGGTGGTGGTGTGACTGGATCACCTTCTGCATCTTCATCATCATCTAATGGTGATGGTAAGTTTGCAAGACGGGTTGAATTAGGTGGAGTGAGCTCGGGTATTGGACCAACACCAGATGCTGGAACACGACTTGGTCGGCGCAAAATTGGAGCAGAGATATTTCTTTTATGCAATGTAGGATTCATAGCACCATTGTTCAGCTCGATCGGAGCGCTGCGATATAAATTGCTACTACTCAAATCATATTAGTCAAGTACACAAGTTGATGGTAAAAGTAACATCAGATTGAAATGATGATCAGACCAAAAATTATTGCTTGAAGGATAAACTTACTGATCTGACTCAAAACCATTATCACCTGGATCTGTGTTTAAACGTGGCAAATCCGGGCGTCTGATCAACATAGCATCACTTGGTGAACCAGGTCGACTCTCAGAATCTCTAATAGGATCAATCTGGTCTGAAGCTCCTAGAATAGCATCATTGTTCTTAGGAGATGATCGAGATGATTCTTGTTCTGCTAAGGCAGCTAGAGCATCTAGGTTCTCTGTTGGACTAGATACCATGATGCTAATTTTCCTTGTGTTATGGGGAGAAGTTGGTGCTGAATGCGATTCGACTTTATTTTGGGAGGTAATAGAGTAAGAAGAATTTAAATCTATAGAGTTTTCCACTGCAGAATTGCAGTACTTGTGTGAAAAACTAATAGGATGACTGTTGTTCGTACTGAAAGAAGATAATCGAGAATGGTTCGAAGAAGAGGTGGCTGTTGAGTTGGTTGTTGATGTGAAAGAAGATAAACTGCTCCGGCTATCAGAGAATTTATGATTCGATCTTTCCGAACCCGTCCCGTGTGAATCATAAGAGTGAATTCTCGGATTGCCGTTGTTCACCGTACTCAACTCATTTCCCGTACCGAGCTCTCCGATATTAATCGTGTGATTTGATGTATTGATGGGTAGTGAATAGCCATTTGCGTCCCATGGTGTTCGATTTCTTGATGGTAATACGAATCGCTCTCCTTGACGCTTTTGCTGCTCAGCAGCAGCGCTATTTGAATTCAATAACGATGTTACGTCCATCTTGAAGTGAATAGAGTTATATGAACTTTCAATTGATAGATCCTCCACGCTGCAGGGTATTGTTTCTTTGCCTTTCCAATAGGCCTTCTGGCAGTGAATAATCCTTTCTCCAATGCCTTGCAAAGTTGCGAAAAGGTTTATAATCAATATTGGTCTTTGTCGATTTGATATAAAGGTTGATTGCTGATCTTTCAATTCAAAAGAAGGTCGAGGAGGATATGTGGCAATAAAGTATATTGAATGATGCAGGTTGTTTCAGAGTTCCAACTGAACTAATGGACTTGATCAACAGGGAGTATCCCTTGTTTAGATTGACTTCGATAGAGTGATACTGTGTAAAAACAGTGGTGCTGATCCAAATTGCTCTTGCGAATTGACAAGGCTAAACTAATTCTCTGATCGACGTCCGACAATGCATTGACCTCATCGGACACGTTCGAAACACCTATTATGAAGCTTTGGTGTATCGTTGATATCGTCCAAACATCTAACCTGATGGAACTGATTTGCGGGATCTCCTAAAGTCCGGAGGAAACAATGAGATAATTCTATGCCTTCAAGTCTTGTCGAAACGTTGAGGCTTTCCAGCTTGGACGATAGCTAGCTGCTCGTTTGGAGGTTCAATATATCAGGCAAGGCGAGAAATTGACAACTTTTGAATCTCCCAAGTGTCTGACCCTGTCCTTTAATCTATAAGTTGATTTGTTGTTTCTAGGAGACTTTATCGAGGCTATCAAGGTTCGGAATATACTGACGTCGAGATAAATTGACAAACAAAATTTGATTCCGAAGTCGAGCGAATGAGTGGACAGGAAAGATAGGACGAAGCCAAGAAAGATGATGGACACTACTAAGAATGAAGTAGGGCTACTCCGGGTATGCGCGACCGGATAATGATGAAGAAACAACAGAAGAAGAGGCAACTGGCGGCGACACACATAACCCTAAGTGTTACTGTAAAGACATTGGATGCTGGAGATGAAGCAAGGTCAGTGAGGAGTGAAGATCCAATCCGAGGGCTAGAAGTGGTGAACTTGCATGAGTGGCATTGAGTGCATTGAGTTCACTAGCAAAACGGGACTTTGTCCAGTGTTTGATGTTAAGATTCCCCACACTCTATACTCTTGTTATACACTTGATCCATGCTGACTGGGTAGGCTAGGTAAACTGGGTCCCATCTTCGGAGCCTTGTCGATAGTAGTCCAGGGGTCTCTTGGTCGAGTTTTTCCTGTTTATGGGTGAACCCATATAATTCTTGGCCCTTGTGCTCGGTAGGGAAATTTTAGATCCATGCATAGCGGCCGTGTGGCAGTGTGGTCCGCCATGTTTCGAGATTTCCTTTAGATGGGGATCATCATCTGAACACTTGGATCTTCTTCACCCGGCTTATGGTGAATCACAATTGACACAACACACGATTGACCCCAATTCTCCACACAAGCTACTTTGAGAAGCTGATGCGAAAAATCAAAGTGTGGAACATATGGAGTAGAGGCAATAACGGAGTTGACTTGGCCAATGTTTCCATAAATCAGTCAAAAGATACATTTGTTGGATTTGCATGATTCAAGATTGAAGAGCCACCAAACAAACTTCACTAACTTCCAGAATGACATGTTTGATATGAAGTCTAATGGTCGATTTCGGAAATTCTTATAATCGTTTCAATTTGACTGGGTGTCTGACCAGTGAGCTCACGGACAGATGCAGTTCGGTAGTCCGAGTGCATCGTCTCTTACTACTATAGTTTAATGAAGATAAACATTGAATGGCAGTGAGTGATGGCTATGAAGGACCTTTCAAATTTGATGCAAGCTTGTGCAGATGAAAAGGATACTCAAAATAGATGGGATACTTCGATACTTCGATACGGGAATTTTTGTTGTTGAGGGGGGTAGTTCTTTCGTTCAACAAAAGATGAAATTACACCAAATTCGGGTGTGGTATGTGCGAGTGTTTTAGCAAGTCGTTTCTAAACTTTGCCAATGTGCTGATAGGCTAGATGATAGTGGGCTGGATAGATGATGGAGTTTTGGTTCGATGCCTGCAGCCACGCGGAAGCAAAAATGTACCTTCGTATAAAGAGCTGTAAGGGGAGAATGCACATGAGGCTGACCTATGAATAAGTTGTCTTGCCATCGTGACTATGTTGTGGAACGATAGATGACAGCTGCAGAAGGGTTATTTGCATGGCAAAAAGGTACTTAGGGGAAGTAGGTATGGTTTTCTACCTTATGTTCATAAGACGTGTGTATATCCAATCCTATCTCAAATCAAATGGAGATTTTATTCTCGCTGTGTTCAGCTCGTGCTTCTGCTAGGTTATAGTTTGTGTTGTTGCTTGCCAACACATCCATCCATCATCAACACAAATGATGAGTATGGAGAAAAGCATTTGTTCTGTATACTGTACAGTACAGTAAGTAGAATACAATATAGTACATTACATACATACAAACACATACACATACATACATACATAAATACATACGTATCGGAGGTGGCTGGGGTCCATGGCAATGCTCTTTATTGATCTTTTTATTTGGTACACTACATCGTACATCTTCGTAATTGCCATTGAGACCAAAAAGAATGTGCGTCGTCACATAGTGGTACCATGTCGTCACCAAATCCTGAGGTCTGAATGGAATCGCTTCCAGAGAATATACCTAGGTAGGTATGCATTCATGGATTGTGTGTGAGTGGCTAGACTGAGGTATGAGATAAGTGAAGTGAATATTGATGAGAGATGGAAAAAAGAAAAAAACTTGAGAAAAATGTATCTTACCATTAATTTAATTTTAATTGGTCAAAACTCATGATTAGTGGCCGAGCTCTCGTTTCATGTTTTGCTGGGATTACCTACACAAGGTTCGTAGGTATTGATGGTTGCCGCGTGCTGTGTGCGTGCATTATCCAAATCGCCCAAATTTAAATTTAGTACAGACGCCTGCTTTTTATAGCAAACGCTAAACTATATTGGGAAATTAATCTTCATTATACCTTTCTGCTCCGTTCACACCAAGGTAATTCTCCGAGCCCGTTTACCTTATATTTACTGCGTATAACAAATTAGTCTCAATATCTTTCCCAATGTGGTAAGAGATATCCGTTGGTTATGACTGTCACATATGGAAATCTCGAATCTTTCTCATTCAGACAGTACCTAGTGCCTGGCTAGGTATTTAGATGGATGTCAAGTCAATGTTTAGTGTTTATAGGTATTCCTATGCCTTCTTCCTTTCACGGACAATCTAGCGAATAGACCTTCCTCCCGTCTGCGGGTTCATTAAAATAGATGCTTGGAGGAGAGCAGGGCTTTGTTTGTTCACAATTGGAAGAGGTCGGAGAGGAGAAGAAGCAGAAGAAGGAAGAAGGAAGGAAAAATAGGGACGAGAATTTCTCATACTTCTCCTGGTTAGGACATACATCACACCACACCTCATCGCAGCATAGCACAGCACAGCACAGACACGAACGCTGGGCTCAGAATGTGCCATCCGACAAAATAAACATCATCTAACCACCGTACTCTACGCCGTGTACACCGTACGGATGGTCCCTAGGTGCTTCGGTTCATGCAACACAGTTTCTGTATTGTATCTGAACAATATTACTGCTGAAGCTGATACGAAATCTAGAAGCTATCTAGCTACTGAAATGGTTAGCTAAGTGGCTGTGTATGTCCTAAACTTAAAACTTCAGATTCATTGTAAGTCTATCCTCATCTGATTCGTGGTCATGATATATTCTCTGACGTGAGATGGAACAAATGAGGAGATCAAACAGATTAAATGCCCGTGCTTCTGTATTGGGCGTTGAGATCCCATTCAGATTCCACCTTTTTCCAACAGACCCTGAAGCAGATCGGTTCATTCTTTCTTCAAAAATTTCATCCGATATATTCTTCACATGTTTACCTAACTACACATTATCTACTCCTACCCGTGGGCCTCCGGGGCTTGCTGTCAGCACAGCAATGCAACCACTCCTCAGGTATATCTGCATGTGGACTTTGAAACCATTGGTTGAATCCCTTCGGACTATGTCCTACCCTGGTCGCCCGGTAAGAATCTTTTTCATGCGATACAAGGAGGGGAAACTTAAGGTGTTAGGAAGGTTACACCATTCGATACCATGTATCGTGTACTTTTCCCTCCTGTGCACATCTAATACTTCAACGGTATCAATCGAAATTCATTTGGAATATCTCACAACATCTACATGAACATCACGATTATGTGTGAAACTATTTCAAGTCCACGGTAGAAAATACCTAGGCATTTTTTTACTGTATGTCTCAAAGTTCTATGCTCCGAATACCGGAATAAGTAGCTTTAGAATGCGGTTGAAAATCGAAATCATGCCGTCAAGTGTTGTGTCATGTCATCTCAAGGTTATTTACAGTAGCACGGTACAATGCAATAACCGGAACTGGAGATAATCAATTTATGATGTCGAGGAAAGCACGCACTCCTTGTCAAATTATATCATTTTCAGACAAAGCCTTCGATATATTTGCTAAATGCATACATACTGTCACTTCAGATATAGTACTTATACAATACTTGGGTCCGGACTAAAAAGTCGGAGTATTTCATTGGTCGGGTGAAAAGTTTTACTCTCTGGTCATCATCTATTTCCATCTCATTTTCAAGACTACTCCATTTATCTCAAGAAGCTTCGGATAGCCAGGGTATTCAGCCAATTATATTGATGTCATCATAAAATGCCGTTGTTAGATCTACAGTGTGATCGGTAAGATGTGGCGATTCATCCAAAGTCCTTTTCTACCCTTGGGATGAGATGGAGTTCCATCTAAAGACCAAGTGGACAGCTCTCACTACTTTCCTCCAACCCCAACTCCTTGTAAAGCTCACAATGGAGTATCGCGCCCAATTATCAATATAAAACCATTAACTCTCACCTAAGCGGAATGAATCTACCTGCTACTTCTGGTAGTTTGCGACCTTGAAGGCAGAAAAGTGCAGATGACATGGATTATGACTTCAAGTTACTAAAGGATTGTTCTTGAAAAAATGCAACGCTTAATGCCGAGGACTCAGCTGTCAAACCCTTCCCATGTTGCTTCACGAATACATCTTCGCCACAAAACATTAGTGTCGAAAACTAGAGAATAGACCTGGAAGGCTTTCTCCACTCCTATATAATCACCGCATGAAAGACTCAGAGAATAGGGAAAATCCTAGGAAGCGACCTTATGACCCGTTCTTGATTCATTGTATCCTCAACAGATGAGAACTAACCTGCCATTTATTCGTCTCAACGGTGCTAATAATGCCCAATGACCAACTATGATGCAATTCTGATCGTTTTGGGAAGTTTTCTGGATTGCACTACTGACAACCATATCCGACTTCGCTGTCATTCTTTTCATAAACCAGATCAGCTCCCAGGGAGTACATATCTCAATGAACTCAGCAGATGTACGTCCCATGCCCATGTACTCTGATCATCCCAATTCTACGACTCACATGTTACTAAGCATTATTGACATGAGTATCGGCATTTTATAGTTGGGAAAGGGGTTTGCATGGAAGTCTCACAACCTTGAGTTACTAACTACTCGTTCTCTAGTCATCCAATAGTCAAAAGCTACATAACACTGATTATCTTGAGGAGCAACCCAAGAAGCCACATCATCATGTCTGTTTATCGCCCCCAATTGACACACGTTCAGTCTCGCAAGATCTTCACCATTCAATTTTACTTTCGGAAAATGCTCTCAGTGAATACCAATATTATAGGAATAGTAGCACATGAATGCCACTGTAACCTCCCAAACTCTCACTCTCAATCAGCTCCCTTACCGCTTAGAATTATTGCGTACATCCTCAAACCTACAATAGCTTGCAAATTACACGTGCATACAGCCTTATAATCCAACTTTCTTTACAGCTCTTTTTCCATGGTTCCACAAGTCCCAGGCCGCATTTCATGTTTTTTCTTTGCTTGTCTTATAAAGCAAATCCTTCCGGACATCCATAAATAGCATTCAACTCACTTGTTTCCTCACAGACCGTCTCGGCATCTCGACAAATTGATCCCAAACACCAGGATATTTGAAATATATGTATTTCCAAGACTTATAAACGGACGGCGCTTACTGGAATTACTTTTTCCAGAAAATTTATGGGAGGGGTTAGAATCTAAAGCTTATGAGTATGCATATACTGCATAAGCTTTGAAATCCTTCCCTTATTATCTTCAAGCTTTTCATTTCTAATTTAAGCTGTGTGAGAGAGGTAAGCCATTCTAATCATCAATCATCATCTTGGGCGTCGACGTTGCTGTTTGAGATCTACGTTGTTAGGGTTGAATGGAACATGCGCCGAGTTTATGCAACATAAGCCGATGGCATGATTATACACGCACATATACACGCACACACATACGCACACCTCACCGTCGTATATCTCGTTATTGGGTAATTCTCACACTCTTCTTTATTCATCTAGTTCGGACTTGGAAACTTGCGATAGTGATGCTGCTGGATGTCCGGAGATGTCTCACTTGCTTAATGCCTACCTTTCTACGTCTATTTCACTTCAACAGCTTGTTTCACTAATCCCAACGCATCACTAAATCAAGAAGATAAATCACATCATCAGACTCAAATTCGTGAAGAGCCAAAAACGTTCAAAAGCTCTTTCGTATGTGTTTCAAACCGGCTGCTACTCACTCTCTTCCTACTCGTTCGCATTATCTACATATCATCACACAACACAGTCAGGCCAATCATGTCAACGACATAACATCTCATCACAAGAACGGTTATCAGATACTATTATATATATTACCAACACCGACCCCACTCAGTCATCTATCTTATCAATTTTCACCTGTGCAATCACAACTCATCTCATCGTATCTCACTAGAATCTTACCCCTCACCTCTCACCCCTCGCTCACCAATCTGATCCCTTCCTTCAGCCGTTCTTTTAGACTTTCACTATCCTTCCTACCCTCTCACTACTATCTTACAAGTTACTAAATCCCATACCACCCACCTCTTCTTCAAACCTTCACCCAACCCAACCACAACCGCACTCTCCCACTTCATCTCCCTTCCATCTCATTCCCTCATATCACAACACCACCTTATCATTCCCTCACCTACCCATCATCTCACCATCCCAAGCGTAAAATCCATACCCCAAACCCCCTCACTACCCTGCTTACACCACCCTGACCCATCACAATTTATGTTTCAGCTCCAGCCACCAACCAACATCCTAGTCACATCGATCCTCTTCCCCGCCCAATCCAATCCAATCCAATCCATAAGATAACATAACACAACTAGTTAATCGGGACTAATCACATACACCTTCCTAGTGATGAGAATAAAGACTTACGTTTCGGAATTGAAATGTAAATAGGATGGAAACGGGAATATAATTTCTAGCTTCAATTGATGAAGCGGAGATAAAAAGTAGGCTGCAGTTATGTTATTAAGGTTTGAGTAGGTATTTGTAGGTTTATGACTGGGGTATTTTGATGACTTACAACTTTTCTTGAGAGGGTCTTGATATTGGGATTCTTTCAATCTAGGATGTATGGTGAGAGAGAGAGACTTTCTCATATTCCATATATAAATATTCTCACTCCATATTCAAAGTACATAGATAGATAGATAACATTCATTCACATTCACAATCATATTCAATCCACTCCACCATCGAGCGACTCAAGTTAAGTCAAGTAGATTCCAGCAAACATTCTCACTAACCACAACCCTACATCGCTATCATCCACTCTCTCACAAACCCAAACCCAAGATCGTGACTCTTTCGTATGGAAGCAAAAAAAAAACAAGATAATAAAACAATAAAATCCTTCAGCCCCATCTCCTTCAAATCTAATCATATCCAATCACATTCAATCCAACTAATCCTTCTCTATATATATTCAGCTTAACTCACCATATCCTAGTTTAGCTTATTTCTTACCGAGACCGAGCTTAAATCCTTCAACATCACCTAGGTACCTAGTAAGTAATAAGAATCTCGGTTTATGATTACCCCTCCTTCCTTATTTGTCTGGAGAATTTATCCGCGGTGCGAAGGCGAGGGAGGAATTGTAGGATGGTAGGGGAAGGGAAGGGGAAAGGAAGAAGGGAAGGGAAAGGAGGGGAAGGGAAGGAGGAGGGATAGATGAGTGAGAGTATTGGATTCTTTTTAGTGGTTTTTATATTTGCAGGTTTAGAGGAGGTAGATAGGTAGATAGGTAGATAGGTAGATAGGTATGTATTGAACTATGAGAGAACCAGGGTTTTGAAAATATGTTTTCCACGTTCTCTTTTGTGCTTTTTGCCCGTGTGGTCTTGACATTTTGAATCTCTCTGTATATTCATGGTGATCAGTGCAAGTTGGGTGACGTGGACTTGATAGACATCCATTCTACTTCTCATAATTTACATTCGCCCCTACCTCACTTGCCCTGCAATCTACTCTACTCCCTCTGAGAAATACAATACTTTAATCCTATGTAAGATGGGATAGTTGGGATATCCATACAGGAATGAACCCTTACCGCTAAATCTCAACCCCCTAAGACCAGAGTCCTACCCAAAACCTCAAATTCTACCATCCAGATCACGAAGGTTTCTCTTCAGCGCAAGAAGTAAGAATATACATATCTACCACATCCCTAAACTCTATTCTTTTCTTGAAATGTTCTTCCGTAGAAGAATGGATGCTTCTCTTTGATATAAAAATACACTTTCCTTGAGAGTATAGTAGAGACTTTCTTTCCAAGCCTCACCTCATCTCATCTCATTCATTCATTTCAGTAACCCGAAGAATTGATACGGGGATATCATTTCTCCAATTCCAAATTTCGAATCTCACATATCAAGCACAATCTAGATAACAATACACAATCCAAATAAACACAGACCTTAGATAGATATCAAATATCGAATCCCCAATATCGAACCCCAGATCCAACACCATCTCCCTCTTAACAAAATCCCCATACCCGAAAATGATATCAAGAATCACTTGGAAATCCTACAAGTAAAAAGTGAAATGCTACACTAGAAATATTAAAGTACTCTTTCCCTGAATCATTTACTCCTTTTTCAGTGTAATCACATTTACTCATCTCATCTCATCTCATCTCACCTCAAGCTCTAGTCTGTCTTCCAGTCCTCCAGTCCTCCAGTCCTCCAACCCATCAGGGATCCTCATCTTCTTATTTTTCCATTCCATCATACTCACTCTCTTGCACATATCTACACATCCATACATCCACACACCCATACACCCACATACCTCAATTTCGACTATCAATCTTCGGGTTCGGGTTCGGTCTCGGTTTTAGATTTAGATTTAGATTTGAATTTGGATTTCAGTATGGGTCTGCTTTGAGTATGAATCTGAATGGTCTTCTCTTCTTCTTCTTCTTCTTCTTCTTCTTCTTCTTCTTCTTCTTCTTCTTCTTCCCCTTCTTCCCCTTCTTCCCTTCCCCTTCTTGTCGCTTTCCCCGTTCTCCTCCCCCCCCTCATTCCTCGCACTCCTCCCCCCCTCAAATTCCAATCTTCACTCTCTACCCTCCCACCCTCCCTCCTCCACAAGGCACTTCTATCCTCATCCCCATTCCCATTACTATCTCCATTAGACCCAAAATAACCAAACAACCAATCACCAATTCCTCACCCTCAAATAATCCTCCCAATCTTCCCATCCTCCCCATCCTTCTCAACCCCTGCCTCACCCTAAAAACCATCTGAAATTACCTACACAAGCCCATCAAAAAGCAAGCACACACACATCCTCCCAACACCCCCCCCCCCCAAACCACAAACATTATATAAATATCAACATAGAACAACCATCTCATCATTTCATCTCAACTCATCTCACACCTATTTCATTTCATCTCCACACACATATTCCACTTTCTACCTTCTACCTTCAACCTTCAACCTCTTCATCTATTCCTTCTCTTCTCATCTCCATCTCCATCCCCATTTCTATCTCTATCTTTCTCCCCCTGCCCCTCACCCCCCAAAAAACTATCATTCAAAATTATCACCTCATCACCTCATCACCTCATTACTCCATTCCACTCCATTCCACTCTACTTCACTTCACTCCACTTCACTCCACCTCGTCAGTTTGAATTGCAACCTCAACTTAACTCTCAATTTCAATCACCGCGCAAGGTCATAGATATATAACGTGCAGACACATCCATTAAAATAAGCACTCAAGAACCCATTATCTCAATCGTATTAATTTGAATTTGAATTTGAGTTTGAATCTGTATTTCATTCCGCTTCTCATTTTGCATCCTCATAGTCATTATCCATCCCCCTCCCCCCTCCCTCCCTCTTCTCAACTCCCCTAAAATTACAAACCAATTTTTCTCATACACATCCACCCATTCCATTCTATCCCACCACTTCTCACCTACAGGAATAACCCCAGCCCAGAAAATATACATATTCCATATTCCCTCTCTCATCCCATAACACCACCCACACATCTATCCATCCATCCATCCATTCATGCCTCTACCCTAAACCATGCAAGTTGACAACGATTATACTTCTCCACTTCTCGCATCACAAAAGAAAAAAAAAGAAAAAAAAAGAAAGAACGAAAGAACGAAAGAATCCACGCTCATACACATATACATGCAAATGCAAATGCCGCTCCAAATCCCAATTTCACTCGCACCCCACTCCCCCATAACATCTCAATAACGATCTCTCCCCTGATCCTCCGGTTCATGACTATATGTACACGCGGCGCCCTTTGCACACTTCCCCTCTCCCCAAAACTTACACGGTTGTTTCTTTCCCTTGTACTGTCCATTTTCATCTAGCGGTTCCCATTTTGTATCTTTCTTCCAATCTTTCCCCTGTTTACGCCATTTATCAATATTGTAATTATTTTTACCTCCTCTCGAATCTCGGTTTTCTTCACTCTGATGACCGGGCCACCTTGATGAGGAATCGGTAGGAAGGGAAGGTGCATAGCCTTGAAGAGCAGGATTATTGGACCAGGCACTGAAATCAAATTGTTGAGGTGTTGATGATGATGTTGGGGTATCGGCACTTGCGTTGTTATTTCCGGTCAGACTCGCTAGGTATTGTTGGACTTGTTGATTGACGTCTGGGACTGCGACTTGATAATTCATAACCGGCTGAGTCATTTGTGGTTGATAACCCTGCATTTGAGGGACTGGCATTGGAGGTACCATTGAAGGAGCGGGGGGAGCTTGAGGAGCTTGCATTTGTGCAAGAAGTCTCTCTTCTGCAGCATTAGGATGATCCTTATTGTAACCATCCCACCAGTCCTTCTTTTGTACTTCGTTCATCCACTCCGGTGGTTCGATAGCTGGATATGGCTTGCCCTTCAAAGTTGCGACAACACGTTGAAGATTCTCCCATGCTACGTCCATTATAGGGTTGGATTTTGGTGCTCCAGCAAGTTGTTGTAACGCAGGCATACCATTGTTTGAAGATGAAGCATTTTGTGTGAAACCGCGAGCTTGGTTATCTAGCATTTCTTTGTACTTCCTTTCTTCCAAACGACTGATTGCAAGGGTTCGTGCATATTCTGGACCGTACTGATGAATATCTTGAAGTCTTTGGATCAACCAAGGAGCGTTGGGATACTTCAGTTGTTTTACCATACCAGTAGCGGCATCATTTGCAGAAGATGGTTCTTTTGCAGATGGTGGAATTTCTGAAGGATCATTATAGATTACAAGTAACTCATTGGCCTCTCGTCGCTCTTGTTCTTGCTGTTCCGGAGTGACAAACTTAACATTTCCACCTCTGGTAATATAACTTGGACCATATGTAGTATGCTTATCCAGATTGGAAAGATCAACTTCAACCAGAGTAGGATAAGGTCGATCCTCAATCATACCAGACATGACTTCATCATCGTCCTCATCTGTAGCCTGAACACGTTGTTTATGCATCATACCCTCAGAGTGATTATTACGTGCATCTCTCAACATACCGTCTTGACGTCCCTCATCTTCGGCAACCTCATGTTTGAATAAACGAATTTGCTCAAGTTCATCATCTGGCTTGAATTTGACTCGAAGATGTCGTCTACTTTCTTTTCGCTCACGACGCTTCTTTTCTTCGGGGGTTTCTGGAGGTCCAGCCGCTGGCGAGGCCTTCTTTGGTGCCTCAGGTGGTTTCTCGATGCTGGCCAAGATATCACCTAACCTGGATGACATTGGTGGCGGTGGAGGTGGTGATGATTCTTTCTTCTTAGGTGGCGCAACCTTTGGAGCAGGCTTAGGAGTTGACTTGGAGGAAGAAATACCAAGAAGGTTGACATTGGATCTCTTGGGTATTGGAGGCAATTTCGTTATCGAGGTAGGAGTGCCAGAAATGTCAGTGGCAAACTTCTTATTTGGTTTGCCGTTACTGCTATCCCCTTCATGAGGTCTTTTTGATGAATTTGGATTAGTTGCTGTGGGCTTCAAGGATTCTGTAGCTCGAGATTTAATTTGTTCTATCTTTTCAAGCTTCTTCTTGGTATCTTCAGCGCTAGGCAAGGTCTGATCTATTTTAGAAGCTCTTCCCTTTGCATCAACCGTGTTATCCATTATAACTTTAATGTAATTTTTAATCTCTTGATCTCCTTTCTTATTCCAACGCTTTGCAAGAGCATCAAATTTACTCTTTGTAAGCAAATCTTCTGTGAGTGTTCGAAATTTGGCAAGCAAAGCAAAAACAGCTCGTGGAAGTTTACCAATGTAATCTTCTGTTTTTGTACATTCGATAAGTGTGGCTGTCAAACCACTAACTAATTTCTGGTGACCACCAAGATTTTCGACAATTGGACTATAGCCGAGCTTGTTCGCTGCCTCAATTGTTTGATACAGAGCTTCTGATAGTTCGGAACGGTGTGACTTAAGTTTTTGTAATTGTACCTCGGGAGCTTTAGATGTTATTGCTTCTTGTAATTTTGCCGTGTCATCCTTGATCTGGGTTCGAAGAGCGATAAAAGTATTGGCATAATCGTTCATAGCACTTGTAATAGCAGCGGCACTTGGACTAGAATTGGGATCCTTCCAGACAATTCCTATGGCATCCCATCGGGCAGCACTAGGAATATCACTGGGACGCGTGAGTTCACGTACCTGTATTAATCAATCATTAGTATTCATTTTTAGTGAAAATTGGCAATCGGCCATGGGTTGGCATATCAATAACGTGAAGACATGTATGCGAGCATGCTAATATGATTGTCCGCTTATGTATTGAGATAGTTCACACAGAATGCGTCAAATATCTTATTGTGGAATAGTAACAGCAGATGCATGTCATACACATCATAAAGATCGATCACATTCAGGAATTATCGGGGAAGGGGAATGTGTACTTACAGTACTAATATCTATTGGAGGTGGCATATCTTCTTCCTCTTCATCTTCATAATCAGACTCTTCTTCCGAACTTGTTTCTTCTTCTGAAGTGCTTGATTCCGTGGGTGTTGAAGACTTGGTTGGCGTATTTGTACCATCAGAACGTGCACTAGAATCTTTATCAAAAGCAGATCTACCAGTGCCTTTGTAAGTGCTGACATGCGTTTTCTTCTGTTTTGGCGCGCGAAGTTTCTGTGAAATTTTTGCTGGTGTTGTTGAAATTTCTAACCGAGATATTAATATTGAGGTAAACAAAGAGATCCAGTGATACTTACTTGATTTATTCAGTCCCGGTACTAGTTCTTTTCCACTTCTGGATTTTCTCGGATGATACTTTGGAATGGTATCTTTACAAAAGATGTTAGCAAATGTGATGTCTCGAAAAAATAAAGGTTTTTGGGTGTACTGACTCTTTAGTGCAGGAGGAACTTGTATAGGCGTATCTTCCCATGCAAGAAATGGAGCATATGAAAATCTAGGTCTTGAGGAAGTGTTGTTCGCAACAAGATCCGGATGAGTGACTCGGAGTGGGTTTGGAGCTGGAGCAATGGGTTGAAGTTCGGGAATCTCTCGTTGACGAGGAACAGCAATAGCAGGTGTCGGGGTAGAATATTGCTCTGTGATCGGAACATGTTGCTTCACCTCCTCCTTTGGAACAAGATCAGTAGGAATCGAAGGATACCGCACGGTATTGTTGGATGAGTTTTGGTCCATCTTTTGTGGTACAATACCATTCTGAGGTTGGTTGAAGAAATGATTATCATTACTTTGTGTTCTTTGGCCATAGTTATAATTAGGTTTACTACCAATTCCGCTATTTGATCTTTGAAAAGCGGCCGATGGAATCCCACTGTTCATTTGCTGTTGAGCCAACAAATTGTATTGAAGTGTTTGAGGAGAAATTGTGGGATGTTGGGTGGTGTTTTGCTGATACGGGAAAGAACTTTGAGCGCCATGGTATGAGTTTGATTCTTGCATTGAAGGATCGAGGCCGTAAGAGGTAGGAGTGAACATGTCTGATGGCCTGGCATGTTGGTACGGTGCAGCAGCATATGCCGGGCTATTTGTATATGATAGAGCATTATACGTGGGCTGCTGATGAGA